CTGTTAGCCATTCCTTATATTTTTCATCAAGTGCCCATAAATTATTAAAAACACACTTTCCTGGCATTTCTAACAATTTCACATTTGAATGAAGTATCAAAGCTACCACGTGTGCTATCAGAAGAATTGAATTTCTCGAACCCTATGGATGTAGAAGGTCAATGCAGGTCCTCAGCTGATAAAGTACCTCTAAGTACTGTCTAAAAATAAGTCAAGACCTCTACCCACCTGCAGTATCACGCTCCCCTCTCCCCACACTAAATTTTTTTCTTTCAGAATGATCCAGAAAGAAAAAATATTTTAATGAAAAAAATTGATAATAAAATAAAAACAATAAGAGCGTGTTTTCTTCTACTTGCTTGTAACCCCTACCCTCACATGCATTCAAATGTTCTACCCTCGATGCAGGATCTCATTCTAGGCGAAAGTCGTACTTTTTAACTGTGGATATTTTCCTAAGATAAAAAAATTGTTCCAACCAACTAGTGATACTAGAAATTAAGGACTTTTAAGAACCTTGAATTAAAATTAAGTACTTTTTAGGGCCCTTAATTTTCAAAATAAAAACTAAGCAGTTTTTAAGGACTTTTAAGGAGCGTGGGAACCCTGCTTTACATTGAATATTTTTTTAACGTTAAAGTGTGCAGAAATGCTTTGACTTATTGATCACGATTTTTCTGCTTTTCCTCTTTTTTTCTCTCTAGGCCTCTTTTTTTAGTTTTGTCTTTCCCCTTCATTTTAAAATTTTTTCTTGACAACTTTATGTTTTTTAGTTTAAAACATTTTTGATTCTTTCATTCACGCCTGGAAAGTCTTGAAAATGGGCACCTATTTTTGAAGAACTTGAAACATATCGACTGTCATTTCTCAATTGCATATTTTTGAAACGTAGATATACATAAGTAATGTGTAGATATATTATTTAATTTTTTATTCAATAATATGAAAGGCATAACTGAAACATTATTATAATAAAACAAAAGAATTTACATCATTTCTGAAATATTTATATCAAGTAAAAAAAATATATACCTACTTATTTTAATAATTTTTGTTACATTAATTATCTGATTCATATTTTAATGGTTACTTCAAATTAAAATTAGAAAATGCTTAATATTTACTTAGAAAGTTATTGAAATCCATTTTATATAGTAGGATTGTTTCAATTTTTTTGTACATTTAATATCCTTTTATTGTTTTTTTTTATTTAACTAATATATATATATGCGTGTGTGTATTTAGAACATGTGTTAAGTCTGTAACACCTGCTTTGGTGTAGTAAAATCTGGCGCAGCGTGTGTGGTGGTGTGGCATACCAGACGAAATTTTTTATTTTTAGGCGATTTTTGAGGATGCGGCTTGTATACCAGGGCAGCGCTTCTCTGCAAAATTACGGTGGTATTTTTTTAACAATAATAAAGCTAAAAACAAATTACCTTTGATTGCCCAGTAGATTTATCTTTAGCTAAGTATATTCTTGCAATAGTTCCAAAGGGTCTAAAAAGTTCCTGCAGATCTGAATCTCTCACATCTTCTGAAAGATTGGTTACTCGAATTGTAGGCGTTTCATCTAAATAAATAAGAATTATGTAAGTAAGTATAAAATAATGCAATATAAAATAAAAAATGAAAGCTCTTAGCTACTCCTAAAGACTAACTAAATATAATAGTTATAAGAATTTGATTTCCCTTAAACTATAAAGTACAAAATATTTGATTACATTAGCTAAACATTTTCAATGATATTTTTAAATATTTCTACAGTTGTTTAAATATTCCTTTTGTGCTAAAATAAAAAAACTGTTTTATGTTTGAGAAATATATTTTATATACATATCTTTACATCTATACATGCATACTTATAAATTACTTTAGAAAGCATTTAATTGTATTTCTATTTTACCTTAAGAAATAATTTCCTTTAAAAACACCATCACTAACAATTTGAAAAAATATATGGAACTTGAATGTTTTAAACATGACAAAACAATATAATACATGAATATAGATATTACTGATTTTAATTTAGCATTTTACTAGAGTTGAATTTCTTTGTTATCTTTAAATAATAAAAATCCATGCTTTTAATTTAACAATAGTTTAACTAATCAGAAATTGAAAATGAAATAAAATACCTCTTCTAGAGGGTGTCATAGATTCTCCTCTTCTATTTGCTCCTTCCCTCATACTTGGAGGGACATATTTTCCTGCTTTTACTTTCTCTTCAGCTTGAGGATTCGGTGCTGCAGCTAGAACAATACGAAAATTCTTCATTGGACAACAATAAATATGTAATGCAGTTAGATAATACAGACACACAAGTGCACACCGTGCAAGGATACATTGGTGGCGATTCTCCAATTTTGCAAATACTTCTTTAATATTTATTATAATATTTAAAAAAAGTATCCACGCACACACAAAAAAAGTTTGCAGTGAGGAAAAGAAAATATGAAGCAGACAGCGTAATCATGTATGTAAAAATATTTTAATGTAATTTCATTTGAGCTAAATTACTAATATTGCTTAATAGGATAATTACTTTATATGAATGTAGTTCTATGTATAACTATTAATATTTTTTTAATGTTCTTAATGTTAATGTGCATGTATATATAGATGTTTTTTGTCAAGAATAAATAAAAATATTAAACAGTTAACGGTTTTCGTAAATTTAACAAAATTATTCTATTATTAAAAATATGGGCTTGCAGATACTTTTGGATTGTGTGTGCAGATACTTTATGTTTTTATCTTACTATGGTGTAATGTAGAACAATTTCAGCAAATACAATTTTCATTTTCATTAACATTATTTTTTTTCTCACCAAATATATATTAAGGCACCTACAATTTTTTAAAGAAAAATACTTAGGTAATTATGAGGTGCATTTTTTTTCTGCAGTACTTAAACTACACAAATAACAAAAGTAATTTCTTTAAATGCTCAGTTTTTTAAGTTCATTATTCTTACAATATAGTGAAAATACAAATAATATTGCAGTTGTGTTTTTAAGCTCTAAACATCTTGAAAGATTGCTGTAAAATAATTCTGAACATATTTATTCAAAGGTTCATGATACACCATGTTAATTCTGCTTTAGTAATTTATTGTATTGTTTCTGTACCTCGCATCAGATCAAAAAACAGACACTATAATTAAAATCATATACTACAAAAAAAAACTAAAACTAAATTTTTAAAACATCAGTTGAAATCATTGACCTTCTGAAACAAAGTATCTTTGAGCTAAACTTGAAGAAAGCTAAACAAAATGAATAAAGGAGGGGGTGGGGAAAGCAGACATTTAATCTATTTTGACATAGCGGAAAATTCTAGTTTAACAAAGAGGGAATTCATAGAACTGAAACTAAGAAGTAAAACTGTTTTAGAGCCATTACTTGCTTTTCCTTTACCTTGGTCAGCTTTCACAAATCTTTCTTAAGAAAACATCAATTTGTTAATTGTTTATAAAATTGAAAACAGTACTTTTAACATAAATATTTCTATTTACTCACCACGGTTATAGATTAATCGTTTTATTTATTTTAAGCGTAGTAGTTGTATATCTGAGCGTATCTGAAGCACAGTTTCAGTACATTGTTCATTGTCGAGGATTTTCTTAACAGCATTTTACTTCATATTAATTAAAAAAACTGATTAGCTAACGGGTTTTTTAACTTAACATTTCCATTTCTGCTTTAATTTAATACCAGAGTCAAAGCACTTAACTATTTTATCTAAAAAAGACTTTAGTAGTAATTTTTTTTAGCTAAAATCTTTTTAACTTGAAATCTTTTGAAATAATTGTAGATAACAAAAACGATCACCTAATAAATTTCTGAAATTAACGCACCTTCTTTTTTCGGGAATAGAGAAAATATTGCGTCAACTCTGGGTTGCAATTTTTGATTACGAAATAGCAAATGTCTGGTAGGTCGGGTGTATAAGTCGACCGCTGTTCGTAAGCCGATCATTATTCCTTCAGACGTCATGTGACAAATTATACTGGACCTGTGGAAAATGTGGACTCAAATGCTATTAAAATATATACTAAATTCCAAATTCTTTGGATGGGGGTGAAAATAATTTTTTGTGGGACTCAGCAGACGAGGATGGAGATGGATCCATTGCAGATTGGGATCCGTGTGACAATAATGCTTACGCTAATGAATCTGACACAAATGATGATCAGGAATCTTTTATGATACATTTACGCTTTCTATGATTCGTTTTAAAAGTTTTCATTGAGTTATATTTTTTGAAATTTTCTTGAATATTTGATAATATCTTCTGATTATTTTTATTATTTTCCTCGAAGAAACAACGACAGTTATTTCATCAGTTTGACACGAAATTTCTGTTTGGAGCATATACTAGGAAACGGTTTTGTCAAAAACGAAGAAAGTTTAGTGAAATTTGAGTGTTCATTTTTACAGTGTTTATACGATAAACACTTTTTCCCTATTATAATATGCACAAATTTCTCAGAAAAACACTTTTTTCCCTTTTTTTGTTTTGCTTTTGAAAATCACGGACTTACTATACGCAACTTTCTTTTTATTTTATGCCGAAAAATAATAAAATTAAAATATCCTCAGGCAAGAATTCCTTTTAGACTTGTCTGCAGACCTGCCAACCTTAGAAAATAAAAAAGCAGGAGACTCTTTCTGTATCACGACATAGCGCAATATTGAAAATTAAACCTGATTCACACTTCCTACAAGAAGTTTATTTCAAAATATATTATTTACATTACATAAAATAGACCACAATAAGATTCTGACACTGACTAACAAAGATACGTGTTCTTACTATAAAATATAAGGTTCTATAGAATTATATTAAACCATATCTTTCGATTTTTTCAAATTTAGGAAGAAGTTCAAAACTAACAAAATATGTCAATAATGAATACAATACTTTATAAATGTATTTCTTAATTTTTTTTTAACTGCTACTGTTTTAAAACTGCAGATGTTGCTGATTTAGCATTATTTAAAAAAAAAAAACGGCATCTATAGAAAGTGAAGCCTAATGATGTCCAAGATATCTCCGATTTTGCCATTTCATTGGTTATTGCTGATGTTTTGGTTCACACTCACCGTAATTTTTAGTGATGTTGCTATGGGGCAAAATTTTTCTAAATAAATGCCCAGCATGATCTGAAGCACAAGTTGGGAAGGAAATTGCACAAATTGTTGTTTTTTTTCTCTATCTTGCACTAAATAGAAAAAAGCAGGAGAAAACACCCTGAAGGCCTGAGGGCGAAGATTTGAGACAAAAGCAGGAGACTCCTGCTAAAAGCAGGAGAGTTGGCAGGTCTGTGTCTGTATTAAAATGTCGAAGTAAAAAGCAGTTCCGAGAACAGTTCATGAAACAATTGAAAGCTTTCTGAGAAATGAGTAGACACATGTCCTAACTAGAGATGCTTAATATGCCACATGAATCAGGCGACAGGCTAGAACGAAAATTTCTTACAGAATTTTTTATAATTTTTATTGAAAAGTCAAATATTTAAAAATTTCTTTCAAAATTTTTTCAAAATAAAAAAATAAAATAAAAAAAAAAATATTTAGAGGTAATTCAAACTAAACCAAGCCATTTTATAGGGAGAAATTTCAAGTTTTTGTGGCCACTTTGATTACTGTCATTCAGTTGTAACCAAGAAGTCTGACTTGTCTCAGAATGCTTAACAATAACCTATCGCAAGCGTAAAGAGTAAAATACCTTAAAATTTGACACATACCAGGTTTAGGTTCTTCCTTCAACAAATCTGGTAAAGTACCAAGCTTATCCTTGTAGGGACACTGAGTTGTCCAGTGATCATCTTTGCAAATACGGCATTTCACCATTTTTTGACCTTTCAATTTAGCTAATGGATCTTCTTCTTGTCCCTTCTCTTCCTGCAACACAAGCAATAAAACTTTATTAAATTATCACTAACTTTGCATAATTTGAAAATAAAATTAAAAAAAATAAAATATTTGGAACACAGATTTTTTCTGGTAAATTGCATTTCTAAAAACTATTATAACTACCAAAAAAGAAAATAATTATGTATCTTAAAGTGAATTTAGAGATATAATGTTCCTTCTAACTAATTTTTTTAAAACCTCATTTTTTAAAAGCTGAACCCCAGCACTGCTAATGTATATCTGAAATTAATTCCATCAGAATTTATCATTTAAACTTTGATAGAGTAAATATTATAAAGAATGTCAGTCCAAGGGGCTTTACGATTTGGTTAGATGAAAATAATTATCACAAAATTTTAACATCTAAAAACATAATGCTTTTCAATTCTCTTGATATGAAAAATTACATAAAAACAAGTTTTGATTCCTTTAACATAATTTTAAATAACTCTCAAGAATTGCAATTTCTCCTATATAATTGATTAACAATAAAACATGAAATTAAAATATAATTTAAAATCATTAAACATCTTTTTTTAATAGATAGTAATTCATAATACAATAAAGCATCATAGCACAGATGAAAACAATAACTTTTTAAGTATAAGAGTAGGAACCAGGTTTATCAATACCCAGAATTCATTAAATTAGAATTTTTTGTAAGATTGGTGGGTAACAAAACAATTCCGCATTTACCCTAATGAGTAATTGCACCAAAAACACAAAAACAATATTTTTATCACAGTAAATTTTGACTCAGAAGAAAGTTTTTCGTTGTAAAACTTAAATGATTTCATGTTGCTTTACTGTGTGTTCTTTTCACATTGTTTAGCTGTATATACAGTAGGGAACCGATTATCCGGAACGATCGGGACCATCGCTATTCCGGATAACTGATTCTTCCGGTTTTCTGAATCGCTACAAAAAGCCGTTTTTTTTTATTGTTAAACCCAACTAAAAAAAAAAAATTGGAAATAATCGGAAAAAGAAGAAAAAACGATGAAGTAATACACTAATGATTCTTTCCAAAACGATGGTAAGGTAACCATCTTTCAAAATAGAAGAAGAAAAAATTCTAAAATCTTATGAGGAAATTTTTTTTTTTGAAAATGGCAGGAAAATGTATCAAATTTTGTTCCGGTTTTTTGGTTTTCCGGTTTTCTGATTTCCGGATAACGGGTTCTGTACTGTATAAGACAAAGTTAACATTTTTCTCACTTTAAATCAATCAAGTGGTATCAAGATGCATATAAACTTCCAACCATTTCTTTCAGAAAATATATTTTCTCAAAGCAATAACATTTTTTATTAAAACAAACTTATTGCAAAATTTAAAAACTAAAATGGTTGCTAAAATAAGAAAATTTAACTTTGATTTTAACAATATAGTATAGTTATATAGTATAGTATAATATAGTATAATTACCAGCCTGTACTTGGCTGGTAATTAATGTGCTAATTAAATTTGTTTAAGTTTTGTTCCTACTTTATTTCTTTAATGATAAAATTATGAATTACATTTTTCAGTTCCTATCTTCTTTACCTTACAGATATAATCTGTATAATTTTATTAAACTACGGCACCTAATCTGATACAATTTTATTTTTCCATGTTAGAAAATATTTTTTTAAAACTAAAACTTAACTAAAAACCCTACATTATTTAAAAGAAGTAAAAGCATTAATGAATGCTCCATAAAATACTGATTTTAATATATTTTTAAAACTTAATTAATAATCCTAGTAGTAGAATATTAAATGAAAAGATAATAATGAATAAATAAAAATGCTTTTAAGTACTTTTCAAGCTCTTTAAAAATGTTTCTTCTTTGTTTGAAAAAAAAAAAAAAAAAAAACAGGATTAGGATTTGCACTGTTGTAAATTTTTTTTCTTTCAATTGTTAAAAGTTCTTCATATACATAAAATCAACAAAATGCAAAAACATTTTCAATTACTTTACATAAACATAATAAAATAACTACTTTCTGTTGAAGGTAAGGAAAAATTCAGGAAATCATGCTTTGTTTGCAATTTAAGACGACAATTGACAAAGAGAAAATATCACTTTGTAAAAAGAGACAATTAAGCACTTTTTACAATCCCACAATGAATAAAGCAAGGCCTTTTAAAAAAAACATAAATTAAAAATAAACACCTTTTAAAAATTATACGCATTCTGGTTTATAGCACTCTTTAATTATAATATTTTTTTCCATTAAATTTTTTCAATTGTTATCTGTCGAAAAGTAGCTTGTATGTCTCTAAATAATAATATGCTTAATATGTAATTAATTGCACACTATAAAGTGACATAAACACGGCATGAAATGAAATGAAAATATATCAATTAAAAATATACAAACCTCTTTATTTGATAAAAATTGCATGAAGATTTCTTCACATACAATAGTATTCGAGGGATTTGGACCAGGAGGATCATTTGATGCTGCTCCAAACTTCTTCCAAGCCTTAAAGGGAAAAATATAGAATTTTTTTTAAAGATGAAATCTGATATCTCACAATTGTTTTTTTAAGACAAGAAAAATAATAACTTCATTACCTTACGAACAGCAATAGACTTAGAAACCATTTTTCTTTCAATCTTATAGTACCTCACAATCTAAAAATAATAAATAATTTTAATTTAATACAGAAATTATATGAATGTACCAGGGTTAGGGTTTTGGACAGGACATGTGGGTTTTACTGTCTTAAACTGGATAAAACTGTCCTAAACTGGGTAAAACTGTCCTAAACTGGGTTAAACTGTCTTAAAGTGTCCAATACCTTGAACTTTTGTAAAAGGTAAAAATTCTATAGGTGTAACCATTGTACACATAATAATTACATGTATCAATAAATATTTGATATTTTTTATACAATTTACTATTAAAAGAAAATAATATAATATAATAGGAAAAGGTTTATAATTTTTGAAGCTCCACAATTCATTGAACAACAAAAGTGAATACCTAATCCTTTAAATATAAATATGCTTTTAATACTGATAAATAATATTTTTGCATAAGGATAAATATGGCAATATTAAAAAATAATAATTTTTCTTAAAAAAAATACTAAATTTGTTCAAAAATTAACCTTTTATTTTTCACAATATTTTTTTAAAAAAATTTTATAATTTCTGCATCACAGGATGATAAAAAAGACATCTATTTTTAAAAAAAATTGTTTTTAAATATAAATATATTAGTTTAAATTGAAAATACAAAATAACTGAAAAATGTATTAACAGTTTTGAAGGGCATAACATCAGTTTCAGTTACTGACACTGGTGATGTATCACCACTATGCTAAAAGAATTGAACATGAATGAAATAAAAGTATTCTTGAATAGTACTATAGATAAATAAACCTGTTTATGACGAACCAAGCACTTAGTCCCTAATATTTTAACCTGTATGGCAAGGCCAAACTTCAGTTATGTACTATTGAATGAGAGGACCAATTGAACTTGATTACTGATTAATCTTCCTTTGTTTAAATTGAAGAGTCAAACAATATTAATAAAACATTATACTTTTAAAAACAAATATTCTCTAGTATATTTAATTATCAATATGTTATTAGTTCTATGTTTATTTTACCTCTTAAATATTGTTGAGATAAAATTGTGACATAATTTGAGTAAAAGGGTTTTGGACAGTTTAAGACAGTTTTGGACAGGACGGTTTAAACCGTGGATTAATCCATTCTGTCCTAAACCTTACCAACCCTGGAATGTACAAATAGCCTCTAAAGGTTAATAGATGCAACTGTAATATAAAACTCTGCACTACTAAAATATTACTAAAGTAATATAAAATTTTATTACAGTGGACACAAAGGCTGAATAATAATGAGGAAAATATTTCAGAAATTACTGAAGTTAAGAATATAGAAAAATAAATTATAAAAATAAAGTGTGTATTTCCTCGAACCATATATTTCAGTTTTTAACCTTGAACTATATATTGCTCAATTATTGACTAAATAAATAAAAACTAGTAAGAAACTCAAAATAAACAAGTTTTTCATCAATTAATAACAACTTTTTTTAGTATGGTCTACACACAGCTATTAATTTTTTTTCAGATTAAGATTAAAATACTTAGAAAGATAGAAATAAGACAATGAATCTATACATTTGCTGAATTAATGTTTTATTTTTAAATTCACATAGAAGATATTAACATTAAAACTAAACATTTTCTTTCTTTGTTTCGATATTCATAAAAACTGTGGGTGTATATCTAGCACAAATCAACACTTCTCAAATTTCACGGAATTAAAACTCTTCAACATATATGGTTATTGTGTAAGTTACTTCCACATCCTTCTATAGAAAGAAAAAATGAAAAGAAAAATGTGCTAAAACACATCTTGACTATAAAGAAATATTTTAAACAAAGTTGGTACACATAACATTGTTATACAACTTTATACATAAAAAAAAAGTGTCTTCATCTACTAATAGTTGAGTGGAACTCATAGATTTATTAAAACCCTGATAAATTTGATAAAGACCTAGAAGCTATTCTGAAAGATTTCTTTTTTTTTAAATAAATAAGTTTTAGACACTTTATGTGTTTGTTAATGTTAATATTTATGGGCTAGTTTAACCCTTAATATTAGCATATATTTTTCAAATCTGATTTCATTGTTGTTGAGCACTATTGAATCTGGCACCCAGGGGCAAAGATCAGATATGCATTGACAATATTATTTTAATGTATACTTTCTTTTATTAATAAGTATGTTTCTCGCTAAATATTGGTCTACTGTTCTTAAAATTAATGTTTCAATGCAAAGACCTGACATATGCTGACCATTTTTTTAAAAAATTATTTTGTTTGAAGCAATAAAAAGAAATTTTTGAATATAATGAGGTTGGCAAACTTGTTTTTAGCACCAATAAAAGTGACCTTTCAAAAGAATAGGAATGAAAAAAAAACCAGAAGAGCATCAACAAACCAAATCAGAAAACATCAAAACAAAAAGACTACATAATTTCAACTTAGTATAGGCTTATTACTTACTTTAACTTTTTTCCCTTCATCATTATGCTTATATTCAGTAACTATCTTCTTATCACCTGAAATAACTTCTCCAGCAGGTTGTAAATCAGCTAAAAGTAAAATATAATTTGAAAACTATTAATAAGGTTATAAATTCAAATAAAAAAAACATAAGAAAATATCTATTTTTATAGAAAGAAAAGGGAAAAAAGATTTAAATTAAATCTATAGTTTTAGATGTCTTTAGTTAATTTAAGTCTTTGAGTTTTGATGCCTCCATATAACAAAGGAATACCAAAATAAATAAATAAAGTTAAGAACAACATATTTTTTACTTAACAATGCAATGCAAGTTTTTATACTACATTAGAGTGGTACCACCAAGCTTATAATACACTTATAAATAGGTATTTAGATATCTAAGATATATTAGAACAGAAATCATTTGGATTGGAATGGGTAGCAGAGAGGAAGACAATCAAATTAGCAGTTACAAAACAAAATTACATGTAAGACTATCGCTTAAAACTCCAAAATAATGGTTTAAGCGAAATTTTAGAAAATTTTGTCTGAATGAGTTAGTTTTAAAATAAATATTCATTAAGTAGTGATGCAAAGACTCCATAAGTAGAGGTGATGAAATGTTAGATTTTTAGGACTATGTAAAATCAATCACACAAATATATATAACTAATTTCAATTCAACGAAAAACATAAAATAGTAAATATTAAATTGATGATATATATGATGATGATATATATGATATATGATATATATGATGATATATACCTTCTCCTTGTTCAACTTGATCAGCCCAACTGATTGGCTTGGAACTAAAAAAAAAAGGAGGAAAAAAATTATAATCAATGTATTAGCTAAATTTGATTTAAAAAATAATGTTATGCTCAAAAACTCCAATTTTCATAAATGTGACCATAATAAAATGCAGTACCTTTCACTGCTCGGTAAGCATAGAAATATAAAAATTTAGTCTTTGAGCAAATAAATAAAAATAAACCAATGTTGTTTCGAAACACCACACACTTTTAATTTAATATCCTTAGAAAAAATATTATATAATGTAAAATATATAATATATAAAATAAATATTATATAATGTAAAATGTATATTATATAATGTAAATTGCATAATGTAAAAGTTACAACTTCTAATTATTAAATTCTTTAATTTCTAATTTTGAAATTGAGAGTAGGTGGTTAAAAAAATGTAAAAACAAAAAAAGTAAACCAGGGGTCTGTCTAGGTTTTTCTGAAAGGTACCTATTTTGTGAAAATTTAGACATAATTTGTGAATAATTAAAAATTATATTTAAAAATCAACACAAAAGTATGGATTTATAATTTCTTAAGGGATACAAAAATAAAATTTAAGGAAAAAGTATTTTGTGAAACTACCGTTTTTCCTAAAATTGAATTTGTGAAACTACCGTTTTTCCTAAAGCTGTCTTTGTGAAGGTACCGCTAAACGGTAGTAAATTCGGCCTGGACAGACCCCTGTAAACAGACATCATAAATAAATATTAAAAACTATTAAAAAAAAAAAAGATTCTGGCATGAGCAATTGGAAAATGGGGTCAAGAATACAAAGAATAAGTAAATAATTAATTAAGAAGAGTTTAATATTTTGGTACAACAGTTTCAGAATCCTATTTTCCAAATTGAATAGGTATATTTTAGGATTAAAAAAATAAAAATTTCCCCTAAGAAAATACATTTGCAGGGGAATTTTTTTTTAAATGCAATCAATAATTAGTATATTGCTACGAATTAACTAAGTTTAATAACTTATCTACTTCTCTTATACTGTGTATATCTCAATGAGAGAAAATGTGTTCATAACTCTGAATGTTACTTCAAGGTATTCACTGTAAACTTATTATTTTTAAAATTTTGGACAGTTTAAATCATAGGTACTTAATTTATTTCTAACTTTCAGAGAATAATCTTTGTTTTCTTCAAAGTTTGGGCTTGATACAAAATAAACAATGAACATTAATTAGAAAACTTGGGAGAGCTCTTGACATAATATCAATATGTACAACATATGACATAATATCAATAGAAAAATATAATATATTATTTTAAAGAGAACTTTTAGGCTTAGTCACCTTAAACTGAAAAAAGTTTTGAAAAATATCAAATCATTACTCTGCTCTGGATATAATATTTTCGATTAACTGAACCAAACTACTTACATATTAGAGCTAAACCTTTGTAACAAGTAAAATAAAATAGCTGCCTACTATTGCAAGCACTGCAGAAAACCTGTTTATAATTCATATCTGTACTACTTAAAATGTTTAAAATTGTATTTATATATGCTGCTAGAAAAGAAGTTCCTATTTTTATCAAATAAAACTAAGATTACTCGTTAAAAAATTCCTATACTTTTGTAGGTCACTTGCAATAACAACTGCATAATTATTGTTAAGGTTACATATATAAGATTGTTACAAAAGGGTAGCTAGTTAAATTAAACGAAAAAAATTCCCCATTACGACTTCTAAATATCAATAAAAAGGTAGTAATAAGACACAAAAATTATTTGGATCCAATAATTTATTTCGATCCTCATATGTTACCCTGAAAATCACGTTCATTCAACTTTGTAAAAAAGTTTTAATATCAGCTCAATCCAATTTGTTAAATATAAAAAGAGGAACAAGCCCTTATCCTGAGATTTAAATTTTCGTTCTTAAAAACAACAAATATAAATAAAATAAAAAACACTTGTTGAAGTTTTAAAACATGCATAGGAGTTTTATAATAGAGCAGGGAGAGCTATACAGTGAGAAAATTGTTTTATTAACAGAAGCAGATCGAATAGTTTTTTGAAACTTAAACTTAATGGAATATATTATTCTCTATAAAAGCCAAAATTTTTAATACTTACTCCATCGCTGACGGCATTGTAAAGTAAATCGTATCGTCAACAAATTATTTGGTAAGCGGGATCGGATTACTTCCCTTCACTTCATCAATGCGGTAAAAAAATTACAGAATCTATGAAGTTTACGCTTTGAGCTTTTATATTGACTTTATTAAAAATTTTAAACAGATGGCAATAGTAGCAAAAAAATTTGGGTCCTGCGTTGAAGGAGAATCTGATTAGCCAAAAATATTTTCCAGGTTCAAAATAAAATAAAAAATTCAAAAATACAATCAAGTTCTCCATTTTTCTTTGCAGGGATAAGAAGTGCTGGAATCGCATTCAGCGAGAAATGCTCTATTCTATTTTCCATTGATTCCTTATTTTCACGACAAGGCATAGAATTGAAAGTTGTGGAATCGGTCGTTAAATTCTAACAAATATTAAATATTTATTTTACTTTATGTACGCACGATTAGAGTTAAAGGTATTCTGTTTAAAATTACATTTCATATTATGCCGACCGGCTTGTGTGGAGGTCAGGGAATTGGCCTTGCATCAGAAGGGTTCTGGTTCAAATCCCAGGCAAGGCATGAATGTTCTTTTATTCTCTGTACCATCTGTCCTTATTGAGAGAAAGAGTGGCAAACAATTCTGTTCATCAAGTGCCTGTATAACTTAGGTCATTCTCCAGGTGGGCTTTGGAAAAAAAAATATTTTATATTATAACTTTTGAGGAAATAAACTTTTAACAAAATAATATTTGTATAAAATATTAAAATTGCATACAAAATCAATACGAGAAAAGAGCAAGATATTAATAACCCAGTGACACTGTTAAGTTTGACAAGCATCATGCTCAGTAACAGCTTGAATAATTTTCTCCCCTTTGTAGAATTTTCTTTATTTACATGTTCCAGATAGTTTATTGGAACTGTAGGAGCCTGTTGAATTAACGACAATGGTTGCCGACGTTCTATTTTATTCATGTGGAATATTTATGTATGTAAGAGATTTTCTTATTTTCTATTTATAGCCAAGATCATGGTGAACGACGGAGCGGTGGAATCATCACAGCTATCAACAGCTATTATCCATCCAGACTCAATGAACAGTCCTTCAATACTCTGAATTCTTCAATGAAGAACTCCTGGGCATCAGGAACTCTTTCTGTGGTGTGGATATCCTCAACGGCGGTTCCCATTTACTTGTCCCGGATGTTGTTCATTTACGTCGCACTAGAGCTGCACAATGGGCTATTGGCGACGGTCTGGGAAACATCCCTGAGGATGATCCGAAGACATGCTATCACAATTTTGATCCTCTGTGGAGGGGATGGCACCCCCGCTTCGGTAGTCCGACGACCTACACGCGAAGTCGAGCACTTTACGGTAGAACAGTTTAATGAGGACCAATACCGCACACCCTCGGTCCCTACGCAGGCTGATCCAAGTGGTCACCCACCCGCACACTGACCGCAGCCAATGATGCTTGTCCCGGAATGTCACGCCTTCTGACTACATTTTACCACCCCATATCTCTCACAAGCGTTCTATGAAAAAAAATGGAACGCATCATTCCTAAACGTGAGGTAACATCATTTTGAACTTCAAAACTCTCTTTACCCATACCTTCACGGATTTCCTCTTCGTCGCGGATGTGACAACCTCCTCTGCCTCTCTAAGCTGGATCACCACATTCGATTTGCCAAAATGAATCGCCGTTTTATGAATCGCTTTTTGTTTCCATGGATATCGTTCAAGCTTAAGACCACGTCTGGATAGATGGATCAGTCTACAGCACAACATTTCAGAATCTGCTTATTGAATTTGTGACTTTCTTACAGATAGATCTTTCGATTTTGCTGGTGGCTTACGTTCTCCAAAGGATTTTGTGTCAGTAGGGGCGTTTCACAGAATCAATACTGTCACCTCTTCTTTTCATCATTAACATGAAAGATATTTTCTGTATTCTTCCAGGCGGTGCTATCAGTTTTGTATACGTAGATGACATTTTTCTTCGTATATACTCCTCGTTCCTAGTTCGGAAATTACAATTAACTCTATACTGAGTTTCCAGTAGTGGCTATAGCGAAATGACGTTTCTCCAGTAACATCAGAAAATGTCGAGCAATCGACTTCTCTCATCACCCGAGCGAACCCAATCCAGCCCTTCCATTTCCAGTAGAAGCAAGAACATGGGCATTCCATATCCGTATTCTAGGTAGTTTTCATCTAATCTCAGCTATCGTTACAGTTTTTTTTTTTTTAAAAAAAACGAGCGTCTACACTGAAAAAGCTCAACTTATTTAAATGTATTGCAAGAAATTCCTGGGACTCATTCTCCTTGTACGATATCGATATAATCTTGATACGATCTTACATCCAGCCAACATGTAATTTTATCTGACTCACTCTCAGTCTTGACAGACACTCGGATCTGCCACTGCTTCCTCATTAAGAATCATCACATTATATCTTCTCTGAAATCACTCCCTACATCATACCAATCAGCAGATCAAGTGTGAGTTCCTGGCCACTCAGGGATTCTCGGTAATGAAATCGCAGACGAGAGGGCCAAAGTGAAGCTTGTCAAACCAATATAATAAATTTACTCTAGCAGCCACATATTTGCAGTTGTTTAGCCCCACCATATACCGTGTGACCAAACAACTCCAACAAACAATCTATATTTGAAAACAGCAAATACTTTGCAAAATTTCCACATTTGTCCCATATATATATAAAATTTCGACTACCTCTTTTGCAGACATCATAATTTTCAGAAGGAATTCGTACTCTGAACATATCCGACAAAGGCTAAGTTATCTAGATTCGGTCTTGCATTAGATGATAAATGCAGATGCGGAGCTCCTGCCAAAATTGATTATATCATCCTCGTATGACCACTTCTAGAACAACAGCATACCATATTTCGAACACAACTTGGTTTTGGGGCTCCGTCATATTGACGTATCATGGACACTTAAGATGGTCACGAATTTTGACCCTTTATCAACTCCTAAAGGCTATCAAACTTCTTCCAATCACTTAATCTACATAACTGATAAGCGATCCATAAGCAAAAAAAAGGAAAGAGCTAAGAAAACTCTCATTAGTCATCATTAGGGGACTAATATTGGCTGTCGAATTCTCTACCTATGGTAATATTAGTGAGTGGAGAGTCTTAGGAGAAGGAAGTTCGTTAGCTTCTGTGCTGATTTTCAAATAGATTAAAAATTTTTAAGTTAGGAAACTGTATGGAACTAAAAATTACATTTAACAAAGTTCTAAAAGAAAGCGTCAGAGAAATTTAAATTAAATACGAAAAATATTAAGAAAGGGAAAAATATCGTAGTAAATTTCTATACAACTGAAGAGAGGGGGAACCGGTTTTATCCCTAGATGACGTATTCGAGTATAGAGATCCCGAATAGGGGATAGACAAAATAGAATGTTATTAATTAGTTTTGAACATTTTAATTTAAAAAAGATATAATAAAAAATAGAGCAAATTATATACAGCTACTAAGAAACGATAATCTTTAATGAAGTTTTGCTTAGACAATCATCTCAATAGAGGGAGTGGATATATAGTAGAAACTAGCTACTAGATCAGTGATGTCAAAGTTCACCATGAGGTCCGTCTGGTTGAATGGCTGATCTTTCTATCTATGGCCATCATCAATAACTCACACTCTAATAACATAATTTTATTTTATGGAATTGTCTGTTGTAAGTAAGAAATTTTTGAAAACCTTTTAAATGGGTTACATAAATTTATGTATTTTTTCAATAGTTGGATTAAAAATAAGCTCAAAAAAAGTTCAAATTTGATAAATTTGTGTTAAAGAAATACTTATCACAAAATTCACTTAAATAATATTTTTGCTCATATGCAAATAAAAATATTTGCTACAATTATTTTCATAAGTTTGTTATGTTTCATCTAACTCACAGGATTTAAATTTTTACCAACATGTGTCAGATATTGAGCAAGCACAGCCCTACTAGAATTTATTTCAATTTTAATTTTTTGGAAAATTTTTCAGTTATAGGCTACTGTTTTCGTAATATTTGAAAGAAAGCAATTTCATAAAAAAGAATTTTACATTTAAGAAAATAAGTAGACAAAACAGCCAATAACATACATAAGATAGCACCTTATTCAGTTTATTTGTGGTTTTAAATTAGATTCAAAACCTGATTAAATATAGAAAACTCATATGAGTGGTAGCGTTTAGTGAAAACTTAAAATGCTTAGCACAATAAAAAAATTAATTATTAAAATTTGTTTTTGATATCAATGTTCTATTAGTAACAGTGTTTTCGAGCTATTTTAAATTTTTTTTTTTTAATTATTTGGCAGAGTATCGTAAATTTTATTCTATTTTATCATGTTCAGGTAGACGCAATAGGCACAATTCTTTTGAATTCTTGCTTGTTCTAATAAAACCACTTATTCTCAAACATGACAACAACAAAACGTCTAAGTTCCAGGAGTCGATAAATCATGTCAAATTAGGTACTACACAGCATCTAATAGCATAGATCAATTTTTCAGTTATTCTTTCATGTTGTAAATACATCCATTTTTAACTTAGCTACTCCCTATAAATAAGAATCATACAATTTAAACTTCGAAAAATATTGAAATTTCAAATTTTGTTGATCAGACTGAATTATGGTTCAGACTATTATTCTACTTCCAGTTTTTTTGAAGTATCTTTTTATTTACATAATATTTATTTTAGAATCGATATTAAGCTTCCATGGCGACAATATGTTGTTAAATTGCATTATACAAGCAAGACACATCACAGAGCAAGATATATCCGCAATTCAAATGCAGGGGGTCGAGAAAAAGATACATGTTTTGTCTTTATTGATTGTTACCACTTTGTGGATGTAACAATTTATTGTAACATTTATAATCAATATAAAATATGTTCATACTGTAATCATCTAAATTCAATAATGCAGACCTGCCAACCTTAGAAAATAAAAAAGCAGGAGACTCTTTCTGTATCACGACATAGCGCAATATTGAAAATTAAACCTGATTCACACTTCCTACAAGAAGTTTATTTCAAAATATATTATTTACATTACATAAAATAGACCACAATAAGATTCTGACACTGACTAATAAAGATACGTGTTCTTACTATAAAATATAAGGTTTTATAGAATTATATTAAAACATATCTTTTGATTTTTTCAAATTTAGGAAGAAGTTCAAAACTAACAAAATATGTCAATAATGAATACAATACTTTATAAATGCATTTCTTAATTTTTTTTTTAACTGCTACTGTTTTAAAACTGCAGATGTTGCTGATTTAGCATTATTTTTAAAAAAAAACTGGCATCTATAGAAAGTAAAAAAACATTTTGCCTAATGGTGTCCAAGATATCTCCGATTTTGCCATTTCATTGGTTATTGCTGCTGTTTTGGTTCACACTCACCATAATTTTTAGTGATGTTACGGGGCAAAGTTTTTCTAAATAAATGCCCAGCATGATCTGAAGCACAAGTTGGGAAGGAAATTGCACAAATTGTTGTTTTTTTACTCTATCTTGCACTAAATAGAAAAAAGCAGGAGAAAACACACTGAAGGCCTGAGGGCGAAGATTTGAGACAAAAGCAGGAGACTCCTGCTAAAAGCAGGAGAGTTGGCAGGTCTGAATAATGGAATGGAAGTTTTATTTCTAGTTTTATGAACATATTGTGGGAAATATTGAGAACAATGATTAAGTAAAAATTTGGTTGTATAGGTACCTAATAACTCTCTCTATAATTTACACAAATAATTGAAATTATATTTTTCATTCAATTAACATTTATTAATTTCTTTAAAATAACTTGAACAACTAAGATGTTAAATTTTATAAATAGAAGTAAGATAAAATATACAGAAAGATATTTATAATGAAATAAATAAAAAAAGTTCACTATTAAGGCAATGATTGTTTGAAAGCACAGTTTCAAGGAATGAAGTATTATTTCCAAAGACATAAGCTTTTTTTTTTTTTTTACAAAAAGATTACCACAAAGAAATTCCAAGACATAGTTACAAACTGTTCTGCAATAAGAGTAATCTTATTTTGCCTTGAATAGATTTTAAAAAATAAATGGCATTTTAATATCTATTGCCAGAATTATATGATGAAGCACCAGGAATCAAATCTATCCATTTCCAAACTTTTTAATATTACAGTGCATGGAAATGAACAACAGATGATTTAAACGCATCTATACACATTAACAACATATTTATCACACGAATTTTTTTTTAAACATTATTATTACTAAAAAAAAGACAATCCAGATATACTAAGCATCATTTTTTTGTCCAATAAATACTATTTAGACAAATAATACTATAAGGACACTCCCCTATAATGTCACAGCAATATCTCTCTCAAAGTTTCTAGTTTACTCTAGATAGGGTGGAGCCATCTATTAATTTTAAAAGGAAACATTTAGTTGATGCTATGGAGGTTGGTTTATTTCCAAATAATTTCCTTTATTCTATTCTTTGGCAACTCTAAATTATAAGTCTTTAGAACATTTATATCTAAATTATTAATAACATTCAGTAACTATAAGCAACAACACACATTTGTATTTATTTTTCTATTAGTTTAAAAGAATTATTAATGATGTATGTCAACATAAATATCAATCTAAAATTAATAAAATTAGAACAAAGTTTTTAGTTAGTATTGTTAAGTAGCCCATATATTTTACATCATAACACCTGAACTGCTTCTCAGGGACAGTCATACAAATTAAAAACAATTTTAAAGAAATAAATATTTGTTATTTTTATAAATAAATATGAGCAGTTTATTATTGACATTTACATAACTAGTTTTACTTGTACATTGTTTGTATTACTTTACAATGACTTTCATTACATTGAATTTCTTATTGTTACTTTATAAGAGTGACATGTTCAAAGGGTACTGAATTATATATTTTCTTAAATAATAATAATAATTAGTTGTTAAACAGAAAGTAAAGCATAAAGTGCTTAAAACTAAGAAGTACATAGCAGAACAATATATGTCTCAGAAGTATTTGCGTACACGTCACTACATAATAATTAAGGTGCAATTCACAATGAAAATTTTACAAGCTCAGGGGCTGATCCAGGCAAAAAAAAGACAAAATTCAACAAAAAGGTCTCTTTTCAAAATTAAAATCTATAAAGATGACTTCTTTACAAAATTAAATTCATAAAAACAACTCTTTCACTGCATTTAATTTATTAAAAGGTATTAGTATTTTTGGCATTTTATCAAATTGTGGCACATACCTGACATTTTTTGATAATAAACAAAAAATATATTGACAGCTCATTTTTTAAAATTTTTATTTTTTATTTGATTAAGAACATTTCCCAAAAATATTTTAATTTTTCACAAAAATGGGCCTCAAAAAAAATCTTTGTTTGACCTCCTGATGCTGTTTATTTAACTAAGTATAGAATTCCTTTTTCAATTTTTGTTTTCAAAATAAAATTTGCAGTTTTAAAAAATTCATAATTTGATTGTTGAGAGTTAATTTTGGGCAATACTTGCAAGGCATTAGTAATTATCAAAAGTATTGCTGCAGAACACTGAATACATAATTCTGCTCCTCAGCTATTTTTAAAATATAGTAACTTTGTCTTCAGAATTTTAAAACATTTATTTATAACTATAATTTGATTTAAGCAAAGTATAGCCACCATATCTTAACATAAAACAATAAAAATAATTAATGGTTTATATACAGAGAGGAAGACAGGTAATAGATGACTATAAATGCACTTATTAATAATCAATCTTCAAATAACATAGTAACAAGAGCAGCACTTTTACATTGATCATCATCTAATCTTCTTGCCTGAAATAATTGAAATACAGAATATTATTTTCCAAATAACATAACAAGAATTTTAATCAGCTTATTTAAGCACTTAGACAAAATTGTAATTTTTATAATGCCTCAAGAACTCTCAACAATATTTTCTCTTAATCCTGGTAGCAAACACTCTCGAGTAAGGTAGCAAGCACTGCGAATCATCATAGCATTCGCAGATTATTTTTAATCTCAAAATAAAATCAGAAAAAAAGAAAAAGGAAACATTTCTGTGTGTATATATACATATAAGCAAACACATTTTCATCTCACAGTTATACCCATGGTTCATCTTGTTTAATATAATTTGAACTAGAGTATGTTTTAATTTCTAATACTTATTTAATCACTAACTCAAATATAGCTTTATAAAAGCAAACCCTAGATTTAGTTCCCTCAATGTTCATTATTCTGGTTATTGCTTAATTTGCAGTAAAGTATCTGGGATATTGCAGTTATAAATTTTATAAGAAATTTTAAATATGTTAAGCCTCATCTGCACATCCTTTTCATAGTTTTTTTATTCTATCATTGTGCTTATAATAGTGCATATATTGAATAACATTGAGCAAACATCAGTTTTTTTTCTCTTAAACAAAGTTAAGCATCATTGTGTGATTTTAAACTCCCAATATTTGCAAATTTTGTTACATATATGTTAGATTAAGGTGTTGTGCTCATGCAGTTTATGGAGATAAGTGTTGCAGACTGATTCCGTAAATTCTGCTACCAGGTGAGAAACTCCAAATGGACGGCACATTATAGAGTTCCCTCCTGCAGCTGAAAAATATTTTGAAGGTAAAAGACATTTGTCAGACAGACATGAACGTCTCTATCAACCAACACTGTAAAGTTTGAGAACAAAATTGAAGAAACAGAAACCTATTGTTTAAATCGAAACAATAAATTTAAATTTGTAATAACTCTTGAATGACTACATTGATTGGCAATGTTCTTGCACATTGCTATTAATCTACAGATTATTCAGCAATACTTTTTAACTCCCACAGAAAATTATTGACACACAATATTTAAAAATCATATTTTTAAACTTTGCATGTGTTTTTGAAAGCACCAATACAGAAACAACACAAGGAGATAAGTTATTAATTTTGAAAAAATAAAATCGATGAGACCTAAAAAATAATGCAATATCAGATTAGATCTCAACAATCAGACAGCAATTTTATTAGTGTATTGGCTTTCTGACACAAAATTTATTGTGATAGGTCAGAAACAAGATATGTGAGTCAGACTATTTTTTACAGGGTCCTATATAACTTACAGGACCTATATAACTAATTTGACTTACAGGGTTCCCAGTCAATTTCAGGAAGAGAAAAAAAAAATAAAAAAAATCTACAAGCTCATTTGGTTTAAATGATTCAAAGCAGCATCACACCACAGAAATGAGCTAATGATCTCTCACAATAGGGTTGGATGAAATTGAACTGATTACCCATAAATAATAAGTCATGATTATAGAGTAATTGATTACTGTAATCAACAATAATTCGCCTAACTTTAATGCATAAATGCAGCTCTGGGAAAAAGTTACAGTGATAAAGGATGCAGAATTAACTAAAACAACATTTTAATTTTTACAGATCATTTTGTAATTATATACACATTAAAATAAATTCAGTGACATGATAAGCAACAGGGTAATAAAAAAAAAGCAACAGTATCTGAAAGCCTATGCGAAACCACCTCTGTTTTTCAGAGTGTTATTCAAAGTAAAAACCCATTTCGAGGGTAGTAACAAGTTTTTATTTATTTTTTATATAGAATCAGCTCTTTAGTTGTAATTGTGCATTTTTAAAGTTTTCTTTTAATTTTATTATACCTAATTGGCATCAACACTACACTTTAACTACCAAGAATTATAGCTCTCACAACAAATTTACTGAAAAGCTAATTTAAAGTTTAGTCATAATTTTCAATGACAAGTTTTAGATAAGATAAAACATGCTATTTTAGGATAAAAAAGCAACAAGACTTGAAAGCAAAAACATACAAAGATATAATTTTCAATAAATGTAACATCTAAAACTACCTTTATCAATTAATGCAACTTGTTTTTCAAATACATAACTTTACAGCCTTACACAGACATACTACGATACTGTAGTTTGCAAAGTTGAAAGTAACATGACAAAATTAAATATGAAATCCAAATGTTAAATAGTAATCAGATAATTTTTTTGCTGATGCAAATGATGACAGTTTGTTTAGAAAAATATAGTACAATAGGGAACCGATTATCCGGAACGATCGGGACCATCGCTATTCCGGATAACTGATTTTTCCGGTTTTCTGAATCGCTACAAAAAGCCGTTTTTTATTGTTAAACCCAACTAAAAAAAAAAAAATATTTGGTAATAATCTTGAAAAAACGAAGTAATACACTAATGATTATTTCCAAAATGATGGTAAGGTAAACATCTTTCAAAAAAGAAAGAAAAATCCTAAAATCTTATGAGGAAAAAAAAATTTTTTTTTAAAAATGGCGGAAAAATTTATCGAATTTCGTTCTGGTTTCTTGGTTTTCCGGTTTACTGATTTCCGGATAACGGGTTCTGCACTGTAATACAAAAAAAAAAATTTAAAACTAGATAAATAAAATATAAGGATAAAAGTGTATGAACTATGAACAGTCAATACTCACAGTATTCCACTTCATTAGAGTAGGGACACTTGTCAGCTTAAATTTTTCATCTTTCCTAAAATCATTGTTAGGATTTTTCCAACTGAAAAAAAGTAACAGATACAAGGATATATGAAAGATAATTTAATACAACTTATTTTTATTTAGATTAGTAGGTACATTAATTAAAATATACAGCATGGGAGTTTTAATCAAACATTATTTAATAAAATTGAAATTAAAAACATATAGTGCTTTTATGTTCTGAACTTTCCATGATTTTTTTTTAAAGACACTAAACAAGATGTTGTGTGAAATAGCATTATTCAAAATAAGATAATTTTATTTTTAAACTCATTACAGGCCAGGCTAATTCACTACATGCCATAATTTTGTACTACTTCCAGTTTAACTGTAAAACAATTCAGCACATTATTTTAAATTAAGTAAAATTAAAAAAATAGTCCTAAATTACGGAAAGCTTGTCTTTTTATTATCTTATTTGAGATCACAAAATAATTCTAATATTGATTTTATTACATGAAATTCTGTTTTTTCCCGAATTCAAAAATAAAAACCTAATTTTAATTTTACATCGACTTACACTAATAAAATCACTGGATTATAAAATCAGCTGCATTATAAAATTTACTTTGCAAGTATGGAATCATTACAATACTATAAAAAGGTAAAACCAACTTTTAATGAAATCATTTTGTAAAATCAAATTTTTGTTACGTGTTTTGAACATAAACACTGCCTTTCTCATTGGAATAATTAAAATTTTATATTTTCAATAGTTTTGAATGAAGGAACATTTAAATAGCTAACTTCATTCTATCCCTTACCAATAAAAAGAACAAAATTATAGATGTGGATTGTACTTATGTCCCCTAGTTCTGCCTCAATAAGGTGAGGGTGTTTATGGGTAGAATAAACTAATTTTTTTTGTTAGGGCCATCCAAGGCAAAAGTTGCAATAACCTGAAAATATAGAAATATTATTGTTGTTAGAAACAGAGTGCCAGTGAAACGGAGCGAAAATTATCGCCAAACCAACACCCGATTCCACACCTTGATTCAAAATTAGATCCCTATCGGTAGATATTACTTGAAATTGATGGTTCTTGTACTTGGTTGTTGTTAATTTACGTCGCACTAGAGCTGCACAATGGGCTATTGGCGACGGTCTGGGAAACATCCCGGAGGATGATCCAAAGACATGCCATCACAATTTTGATCCGCTTTGGTAGCCCGACAACCTGCGCGCGAAGTCAAGCACTTCACGGTAGCACAATTTAACGAGGACCAATACCGCACACCCTCGGTCCCTACGCAGACTGATCCAAGTGGTCACCCACCCGCACACTGACCGAAGACAGAAATGCTTGACTTTGGTGATCTGCTGGGAACCGTGTCTTTGCGATCAGTCCACTGCGGGACTCTTGTACTTAGAATAAACTAGTAAAAAATATATATGGGCTTGCACAGAGGTTTCTGTGAGTTTACTTTAGTTTCTCGCGTGCCACTGGCTAAAACATTAATAATTTGGGAGCCAAAACTTGGCAACAAGTCTAGCACTGGAACCAACATGGAAATCACTTCCACTTTATTTACAAATATATCAAATAGATTACATATTGATATTAATTTTATATAGACACTTACTAATCTCTACTTCCTACACCACAATAAATAAAAACGCTATCTTCAGGTGCACTTTGCAAACCTTCTTCTATAATTGGATCAGCTGTAAACAAAATACATTATATTATATATATAACTTTATAACAGATTAGGTATAGATTTAATAGAGTCAGGTCTGTTTATAATATATTAACATATGTAAGATACCTGTAACGCAATCTGGACACCAACTCTGACCATTAGCATCTTTAGATCCACTAAATAGAACAAATAATGCATTGGAGTTGGAATTTTCACTAATTGCTTTTTTAACTGCTTCATAACCTTCAACTTTGATTCTCTTCACCATCTTGAATAAAATTAGTTACTTTAAAAAATCCCAAATTCAGCGTTTAGAAATTTAACGGATACAAATTTCAGATTAAGAATAATACAAAAAATAATTTGGGCAAACTTATGTCAGTAAACTTATCGGTCTTAAAATGAGCTGTAAGAGATAAATAAAAATGGGTGTTTTCATAATTACAGTGACATAGTTTCGCGCTGTATCTTTTAAACTTTTGAGTTTTATCGAGTTGGATTTGCATTTTGAATACTTCTGACTGTTCAAGAATTTACGAATAAGAATTTCTTCAACTGTTTAGTTTTAGTTTAATCTCAGTTTTTAATGTTATCTATTTGACAGTTGCCGATGGTTAAAGTTAAAATCAAGATGCAATTTTATTTTGCAGTGGTTTCGTGGGTCATAAAAGTGACAGAAATAAGTAGGCAAACGCTCTTTTAATCAAAACGAATGTAAACAAGTTAAATAGTTGTTGAGTTTTCTATTATTAAAAATTTCGTTTACATCATGGAAGAAGATTCCCAATCAGCAGATTCGTTTAAAAAGCCTATTTTACCTTTAAAAGATCCTTCACTAGATTCTTTTAAGAAACCTGCAATTCCTATTTCTGATGCCTCCACCAAAGACTCATCACAAAATACCGCGGCGGCAAGTCTGATAGATTCTTCTGAAGTCAGTGATATTCCAAAAGTTGCTAACAAAAAAAGGGAAAAATCTCAATCTAATGTCCCATTACCATATGAAGAACCTGAATGGCATGGACACCCTCCTCCTAACTACAGCTTAGAAACAATAAAAAATGGCACGTTTATTTCAACTTTGTCCATCAAAGCATCTCTTGTTGTTTTCGGGCGCTTAGATGTTTGTGATGTTGTATTTGAGCATCCATCAGTTTCGAGATACCATGCTGTTATTCAGTATTGCAAGGGAGATGATACACATCCAAAAGGATTTTATTTGTATGATTTAGGAAGCACACACGGCACGTTTTTGAATAAGTCAAAAGTCTCACCAAAAATATATTATAAATTAAAGGTGGGATATATTCTGAAGTTTGGAGGTAGCTCAAGATTGCATATATTTCAAGGGCCAGAGGAAGAAGAAGAAGTGGAAGTTGCTAAACCTAAAGATACTGTAAATGAAGCTGTAGAAGAAATATGTACTTGGGGAATGGGTGAAGAAGCTGTTGAGGAAGAGGATATGACTGAAAATCCTTTCGCCATTTCAGCCACAAATGAGGATTTGTATATTGAAGATCCTAAGAAAACCTTGCGTGGTTGGTTTGAAAGGGAAGGTTACGAACTCGAGTATAAAGTAGAAGAGAAAGGATTTAGAACTTTTTGCTGTACTATTCGCCTTCCCATTGATAATCCAACTGGAGATTATCTACCTGTAGAAGCTTCTGTTAGTGGTAAAAAGAAAGAAGCTGTCATTGCATGTGCTTTAGAAGCTTGTCGGACATTAGATCGACTGGGACTGCTGCGACAATCGCATCATGAAAGTCGACAAAGGAAACGTAAGAAGTGGGAAGAAAATGATTATTATGATAGTGATGAAGATACTTTTTATGATAGAACTGGAGAGATTGAAAAACGCAGAGAAATGAGAAAACGATTAGCTAAAAAAGTTGAGGTTAATAACTTTGAAACCATATCAGCAAAACTTACTTCTATTCAGAGTGAAATGGAAGATATAAAAAATAAAATTTCCGTTGGTGAGTCTAAGGACTCGAGTGATTCGACATCCAAAGAGATTGATACTCTAGACATGTATATGTCTAACCTGTCTGAATCCGGTTCTTCTTTGAGTGATAAATTTGAAAGAAGAAAGTTAAAATTAAGATTAATTGAATTGGAAAAAGAAAAGGAACATTTAGAAAAACTTGCAAACATTGCAAAGCCAGTTAACATGCCTGCTTTAAAAAAGAATCTGGGATTTATCGGAAAAAGGCCCCAATCGAAATTGAAGCTTCCGTCTGCAACAAAAAGTGAAGACACCAAACCTAAAAATGATGATGAGCAAATTGAAGAAGATGATTCAGATGAAGAAGCATCTGTAAATGTCAATCAGGAACAGATAAATAAAGAGGATTCCAATCCAGATATTAATAAAGAAATTTGTTCTAAAAATGATGATACTGCGGAACCTGCGAAATATGGACTAATTTTAAATACATCTGCAACAAACAATCTTAGCAATGAACATATTTCATCAATAGATTCTTCAATGGATGTTGTGGAAATTGATAGTTTTAAAAGTAGAGCTGATATTAGTGAAGAGAAGAAAAACAAGAAAGGTATTACTGACTCTGCTGAAAGTATTTCTAATGTTGACAAAACTTTAGATTTACTGAAAGAAGATTCAAAATCAAAAGTTGAAGAAAACAAAGACAAAATTCAAAAGAAATCTAAAAAGAGAGACGTTTTATCTAAGACAAAAGTGGATGTTTATAAAACTGACTCTAATGAATATTGCACTTGGATGCCTCCAAATAACCAATCAGGAGATGGCATGACTCATTTAAATGCCAAATATGGTTATTAATAAGTTTTTGTATTTAATATCATATTATTATATTTAATTTTAATATGGTTGTATATATATGGTTAATATATTGCTATATTAACTTGTAAAAAAATGTTATGCAATCGGCCTTGGGCTTAATAAGGAAAATTTTCAATAAATATATTTGGTTTAATGTTAGAAACTGTTTATAAAACCCTTGTTATTACAAAGCTATAACAAATTATCAGTCCGTATTAACAATTAATATATTTACTTATATTTAACAAGTTATTTTTTCTGAACTTCTGGAAAATTATTTCATTGAAGTTGTGAAAAAGAAAATATTTAACTACGTATTTAAGAAAATTTACTTTCATTTAGGTATAATACACCCATTTTGATAAAATGGCATTGATCAATTTTTTACTTTTTGTTGCCTTTTTTCAGGAAAGAAAATATTTTCGTGAAAATTTCTTAATTATATAAAACTTTAAATTTTAGCCATCATTTTATTTTATATTTAATATCAAAAGTTTTTCTAAATAAGTCTGTGCAATAATTTGCTAAAATAATGAGTTTAGTAAAATAACAAGTATATGCAGCTAGTACTTAAATTATATGAAGGAAACTTTGTAAAAAGGCAGTTTTTTAAAATTTTATTCTTGTGTAGGAATCGTTTTTAAAAATTTGATTCTTGTGAAAAAAAGGCCCTTCTTACAAATTCAATTTTTTTAAAATGACTTTAGTTTCTGCTTGGATTTCCTCCTGAATATGTAAATAAACCAAAAAATTAAGAAAAGGTATTTCTCATAGAATTCCATTATTCATATAAATGCAACAATTAGCAAAAGCTTTTATTTGTGCAAACCATTGAATTTATTTTATGCCTACTAATGTTCATGTATGTGCAAGATCGTTTTTGACAAAATGTTAGTAACATCTGCTTTTTAAGTTTGATATGGATGAGATTGAAACCACCACCATTCACTTTGAAGACATAACGTTAGCTGAGAAATTGTATATGTTTCTGAAATCAATAATAGTTATGAGTGATAATGTGTTTTGTATCATCTATATCGTAGACCAAACACTGAGGTTTAGTAAAAAATAAAATTCAATAAATGAAAATCAAACATTATTCCAATCAGTGTAATAGCCAATTCAAGTGTTAGGATCAAATGTCCCCAGTCCCTACATTTTTATTGTAATCGTGTTTTACTGTATGTAATTAAAATTTCTTGAGAGTGAAAATTGAGATGTAAAATAGTACAAAATATCTTTGTATTGATTATTAAAGGCATTATGTTTGCTCTTTTCTGTTTCATTATTTTAATAGTTTTAAGAAAATTTAATTTGAAAAATTTTAGTTGTTTTTTTAGAGAACATGTTAATTTAATTTTTAATTGTACTGATATGCTGATTTTGACATCAAGTACTTGGTTCTAAGAGATGTTGGTAAAAATATACTTTTATAAATGTGTGCATATGTATGCATTTTTGAAGTGAGAGTGCATATGTATGCATTTTTGAGTGATACAGAGGACCACAAATCCTGGCTGTCCGATTGTCCTTCCACAAAATTTCCATAGTTTCAGAAAATATTTTTGGTAGAAGTAGTGAAGGTAATATGTATTAATATTTTAATAAATCAAAAACGTTGCCCGCCTCTGCATATACTGAATAGTATAAACAGTTATATAAGAGATCTGATTGATGAATGGTCATGTTCTTAAGTTTTGATAGAAATTCTATTTGTTTTAAAAATTTCTGTCTTAGAACATAACTGCTAGAAAACTTATTTAACAATTATCTGAAATGTTGGAGGGAAGGTATGTAATTGCTGAGGTGTTTGAGATATTGTAGATGGTGCATATATTGTAGAAAAGTTTAGCTTGTTTCTTTAAATCTGAAAATCTGTTTATGTTTCGGAAAAAGAAGTGCCTGGGATTTGTTTATCTCTGTGTGTATACATGGTGTTTTGTAGAGACCACCTTTAATATGCAGTTTTAGAATCATTAAAAATATAAATAAAAACTCTTTGAGGGTTGCAAATAAATATATTAGCAAGGAAGAATCAAAAATGCTTTCAAAATCTCACAAATCACAATACCGGAATCTAATACTAATTAAGCTTGTTTTGACGTTTATTTCATTTACTTTCCTCTACTATAATTTTTCAGATTCCCAGGGAAGACATTTACGCGCTATAGCGCNTGTAAAGGACCCATTTTTTTTCAAAAGGACCCAGTTTTTTAAAAGTCATGGGTCCCAGGGACCCGGGATTTTGAAAGCCTAGTGTCTTCCCTGGATTCCAATATTTTTTTTTTTCTTTTCTTAAATATTAATTTGTGCCTCCCAATGTGTCCTTTTTTTAAAATTTTTGATCAGGATTCTAATTCTGAAAACACATATTAAGAGATTAATAAAGCAGTTTCTGTGGAGAACTCTGTTTATATATATATACTTCAGAAAACTGACATTCTTGTATACCGGTCAACATTTAAGAAAAATGATAAAATTTTTTTGCATTAAATTGAAAAAATTACTGTTATAATGCTATTACAATACCCTCAGTTTTTGGTCTTCGCCTAAATTTATAATATTACTTTTATGATTGTGACCATGAGCCTTACTAAGCCAGTTGCCTGAATGAAAGCTCACATTTGATCTCTGATTCTGCTGGTACAACGTGAGCATTTCTGAAAATCTGATTTCCTTCTCCGTAGGCTCAGGAAATAAAGGTTTTTCTCTAATATTTTAATTATTTATGTTTTACTAAATCTTACATTTATACAGTTTTAAAAATGTGAATATACTGATCATTTACATATCAATTTTGAGATAACAGCAAACACATGTTCCCTTCAAGATGATTTTCTTCATAAGAAAGGGTGATATGAAGAAATATTGAAATAAAAATAGATCTAGAATATGTTCTACTTTTAATAGATCTAGAATATGTTCTACTTTTTCTTTGAATTCCCGAATAGATGAACATATGGAATCCTGACCAACGAATCTTGGTTCATTATATGTAGGGGCAGAAAGCAGCCACATCACAATAACTGTGTTTTAAGTAAAATAGTTATGTATTTACAGAACATTTTGACGTGATAAATATGATATTTGAATGATTAAAAGCGTTTCTATCATGCATAAATGTTTTTACTGAGAGTTTTTTGAGAAAATTGTTTAGGCTGTATCATACCTCTCTTACTCATTATGATTTTTCTACCCATGACCTGCTTTTCTGGGGGAAAAAAAATACGATTGCAATTAAAATTAATTTAGGAACTGATATACCTTTTTTTGATATCAATAGCACATTTTTACAGTATGCCCAAAAAGTGTCTTTATTTAAATTATGTTCAAAACAACCAAGGACAAAAAAAAAAAAAAAATCCATTTCATTTAAAAATTTATTTTTATTTAGCATCACTGTTTTTTTCTTCATAAACTGTGAGAAAAGCCATTTTTTGAAAAGTGGAACTAATAAAATAATATTTATCTGGTAATTGTTTTAGTTTCAGCAAATTACTAGTCACTGTTTTCTCTAATGTCTGGAAATTGTTTTCCCAATTTCGTTATTTTTGTCTGTTTGTTTTGTTGCAGAATTTTGTTGTTATTTTCCACTTCCTCTGTTATTCATCATTCTCATCCAGGCTGAGTATGCTAGGTTAGAACTGATGTTGGTAGTTTCAGTGTTGGAGCGCATTATGCATAGGCATCTCTCTGACCATGCTCCTGCACAATATCCACCTCGTCGACCTTGTTTTCTACAAAGTTCATGGCATTCATTCCAGTTTGTTGGGCATAGATTCCTTCTTGCTGCTTTTGTTGTTGTCAATGCTAAAAAAGGAAACAATGATTTAAATTGTGAATAAAGGAAATCAATGTGAATAATGACACTAAAATTAACATGCTATAGTTTCAGCAGCGTAGGTAAGGGAGGGGTATAATAAGTCAGCAATACTCTGGACGATACTCAAGCATCTCTACTACAAAGTTAGCCGTTTCATTTTTACGATGGGACAATGTTCACAGCTTCAAAATACTCTGCTTTATTTATAATTATCTTGATAGCTATGGGATGGGTTATATTTTTAAGGGACAGTGTGGCATATCTATAGGGTGTAAGAGAAGATAACTTGTTGGAATCTGGTTATAAATGCCTCACATGGAAATTTTCCTAGAATTTTAGGGGTACCTTTTCAGGATTGAAATAAGATGTAACCAGTGGATGGAGGGTGCTCCGAGTTTTCTTAACTTTTAGGCTGACTCACAAATCGAACACTTTCTCCGCATACTGTCAGGAAATGATGAGCTCAATTTTGTGCAAATTTTCTGGTTGTCTTTAGAGCCTTTAGTATATCTTTTAAGTACAGTTTTATTTTAATTTTGTAGACTATTTCTTTACGTATATTATCGTATTTTTCTTTTATTCAATTTTTATTAATAACTTTTTCCTACATTTGAATCATGAAAAGAATTGGAGATCAAAGGTGAATCAGAAGTCGTCATAGAGAAATCTTCAGAGGAAGGCATTGGCTCACATTGGGCTGTCTGGCCAACTATGGTGATGATGACATTTGAATCATAAACTTTTTTTTAAAATGATTTATTTATTTAATCATTTTTAAATCGAGTTTTTCAATCAGTTCAAAAAACACTTTCAAAGAGTTATATTCATTTGGAGGTAAGCTTATATTTAATTCAATTGTATGCAAAGACTAAGTAGGTAACGTAATAGGTATGCGTATAGGTATGTAAAGGCTAAACCTGAATTAGATTTAAAGTTGCAATATATTTCATAAACTAGTTCTCTCTATGGTTTTTGTAATCATCACATTGTAATATTTATTATAAAATAATTATCATAAAAAATAAAAGGATCTTAAATTTTACAAAGGTAGTTAATTTAAGCGCATAACTGTGAAAGAAAATAAAAAAGTTATTTTTGATCAACAAAGTAATAAATGTATAATAATTATAAAGTTGCAGGTTGACAACTGAAAATCTGCTTTAATTTAAATACTTTAACGTAATATAAAATTAAAATATTTGAGTTATTTAAAAAATTAAAAATTAAGTTAATACATAAAATGAAATAAGTTATTTTAAAGTCAGTATTATTTTCATTGAAATTGGGTTGCAAAGAAATTTTACTTTAATATAAAGTTTAAAAGTAAGATGTTTTTATTAATTTAGATGTAACTCTACATTTTTAACATTTAAATTTGAGCTTAAGCAACGGCAATTGCCCAAAAGTTTTGATTTGAAGAAACATATGATTGTAAGAAATCATAATGATTGTAAGAAAAAAATTAATTAGTCACTAATGATTAGTTGTTTTTTTTTATTTCTAAAAAGGTAATCACTTTAAGAGAAATAAAAAAGTTATTTTTTGAAAAATCCAATGTTTCATATTTTAAAACAATAATTCATCAATATGATTTTTTCAGGAAATTATGTATTTGGAATAAATCAAATACTTAATTTAAAAAAAAAAAGAGTCGTGCAAATCTGGTACTCACAATATATTATATTCAACCTCTTTAAAATTCTTATAAAACTTTCAAACTATCAATTTTAAATATTTAATCTATTTAAAAATTTATAAAGCATAAGTTTAGACACCAGTTTTAAATTTAATCTCACTTCAATTTGCTAATTTTGAATTTCTGAACCCCCCCCCTCCCCATGGAAAAGTTATCCGTACGTGCTTGAGTTTCAGCTGTATAAACAAGAACCTTTCTCAGTGTCAAAACACAGAATGGCTGAAAACGCTTTGCAATAAGGAAAAACTGGTTCAACCAATGGGAACAAAATATTTAAATTAAAGAAGAAAATCAGAAACAGGGAAAGCAGTGTTTAATGAATATGCAAAAGAAAACTCAAACTTATGTTTGTTATTCCAATTCTGTTGGGCAATGAAAGTATCTTTTAAGTCAAAATTTAAGGGTTTGCTTAATTTCCAGTATACAATAAAGATGGGTAAGTATAATTTTTTTGGTATAAGTTATAAATCGACACTGATACAACTAAGTATCAGTTACCAAAAACCTGATACTTTTAGTATCAGATACATATTTATAGATCTTTATTTAGATTTGGAATAAAAGTGGTGGTGAAAAATTACAACACCAAATTTCTAATGCTGATTAGAGTTAAAAGTTTATATTGAATGAATTTATATACTCATCGTGAGTTTCAATTGCAGACTTATAAATACTTTTGGTTGTAAAATAAAAAAAAAAAGTTGATTTAAATCTGATTCAAAATTACAAATATTTTGTTAAAAAAATTATTTAGCAAGTGCTTACGATTGTTAACTTTCAATGAAGTTACATAAATACATATCACAAGTTTATAAATCACAATATCGCACAAGTTTAACTAAACTGAAAAATGAAATAAATGATATATTGAACAAAACATTTTAAGTTTATTTGATTACTGATAATTTAATCTGCTGGCACAAACTAAAACTTCCTCAGCTTATAAAAGATATTTTGGAAATCAAATTGAATAATCTGAAAATCATAATAATAACTACAATTTAAAAATAATTACAACTAATTTTACAATAAATATTTGTGGAGATTATATAATAATTTTGTGAAACAAACAAAACTAAAACATATTACGATTAATTTAAAATATTAGGTCGTAAAGAATGAAATTTGTAGGAGGCAAAAGAGGATTAAGTTGGTTGATAGCTAACAGATATGGAACTTTTTTATTAATTAAATTATGCAGCCATATTTTCTCTGCACTTTTATCATGCATGTCGTAGGGTTTTTATTTGTCCTGATTTTCCTAATACAAAATATTCTGCCCTGATTTTTATCCCTGATGCCCTGGTTCTTTCTAACTTTTTTTATTTTTGTTTTTTCGAAACATACCATTTAGTCGAACATGCGCTTTTAGAATTTTTTTAAATGTCTTTCACTAGAAAAGAAATAAGAAAAACTAGACTTAACAATGTCAAAACTAGTGTTAAGTTTCTATTCAAAAAGTGAAATTGAAACGCATTTCAAGTAAAATCAATTTGAAAGTGAATGAATCTGCTGTAATCGGATTCGGCGGAACCAGGCTAGTGCTTTCAAAATGATATCGGTAGATACAGCGATACTTGATACATTGAAACCTCTCAGGAGCAACCACCCTCTGTTCCACAGTAAAATAGTCATTAATGGAGGTTGGTCGTTCCTAGAGGTTACCTTCATATACTTCAAAATGTTATTGAAAGTACAAGATTTTTCACAAGCGATTTTAATTTTCTTCTGCCATTTTCTTGGTGTGGAAAAGCAACTTGTGCTGGCATCAGGAAAACCAGACCGATGAATAAATTTTAGCGTCAATAAAAATGACCCCTAATTATGTGTGAAAACAAATTTACTAATTATGAATGATAGAACTATTTGAAACAAATGAACAATTATGTTTTTGTTTAAGTTTGCATTTTTTATATCATAAAAATTAGTCTGCTTTAAAAAATGAGAAGAGGTTTATTTGTTTGAGATTCTCAGTTTTTCTAAAATAATTATTNGGTAGCACAGTTTAACGAGGACCAATACCGCACACCCTCGGTCCCTACGCAGACTGATCCAAGTGGTCACCCACCCGCACACTGACCGTAGCCAGTGATGCTTGACTTCGGTGATCTGCTGGGAACCGTGCTAAATACATATAATAAATCCACGAATTTATTTGGGATATAATCATCACAAGTTTATATATCACAATATCGCACAAATTTAACAAAACTGAAAAATGAAATAAATGATATATGGAACAAAACATTTTAAGTTTATTTGTTTACTGACAATTTAATCAGTTGGCACAACCTAAAACTTCCTCAGATTATTAAAGATATTTTGGAAATCAAATTGAATAATCTAAAAATCATAATAATAATGACAATTTAAAAATAATTACAACTAATTTTACAATAAATATTTGTGGATATTATTTTATAATTTTGTGAAACAAACAAAAATCGAACATGTTACGATTAATTTAATATATTAGGTAGTAAAACATGAAATCTGTAGGAGGCAAAAGAGGACTTAAGTTGGTTGATAGCCAACAGATATGGAACTTTTTTATTAATTAAATTATGCATCTATATTTTCTCTGCACTTTTGTGATGCAAGCCGCAGGGTTTTTATTTGTCCTGATTTTCCTGATACAAAATATTCTGCCCTGATTTTTATCGTTTTGTTCGGTTTCTTCTAATTTTGTTTTTGTTTTTACGAAGCATACCATTTAGTCAAACATGCGCTTTTAAACTAATCAATTGGATTTTTTTAAAATGTCTTTCACTAGAAAAGAAATAAGAAAAACTAGACTTAACAATGTCAAAACAAGTGTTAAGTTGCATTTCAAAAAGTGAAATTGAAACGCGTTTCAAATGAAATCAATTTCAAAGAGAATGAATCTGCTGTTACCGGCGGCACCAAGCTAGTACTTTCAAAATGATATCGGTAGATACAGCGATACTACTTACTTCTCAGTGATATATTGAAACCTCTCGGGAGCGACCACTCTCTGCTCCACAGTAAAATGGTTGTTGATGGAGGTTGGTCGTTCTTAGAGGTTACCTTCATTGACTTCAAAATGTTATCGAAAGTACAAGATTCTTCACAAGTGATTTTAATTTTCTTGGTACGGAAAAGCAATTTGAGTTAGCGTCATGAAAACCAGATCGATGAATAAATTTTAGCGTCAATAAAAATGATCCCTAATTATGTTAAAACAAATTTACCGATTATGAATGATAGAACTATTTGAAATAAATGAACAATTATGTTTTTGTTTAAGTTTGCATTCTTTATATCATAAAAATTAGTCTGCTTTAAAAAATGAGATAAGGTTTATTTGTTTGAGATTTTCAGTTTTTCTAAAATAATTGTTTTTTACATATAATTTAACTTTCAACTCTGAAAATAAACCATTGATAGCATCGTCCTTAGTGCACGTACTCTGAATGCAGCTTGAGATTTTTTGATCTCTTTTGGAGAGCGATAAAAAGAGCTCTGTAAATAAGAGCTATACTCACAAATTTCTTGAATACATTTGAATCTACTACTTGACCTTTTCCGCACTTGGTGCTGAGGTTTGATGGTTTCTCATAAAGGTTTTCTTCAACACCAAGTCTATGAAAAAAATTCCGTGCCTCACAAAAGTGGTCGCTACACAGAGGTGGTCTTTCCTGGAGTTTTCACTGTATTGATCTTAAACCAAAATGAATACGATTCCAAACGAATATACGATTGTTCCAAAATGATGCCACCTAGTGCTGAGAAATTTATCACAATCGCGAGTAATAAGAATGTCTAAGAAAGCGCATACTTATTATTTTCTTTCTCAAACATGAATTGGATTTAAAAACCAAAATATTGGAGGATGATGATTAATGAATTGTTCATTAATGTGAAATAATCATAAACTTATCGTTAATAAGAACGGAAACTTTAATAAACTTATAGTTAATAAAACTTTAATAAACGGTTTCAGTTCAAAAGTGAAAGTAGAGTGTTCTAAACAAGTGCTGTAAAGTCTACTAGTTCGCCAATTTCAACTTAGTCAACTTGAATTTTAAAGAGCCACCTTGCTATTTGTCTTTCTACACATTTAAAAATGTAATTAAGTACGCGATTATCTGCATACCAGTTAATACTCGACATTTTCAGTAAAATACCCTTCTGTCATTCTCTGAAAACTTGGTTTTAACTTTCAATTACAATTTCGGTGCCTTGAACCATAATATGGTGCAAATTAGCTGCAACCTAATGTTAAATCTGACCGTATTTCGGCCAAGTTGGTCCACATTGTCGTGTAATCAAGTTAAAGAAGTACTATACGGTTCAGCTTGGCAAAACATTAAGGCTAAAGAAATTTGAACGATGATAATATATGGTTCAGCAACACTCAAAATTTCTACTGGGTGCTGGATGATCATGCAAATTATATTGCAGTAAATATTTCGATAAAAATTTTATTTGCGTAATAAAGCTATTTAATTCACCAATAATTATCTAATAGAAAAACTTACCTAATGTTAAGCAGACGATTATTAATATTTTCGGAAGCATTACTTCAGCGCCAGAAACGCCAAACATCTTCGCCAAATAACATCATTAACTGACAATAACCATTATTTCCAAATATTCTATTGTTTGAAAGAATACAAAGTTAGTGATTAACTAGAGCATTTTAGTTTAATCTAACTTCATTACGCGGAAGCGTTACTTCGAATACGATTAAACGAATAATCGTTTTTATTTTTTTACAATGTGTTACCTGAGTTAGAATATTAGTTTACATTGTTGAGTTAATTATTCCCGTTAAATTACATAACACTGTATTCTTTTTTGAATCAATCGCATATAATAGTTCATTTAGTAGTTTTTATGTTGTGTTGCCTTCTTATTTAAATAATTTTTTTATAATACGTATTTCTGTTTTTTTTTTAATGTAATCGTTATAAATATTGACCTCAATTAAAATTTATATTCTATCTACTTTAAACCACATTTCATATTTTTTAAGGCAAAGTTAGAGCAGTGTTGATCGATTTAAGGCAAAACCAGATTTAAAGGAGAGGAATGTAAAATTTCTCTAATCATGTTTACTTCATAATTCTAATTTTAATCTCAGTTAATATGACGAGGGAGATCCTGAATCCAATTTTAGTGAAAACTCATCTTGGAAATACACTTTTTTGAGTGAAAAACCCTGGTATAGGGTAAATGGATAAGAAAACCGCAAAACCTCCCATGGTTAGCCTGATGGTGAAAGAAATGTTTCGTGTTCCGTTTACAATAGCTGATATTTTATGTCAGAATTGTAACATTGTTGTTAACAGTGAGTATTCTTGTAAACAATCTACAAACCAAACAGTAATAACAGCGGTACTCGAACCTGAATAGCGGGATAAAATTCTTAAATATAAAGAGCCAATATATATCATATGTATCCTATCTTTGAATTATATCCTAGAATTTGGGAAAATTTGAATGTTTTTTTTCTCTTATAAATAAAGAAATAAACGAAAAGTAAATAAGTTTTAGATAATGGTTATGTTAAAAAAAATATCAAATTAATAAAGAAATTTAGTTATGCTTATCCGTCTTAAGTGCTTTGTCTAGCCGAAGTAAATTTTGGAATAATTCTTATTCAATCTTAATAATACAATAAAAAGAAATTGAAATTCGCAATTTCAAATGAGTTTATTATAATTTTGTTACAATCAATTTTGGTTCGACTTTAATGATAAGGACAACTTAGAATATTTTAATTGGCACTTGTCAGTAACATTGGCATTCCTTCTTGTCAGATCCGATGCAGTGTCCATTTTTAGTATACATTGTTTGACAAAACATAGCACAAATTGTTCCTCTTGATGGACATCCGTGGGAATCGAGGTTAATTTTTGGCAAACTTCCCTGATCTGCAATAAAATTATATTAGAATAATATAATTTCTGAATTAAAATAAACTAATAAAATCTGTACTAAAAATAAAATCTAAATAAAATCTGTACTGTGAACTTATCAGTTTAAAAAGTAATCTAATTTTTCATGAATTAGAAACGAGTATGTACTTCGGGTATTAGTTCTTTAATGTTACTGCTACTAAAATTGAAAAATATTAAATAATAATATACTTTTAATTCAATTGATGCAAGAATAAAAAATAAACATGATTATAATTAAATTAATTTAAGATGATATTACAATGTCATAGTGAGGTTATTTAAGTTGCGGTTGAAGGTTTTTGGTCAGAATTTCTTATTCAAAAGTATCAAAGTGTATTTTTCATTGAATAGTAAAACGTTTTGAATGATTTTTTGATGCATTTTTTTGGAAGGGTGGAAGATGGGTCCACTGTAGAATTTATAAAATCTTTTGTTTGCAAACGAAATTTTTACTAGAAACTGCTTTCAAAGAAGACTTCACAGACTAACTAAATGTTCTATGTAGGATGTTCGGTAATTGTCTTTAATATATATTTTTTCGAAATAAAGTTAAAAAAAAGAAAAACCCATGCACATTACGGATCGCAAATTAATATTTAAGCGAGAAATAAATAAAAACTCCATCGAAATTTGACAAATAACTGGGGAAGTAAACGGAAAGAAAATTATAAAAACCAGTTTGATTTCTTAATGAAACTTGGAGGTGTTTATTAACAATCGGATTTCTATACTCTTTTCAGTTTTCTGTGGCATTAAGTACATGATACGTTAGGTTTTGATAGAGAATTTGTTTTCACCTAGCTTAAATATTAATGTGCGAGTGACTATGTGCTAATTTTTTGACTACACATTTGTAACAAGAATTTTATAAAAATATATATTAAAAGGGATTCATTACCGAACACCTTGTATTTTCAGCGGAGCATACTGTGAAAATATGTGTGTTTTCTGTATGTCGTTTAACATGCTTTTCTCCTAAAATCTTCATTTATTGTTTTAAAATAAATTTATGCCAAAAAATTTAAAGTTTAAAATATAAATAAAATGTTCCTTAATTTTGTTTTTGCTTTGGTTCTAATTATCATTTACTCATTCAATTTTAAATAATAATCTAATCTAAAATACTTATGTATGATGAGTTCTAGTTTTATAAATCTAACTTTATTCTTATAATTAGATATTAAGAAAAACGACTATAAAACGAAGAGTTTTTAGCAATAATATTAAATGTATGTGTATTTTTTTACTCATCAAGAATAACTTTCTTTGATTTATTAGAGAAATGAAAGTAACAGTTTATGTTTTCAACAAGTTATATGAGTTATTAGCCTGAAATTAAAATTCGAATAATTATAATTCAAAGTTAGTTACAGGAAAATTATTTTCTATTTTTGGCACAATACTTATTTTTTTAAACCAATTAAATTTTTTAAAAATATTAATTTACCACACATTTCGTGTGTATTATCCATAACAATTCATATATGAAGGAAGAATTAACAGTCAGAAATAAAATCACGTTGCAAAGAGGTGGAATAATTTTATATGAACTAAATACTTTGGTTTGTGTTCAGAAAATAGTAAAATAATTTTAGAAGTTATACTTATTTCTTACATTTTTAATTTTATGGGTAGAAAAGTTTCTTTTACAGGTTGTTCCTGAAAACCATTCCTCCGATAATTTTATCTGTTTGATGTTTTTAGTCCCTCCTTCGTTAGTAGTGGATTCTTGGATTTTAATTGCGGTTTTGTTTTTCCTTTGGTTAAATATTATTTGAAGCTCCTATTGTGCATACTTTTTTTTTAACTTCGTTTGTAACAATGATTCGAAAAATATATGTTACAGTTGATCTTTACAGATCGTGTTGGAAAAGGAATTTTTATTTTTTAAATTTTTATTCTTCATGTTATTCCTAAAATAAATTGATGAGGTGTATTGATGATATAAAAATCTACTATGTTTTAAAACAAGTAAAATTAAATGTATTCTTTTTCTGATTAAATTAAGCAAAATTGATTTATGCATTGTAAAAATGACTTAATATAGCAGAAAATACATTTTTAAAGAACTATTAAAAAGGAAAGACAGTGGCAACAATAGACTAAATAAAAATATTGTTCATCCACCGTAAGAAAACGATTGACAGTCACAGAGTATATTTCGACTCAGAGATGGTGTCATTGGCTCAAAGTTTTACCTCTGATTACCATAGTTTCTATTTATCCTTCTTTAGTCTTCCTACGTAGCTCTTGTGTCAGCTAATGATTTGATCTTCAATCGTCTTCTTGCGGTGGAAGGAGAATTAATAATAAAAATTTAACTTAGAAGAAATCTTCATCAATGCTTATACCTTTTTTGTCCAAAGGCAACGTCATTAATTTTTCAGAAGGCTTTCTATTGGTAGAATACTTTTTGTCACCTGGAAACAAAGCATCAGAAAATTCAGAAAAATTCTCTATTGTTTAATTTATATACTTATAGTTCTGTTGTAATATTAAAAATTACATGACATTAATGGCCTTTTATAAACACCTGGTCAAGCTTATGAAAATATTGAGGGGTTTAACTTTCGGTATCTATATTAAGCCTACCGGATTGTCTTCCTTTGTGGAATAACCCTTTGTTATCATCTACACGAAATCTTAAAACCTAAAATAGTTTCCTTCAGAGAGTCATCGAAATAAAAGAATAACTAGGACTGGGCGGGAAGAAGGAAAATCTCATCAAGTCACAATGTTCAACTGAATGAAGAAAGTACGAGGTCAGAATAAACCTGTCAACTGAGATTTCTAAGAAATAAATAATTGACTTAATACTAAAAGCTGTAGTTTTAGAGACTATCCATGAATTGTACCCAGATAATGAATGGCTGCGCGTGCTTGTAGATGGCTCTATGCCGCTGACTGCATTAATGCTACCGCTAGGTTCCCTGTAGGCTATTCTTATTTTACACTTCTGTCGGAAGGTATAAAACAGCCTAAGAAGTGAAGATTTCAGCAATTCAAATCTGTCACAGCTACAATGTCAAATTAAAAAAAAAAAAAATCAAGAGTCGTCATATTATCAGATTCGAGAGCTACCTTCCTCACCATTGCTTCATCTGAGGCTCCGGCGTCAACTGATATTTTAAATAGTCATCTGGCCCTTAATGACATAATTGAAAACCATAAAGAGGTTGCATTGTGGTGGGTGTCAACGCACTGTGGACTCCAGGGAAATTAATCAGCTGATTTCCTGGCAATGAAAGCTACCAAAATTTACTCTAGCGGATAAACCAATTTCTTTCTATACCACCAAGCTGTTATTTAAAAAATCTATTAGAGTGAACTTTTGGTGTAATATAAGGGAGGCAGATAAAGTCAAGAAATAGTTTGAGGAAATTTTAAATATTCCATTATAGCCAAGGGACAAATGTGTTGCTACTTTTCGCCTCGTTACTGGCCACGATTGCCTCTCCAAGCATGTATATCGTATAAAATTCCTTTCAATTCCTCTCTGTCAATTGTATAACATTCGTGAAGAAATGGACCGAATCATTTGAGTCATTGCCCTGCACTGGATTCTGGTGGGAGAAATACTGGAGAGATGAATGAGATGATGACATTCACAAGACGAACGATTTATAAATTTACTGTAGTTTCAGTTTTGTTACTGTTATCTTTGTTTCTTGTTCTAATTTTATTGTTTTCTTTTTGTCTACAGTTGTCAGGAAGTATATACACGCACATATATACACACACATATATACACACACATATATACACACACATATATACACACACATATATACTTCTTTACAACAAATGCTCGCCGGTTTTCAGTCCTTGAAAATATTTTCGGGAACCTTAAGTGGTTGTTTTAGAATCTTTATAATTTACCTCTGTTTAATAATTAAAAAAATTAATAACTTTTAAATTTCTGATTGTTTCAATTTATATTTTTATTTTTCGGGTCAGTTTACTTTTTTTCTTATTTTATAGCTTCTACTAGACAATCTAAATTTAAATAACAGCTATTTTTAAAATATTTAGTTGTTAATATTTAAAAATTTTAACAATTTTAAAGTTTTATTTCATTTGAGAATATATGTAAGAAAAGTATGAGTTCAAAAATTTTTGAATTTTGTTTCTCCTAACGTATAAAACTTTTTCGGAATACTACTACAATAAAAGAAGAAAAAAAGAAACAATATTTTGATCCACACTTCTGTTTATTATATCATATCCTTTCAGAATTCACAAACGTATATTTATAATTTTTTGAGTCTTTTCTTATGATGGATGTATGATGTTATTTATGCCACTTAAAATATTCTTATTTTCAGAAATTATTGTTTATTTTACGTATTGTACATTTTTATGCTAAATTCTTCACTATTAAAGCATGTGTAAATCCTTTTCGGAATTATTTTTTGTTTTAAGTATTGTACATTTTTATGCTAAACTCTTCACTATTAAAGCATGTCTGAGTCTTTTTCAGAATTATTGTTTATATTAAGTATTGTATATTTTTATGAACTCTTCACTACTAAAGCATGTGTAAACCCAAATATCAAGAACAATTAGGAGCAAGAAGTGAAACTTAGTTTAGTGCTCAATGCGTTAAAAATAAAATTAATCTAATTATTTATCCAAATAGTTAGGGTATATTTAGTGCTATGTATATTTAGTACCAAAGCTAGGGTATATTTAGTACTAAATCAAAAAATTACGCGAATAAAGCACAAATGTTTTTATGTACTTTCGTTTGTGCTTTATTCGTGCTGCTTTTATGCTTTAGTTATCTAATTTATTAAAATATCACATACCTTCGCAATATTCTTTTGCAATACATGCTCCAGTGTCATCTCTGAAATAACCATTCACACAATCACAACCTGGAGTACAGGGATAGACATAATCCAAACAGATACCATGCTGGTCGCAGTTATTACAAGGATTTATGCATTCCGATAATATTTCATTTGGAGGACAATGGTGGTTCATATCGATGTCATGATGAAAGATTTCTGAAATAAGAAAACAGAAATAGGTGGGGAAAAATTCTGCACCCTGTGAAAAATTACCGAAGATTGTACCGGCATCCAGAGTGCTGATACTTTTTACAGTATTTTTTTTAAAATTTATTTAAAATGTGTGCAATTTTTATTGTAAAATTTTACCTAACAAAAATCTGTAAAAATCTTAATTTTTAATGAGTACTGCTAAGAGTAACTGTAATTATTAAAATAATTACAATACTGTAAAACTCTTAATTTTTACAGTAATATTTATTGTAAAACATTGAAGTTAAATAATTATTGCTGGGAAATGTATGGTGTGAAATTTTACGGTAAAAATAGATTTTGAGGTAAGAATAATTTTACGGAATATTCATCGAAGGTGACGATGCTTTTTTACCGTAATTTGTTAAATAATTTTCTTACAATGCACTTACCGCCCCACTGTGTAAGTTTATTTATTTTTATAGAAATAAGTGTTGTTTAATTAATCTTTGAACAAATCTATTGAATTGAGCAGAATAAAATGACCATAAACAGGTTAATTTTACATTTATTGCTTCCAAGCAACAGAACTTCAAGTTTTTTTTTTAAACTCAATTTTAATTTTTAATTGAAATTCTTTTCTATTGACGCCACTAATTTTCTATTAACTGCTTTTAATCATTGTATCCTTATTTCTCATTCACAAATTAATAAAACTTTTTTTTAAAATTGTAATTTAGATGCTGGTTAGCGATATAAACGGAGAATAAACCTTTATTTAGTAGGTATTTTAGTGCTGCTGCAAAACTTCGAGAGATTCTCAGAATTTTATTTTTGATTTTTATGCGAAACGGAAACACTGCTATTCTGTTAACAACTTTTATTTATTCTATTTCTCTTTTGCTAAAAAATAAATTTTTTACTCGCAATTTGTGATTTTCAAATTAGTTAGTGACGTAAGCAGATGGTAAATCTTTTGTTATTACTTCCAAGTTAAAGCTTGGTAAATTTTTATGAAAAAAATATGTCAAAATCATAATGGATGATTTATGGGAAAAAGTAGTGCTCAACAAAACAATGAAAAGTACACGAAATACTGTTTTAAACACTGTTGAAGATACACTGAAATAAGTAAAACTAAGTTTATACGTTTTTTTTTATTTATAATAAGATCCATAAATTTATTTTGAAAAACGCATTATTCTTACATTAATTTAAAACTCGGTAAATTTTTTTTCTCATTAGAAACATTCACTGGAATGAAAAAAAAAAATCAAAATTTAATTCTTTTTTTAATTTTAGAATTTAGTATGCTATAATTGGAATTTTATAGATACCATTGATAATAATAGATAATCAGGTGTAATTGATAAATTATGTTTCTTAAAGTTGCATGAAATAACATACAGTGTAAAAAAAAACCGTATGTTATTTCATGCAAAATTTTGTAAATTAAAAATAAACTTACAGAAGCGTTTCGGAAACTTTACAAAAATATTGAACAAAATTTTATTTGTAACATTGATTTTAAACATACTTATATTTTATTCGGAGGTTTTTATATTCAAAGATAATTTGTTTTGACCGAATTATAAACTTTTTTTAGCGTATCCAAAATCAATATAACGCCTTACCGTTTTTCGAAGGGCTCTGCTGAACTTCTGATGGATTTATCACAATTGAATTTCGAAATCCTAGGGAAAGAAAGGCAAATAGAATCGAGCTAATAGTTGCCATTGTATCTAATGGGCAAGTAGCTGAAGTTTATCGAATCAAGTAACTACATCTAAATGGTTTACACTTACTTGCTCGTGTTTATTTTAAAAATCACTGACCATTGCATAGTTTTATCTATGAATCTTTTTTTCTAAACATAAGTGAAAGTAGTTTGAGTGTGAGACGGTATTATTGGAAGATAATATTCATTGCGATAAATTGTAATTGATTTAGTTAGTTGATTTAGTTGATTAGTTTCTACGTTCATTGGAAAGGAATATTTTGAAAATTGGTTAAGTGATAATTCTGACGCGATAAAAAGCTTTTTAACAGTAGAAATTTTTGTTTAAAATAAATAAAAACACAAGGTTTAAATTAATTCCCAATAAAACTTTAGTGCTATTAGTATTTTAGATAACCTTTAATATCTATTTTGTTTAATTTTTTTTTAAATATAAAATTAGTATATAATCAATTAAAAGCTTGAGTTCTAAGTGTATAACAATCGTTCTCTCTAAATTTATGTATGACAATGTACTGTAATGTGTGACAGACTGTATGACAGAATGTATGACATGTAATGAAGAATGTATGAATTGGTAATGTATAATGAAAGAAGGAAAGATTGCTCAAAAAATATATTTTTAATTTTTTTTAAGTAGTAAAAGAAAAGAAATTTAATTTCATCCTGACTATCTCTTTATTATGACTCTGTCTCCATATTTGTTGAAACAATTTCAGTGTTCAAAGTCGAAATCATTATCATAATTTGTAGAAGTTATAATAACATTCAAAAGAGATTGAACCAAATTATCACTGGAATTAAATGATAAAGAAAAAAGAAATTAGATTGTTTGACAAAATCTTAGATAAATAATTAGATAATGAAGATTTCGATTTTCACCAAAATAATTTGAAAACGAACTCTAAAGGATTATATTATCAAATGTTAAAGACTATTTAGAAAATTATTGTTGACGAAGCTATTCAGCTTGCAACGTTTCAAAATTTTACGATTTGATTACTTTGTTCACCCTCTTCGAAGCAATGAACAAATTAGATATTACCCGATTAAAAACTTCATTCCTTTCAAAAAGATATAAACAGGAAATAACAGTCGACATGTTTCAAGAGCTCCAAAAAATAGGCGCCCATTTTCAAGATTCGCCAGACGTGAATCAGAAGAAACAAAAGGGATTTGGAATATAAATCGTAAAGTTGTTTACGAAAAGAGGGAAAAATAAAAGTGAGAAAAAAAAACTAGAAAGACCACAGAAGCTGAAAGAAAAAATAATGAAAAACACGAAGAAACCGAGAGGGTAAAATGTCAGTCAGTGTTTTAATCAGTGCGATCTTGGCTACACCTGACAAACTAGACACGCTTTGAAATTTAGACTTAAGAAACACGATATAGTTTGTCTGCGGTAAGAACTACTCCCGCCACGAAGTTTGAGGCCGTCTGTTGCTATGGAAACAAGAATAGCGCATTTCAGGGAAGGTAGCGTTTCTTCACTCTAGGGCTAACACAGTAGAGCGAAGAAAAATGTTCCCTTTCCTTCGTTGACCCGAACCAATATCTGTCCTAAATAATAACCCCAAACCCCTACTTGAAATAGTTATAATTTGTAACCATGGTCACGGCCACGGATCCAGACGAATGGCTAGGGGAGTTCTCACTTTAGATAAACTATAGATATGTTCGTTATAAAAATAGGATAGATCATAAATTGCTGCATATTGTTTGAATCTAGGGCATAAAATCAATATCGATAATGCCAGAATTATCTCCCCCCCCCCAGTCACATGAGCTCATCTTGATTCCCCGGAATCTTGTTTCATTCATATGAATGCTGATTCCCTTGTTAAAGACGTTAATTCCTCATCATTAGCTCGTGGAAATGCATTTTTTAAATTAAGTTGCCCCTTTCTGCCACTGTGATTTTTCCTCATCTGTTATACATCGTTTTTTCTTCTCTCGGCTACTGTGGTTTTTCTAGTTTTGTCTTTACCTTTATTTTACTCTTTTTCGGTGGCAACTTTACGTTTTATATTTCAAAACACTTTTGTTTCTTCTCATTCACGTCTGGCAAGTCTTGAAAATGGGCGCCTATTTTTGGAGCGCTTGAATCATGTCGACTGTTACTTATTTCAGTTTCTTTGGATTACTTATTTAAAAAAATTGAGATATTTACAAGTATCATAAAATAATCTGCGATACTTTAAAGTTAGAATTCTCCTAGATAGTAGGCAACAATAATTCACGGAAAACGAGCACGTTTTTTCCATAAGTAAAATTGTATGAAAATAATAATTTCGAAATAAAAATTTTCGAAATTATTCCTCCCTGTTCAAGAGTTCCCTCCCTGTTCATGGACCCTTTAGGGGTCCATGGGTCATATTTTGGGGGTCCGCCGACTACTTTTAATTTTTAAAACGATTGAATCAATAATATTTAAATAATATTGATCTTTTTTTTCTTTCTAAAAGGTGAAAATAGATACATATTTGAAACTAGGTGATTGAGATACCCCAAATTCAGTGCGGACTACACACAGCCCTCTAATATCCCTGTCATATTTACAACATCCTCCACCAACCGCCTTTCAGTTTGCACCATCAGGGGCAACCCCCTGATTACGTCCGATGTGCTATTTTTATAATCCTCTATCAACCCCTCATTTTTCGTGAGCCGTCCCTTTGCCCTTTCCCAATAGAGATCTCTTAGATATGCCAGTCATCCTCCACAATATGAGGAAAGGAACATTTGCAAACCATATAAAAATTTACAATTTTTAAAAACACAAAGTAGCCTTCGAATTTCATTTCAATTGAAAATAAAGTTAAGCAAAATAATTGATGGTTTTTGCAATAATGTTTTTACAGGGGGTGGTCTGTGACTTCTTAAAAATTTTTAAAAGGGGTCTATTATACCAGAAAGGTTAAGAAACACTGACCTAACCTCTATTTTTCCAGTGAGGATATTACTAACAAACAACAAAAAATTACCGATAAACAAATGTTTACTTTTTTTCGCTTTTAATTAACTTTATTTTTTGCTTTAAAGCAATATATATATTATTGTTTAAATACATTTAAATTAAAATACATGATCAGTTTATTATTAAAGATAAATAACACTTAAGTTTCTTTTAGCATTTATATAGCCATTATTAAATATTTTTAAATCACACTCATACAGCCGCATTAGAAATTTATGAATTACAGCTACAAGCATTTTTTAATAATTAAAATGTGGCAACAGACACAAATTCATATGATATAGAAGGCCAAAATTCTCCCATATATTATCGATACTTATGATATCAATATTCAATGCAATGCCATTTCATATTAATAAATATTAGATTTGAACGAAGTTAATAAAAATTTCTTAATTTATATTTCACTTTTTAATTTAAAATGTATGTTGCGAGACCTATTTTTTACTCGATTTTATAATTTCATAAAAAAAAAAAAAATAAAGAATGAAATCACTATTTAATCATAGTCTAACAGGTCACAGTTTGATGGCCACATTCGGTACATAGGACTTGTTTGTTTTTATTAATTTGATTATTAAATTAAAATAGTGGGAAATTCCCTTTCATTATTACAAAAGCTGAAATGTGACTCTGATAATAAACTGAACTTCTGATAATATCTTTATCAGCAAGTTTTTACACAACTGCATCGTCTGATATCGGTAACAGGGTTTCTTTATTTGTAGACTAAAAAATACACTAGTAAAAATGGCGTAAGTCAGTTTAGCTTTGCGATTTGATATAGTAAATTGAGACAAAAAAATATTTCTTTTCAGTGATTTATTTTAGCAACAACTCACGTATTGCTACGCTGATGGTTCCTAACAAATAACTTAAGAACTGAACCGAAACTGAACCCATTTGGTAAAATGACAGGTAAGGAACATTTGAAACTACTTCGTCATAACTTTAAAATCATTATCAGAAAAAAGAGACATTAATAAATCAAAAAATTACAAATTTCTATCTTGGTCAAAATGGTTTTCACAAAATTATTTAAATGAACGAATTATAGAATGTTTTGCAAATGCAAGTTTCATAAGTATTAAAATTTTTTTTGTTGGATAAATGAAATGTAAGAAATCCTATTTAGAGCACTCAAGGCACTAAATAGGTAAATTCATTTTATTTACATCATTCATTTATCATTCATTTTATTCATATTCATTATTTTATTTTATCACAGTTTTTTCATTTTATTTTTATGCCTTTTATAAAAAAAACTTACAGTTAAAATTAATCTAAAAAACAAAATAAAAGTTATAGACTAATTTTGATGTGGACAAAATATAGTTTTTTAATTACTATTTCATATATCGTATTAATGGAATCAATTAACATAGGTTAATTAAGAGCAATTTTATTGCTATTGCTGAAAAAGTATTTAAATCGTATGTCGAAGCGCAATAACAACTTCTTTATACTATAGTCTCTGCAGCTAAAAACTCTGTTATTCGATATCGTATTTGTTATTAATATTTATTGCTAATAATATTATACTTAATATAAATTTATTATGTACTCATTTACTTTTTTGTTTTGATTCTTACTTGTAATGAGTATGTTTCATAAGAAAGCTAGATTAATTCCTATTAATAAAAACAAAATAGTGTGTAAAGAACCAGAAAAAAGGAACTAATTAATGAAATTCTCCTTATTGTTCTTATTAATTCAAACTCCACAATTCATACACTATTCTTGTAAAACATAATTCATAAAATGTTTGCCTTTATTCATTCACTTGTTAAATTCAAGTATCAAAAGTAAAAGAACAGTAAAATTACTTTTACAAAGATAGTTAAGGAAAGAGGGAACCAGTTTGAAATTTTTTTTTTAAAACAGTGGATCGGATTCTTATAATTATTGTTATTGGCTATACAATAAATAAAGAACTATCCTTAAAGCAAGTATTTTTAAATACTTGCCTTATATTTTTGCCACTTTTGAACATATATATATATATATATATTTAGATTAAGCTGTTGACAATTCCGTCTGTTCACACCNATATATATATATATATTTAAAATATAGAAAAAAGAGGGAAAAAATTACACAATAATGAAAAGAGAAGAAGAAAATTTTTAAACTCAAATAAAATAAAATAACTTTTTAATAATAATAGGAAAATTTCCAATAAGAAATCGAAAAAAAGATCTTCATCAGCTCACATGAATCTTCATCAGCTCACACGATTATATCCACAAAAAGGAGTGCTTTCTAATATTGCATCAATATAGCCAAAGTTGAATATATCAATATAATAGTGTGAGGAGCACTCAAAAATTTATTGAAACAAAATAGAACAAATTAAGTAATAAATATCACAAAAAAAAAAAAAAAATAAAATATAGCGAAAAATTACTTGCTGTTACTCATTACTTGATGTTTTTTCTTTATATTTTATTTTTTGTTTTCTACGTGATATTTATTACTTAATGTGCTCTATTTTGCTACAAAAATTTTTTGATTGCTCCTCACACTATTATATTGATATATTCAACTTTGGCTATATTGATACAATACTAGAAAGCACTCCTTTTCGCGGATATAATCGTGTGAGTTGATGAAGAGATTATATCTTTTTTTGCGGTTTTTTATTGAAAATTTTCTTTATTATGTTATTTTATTTTACTCAATTTTGGGTTTACGACTACCAATGTTCAACTCTGTAGCCTTGTAATTTTGAACCCAATCCAGAAGACAAGGTAACTCCTGGATCAAGTGCTGGGAGAAGTTTGCCTTCGTGGAGAACTTTTTGATGGAACTAAATCGCATTTACGTTACATGGGCAGGAAAACCACGAAAGCTTCCCACGGTTAGCCTGATGGCAAGGGGACTCTAACCTATAATTCATAAATCACTGAGGATATTTCACGTCAACACTGTGGTAGGTGCGAGCCGAGGACGGAATTCGAATCAACCAGCCATTGCTGGGATTCGTACTTGGTTCACCCCATTGGAAGGTGAGAGCTCTGAGCCAACATGGCTCCAGAAAAAAATTAAATAGAAAATCTAAAAAATACAGTATGCTTCATATTTACAATTGTGTTTGATTGGTCTCCCAATCAAACACAATTGTATTTTACTTCTGCCGGAAGATGCTACCGAAAAGAGTAAATATCCATCATTAGTTTATTTGTGAAAATTAAATAAAGAGGATTTTAAAGCATATTTAAAATCTTCCCTCCCCATCTCCACCCATTTGATAGTTGGGTTTGGTCGGCAGGGGAAGGACCTCTTAACGGTCCATCGATAGCAGCCTTTCTTTAAGTAGTTTTCATTCCAGAGTAGTTACTACTCACTCATCATTCATGAGTAGTTATCATTCATTCCTCACATCTCGAAAATATACAGGGTAACAAAAAAAAATATAGGGATCACTTTTGAATGTCTTTATTTCCAAAATTTATTACATAAATTCAGCGATGCTTCTCAATATGTCGACCTCCGGCATAATAGATTTGTCTTCAACGCTTCGGCCATGATTTTAAAGCCCGCAAAATTATTTCCTGGGGGATTTTCTTCACCTCTTCTATAATAGCTCTTTGAAGGCCTCTCAATATAGAAATTCTTCACTTATTCAGTTTGTTTTTCAGATGTCCCTATAGGAAATAGTCGCATGGTGCAGCATCAGGACTGTTTGGAATCCATTGTTCTGGTCTCAGGAATTGCACTTGCTGATCTGTTGGGAATTTCTGGGTGACCTTAGATGCATGCGATGGGTCAGAGACCTGATGGAACACAGCATCACCATTAGGGTGCAATCTGCAGTAATCATCCTTAAGAAAGGGCTTTAATATCTTCTGTATATAATACAAAGAATTTATTTTGGCCCCAGGTTTCAGATACTAGGTTTGGTCACACCATGGGCGGATATGCCCATCCAAACCATTACGTCTTAGGGATGAGGCTCCGTGGTTGATGGTGTCAAGTTTCGCCTGTTCTGCCCACGGCTAAGATATTGATCTTAAGATTTAGCATTGGTATCAGATAGATAGATCCAAGCTTCATCAGTTGTAACGAACTTTCGCCATCTGTCCTTACGGAGAAGCTTGTAGAGGGGCCATGAACGTTGCCTCCTAATCTGCACCGATCTCTCACTTAAATGATGACATTTAGGTTTTTTATAGCATTTTTTCTTCAACTTTTGTTTTAGTTGATAGCTTACAACTTGCTGACTCAAGTTAAGAGCTTTAGCCATGCTTGCCTGTGTTGGTAGATCCGGTTTTGATGTCATCTTATCAAGCTTCTGCAAATCTGATTTCTTCGATTTGCTTGGTCGTCCACTTCTTTTTGGTTTTGCATTATTTTGCATCGATCCGAGTTTTGAATTCTTGATGCGACTGATATGGCTGAGTGAAATCGCAATACCTTTCTTTTTAAAATGGGTTTGTATAATCCTGTGGCTCCATCGAAGTTCTAAAAATGCTTGTACTTGACCAATTTGTTTTTGGTCAAATTTCTTCAAAGGCATTTGTGTGATTTTATGAAATAGTATTGCAATTGAGAGTCTGATAGCAGAGCTTTAGATCAATATGCTATAGATGTAAAAAGGTTTTAAAACTTTCGTGGTAGATAACCACAAAAGTGATCCCTATACTTTTTTGTTATCCTGCACCTTACCTTTAAACCTCTACCAACCTTTCTTTAAGTAGTTTTCATTCCTGAGTAGTTACTACTCACTCATCATTCATGAGTAGTTATCATTCATTCCTCACATCTCGAAAATATACCTTCAAACTTTTAGCAACCTTTCTTTAAGTAGTTATCATTCATGCATAACTAGTTACTACTCAGTCATCATTCACTCTACTCATTCATGAGTAATGCCTGGAACACATATCTTCAAACCTTTAGTAATCTTTCTTTAAGTAAAAAAAATTCTTAAGTAGGTACTACTCACTCATCTTTCATTCATCATGAGTAGTTGTTATCAGTCATTCCTCATATCTGGAAAATATACCTTCAACACAATATAATCCTTTATACTTAATAAATATTCATCAAGCATAATAAATATTCCTCATACATAATAATTATTTATCATACGCAATAAGTTTTCCTTATGAGAATGATTACTTCATATGAAGGTTGAGTAATTATTTAATTAACAAATCATATCATGATTTTATGCAGGAAATATGCCTCGCTGGAGTACTAATTCAATACCAGCAAATGATATTTCTTCTCATTACTCAGCAACTTACTCAGACATTTCTGGTAAGTATACAATTTCATCTTATTTACTTAAAATCTTTTTCCTATTTCATTTATTCATTCGGATATAGTTGCAATGCTACAATATTATGAGCTTCATGTTCTAAGTCCACTATATTAAAGATTAACTTATTTTCGAGACATTAAACATTCATATTTCCCTTAAATTCTAAATACTACTATTTGCTTTTCTGTCACTTTTTTCTAGCCTGCAGGCAAGCTTTGCTATTTTTTGGCATGCAGCAAGGTATAGAGAACGAAATGATGCGTTCCCCATCCTTCTCGCTCCCGTGAAAATGACGGGGTGAGGTCTTGCCCTTTATTTCTCGCTTTCGTGAAATTTCTAGGCTGGAGTATTCAGTAGTAACGCGCCAATAAGAATAAAACTAATTCATTTCTTTTTCCCGGAAAACATTTTATTTCTCATTTTACACACCAGATGTCAGTACCAGGATATTTTTAAGGTAATTGTACATAGTAATTTATTTTAAACTAGATGTCAGCACTAATCAAATAGCACTAATAAAAAAAAGTCACTTTTATGACCGTTTTCTTGAAGATTAACCGATCGTTAAGGGGTTAAAAATAAGAGCAAATGGAAGGACTAAACTGGAATGTAATATTACATCAAAAACAGAGAGCACAAAATACCATATCGCATTATATTGCATCTAAAGCACAAGTAATGGGTTAACGTTTGTTATAATGGTAATGGGTTATAATGCTAACAAGTAATGGGTTTTTTGTTAGAGTTGATTAGGATGATAGTTTCAAGTAGATTAATTGCTGAAAATTGTAAGCTTCTAAGTTGTTAATAGCTTTTTGAAGTTTCAATTGTCTCACATACAGAATTTTAAGAGTTGGTTTCACTTCTAACATTAAAAAGAATTTTCTTTCTAGTTTGTAATAGTTGCTTAGAATGAAAATTAATTTTGTTATTAAAGAAGTTTTTTTCTATCAGGAAATTTTATGATCACAATAAATAACTGTAATTGTAACTTTTCAATTGCTTCTATCGAAAAAAAGCAACGAAAATTTTACTAAATTACGCGCACAATTAATGCTTGTTTTCTGTTCTAGTATTAAAATGAAATTTTACTTCCAGTTGACGAAAGAATACGCAATCCAGACATAGGTCAGCGGCTGCACTCCCTCTTTCAGAAACAGCTTTATACTGATGTGAAATTTGTTTTAAGTTATGGAGTAAAGCCAAAGCCAACATTAATGGCACACAAAGCTATCCTGTCCATTGGAAGTAACAAATTTAGAGAGATGTTTTATGACAAAATGTCTAACGCTCTTTCAGATAGCAGTGAAATTCAAATTAACAATGTCACTTCTGAGACTTTCCGAAATGTAATCGAGTAAGTTTTTATCATATATCAAACGAAAATTAATAACTTTATAACTATTGCATGTGTTATCAATCAGAGTATGAAATTTGAAAAAGTATGAAATGGTTAATATTTTGCATATTGTAAACGCATTCTATAGAGCGAATTTGACAAACCTACGAGAATTCTATACTACAGTGTATCCCACTGAAATTAAGTCCTTTTAATTTTGTGCCATAACTTGACACAACAAAATCAATGAAAACGAAACATGTATATTTAGAAAGTCTATATAGAGATACATATTTACGAGGAATAATCTATTTCTTGCTCGGCCTGAACTGTAAAAATGGAATAAGTGAAAAAAGGATGAAAAAGTGTTCCACAGAAATAAAGTAGTATCCGATAAAATATTCCGAGATATTTATGTATAGCCTGAAATAAGGATGTTGCAGATGATTTACCAATTCTTGGAGGGCAGAAAAATCAATATTGTGCCAGATATCCCTTTACGTTTTCCTAGGGATGGAGGTCATGAGAAAGAGTCGGTTATTCCATGATGTGCAACGTATTATTGAAAAATCATAACCGTAAAGATTAAGCAATGTGAATGGCGGTATTGCCCTGCTGTAAAATTCAACCCTGTCCCTCAATTCTCTCCACAAATAGCAAAAAATTAGTTTCCAGCCTTTCTTTTTTGGTGAATGGTTAACTTCATGTGGCCGAGGGAGGTGGACAATTTACCACCTTAGTCGAATCCTTCCCACATCATCAATGAGCCTACTCTTTGCTGTTCGTTGGAGAAAATTTACACTTTTATTCTTCATCTATTGTTCCGTTTTGTTATGTTTATCGCACAAGCAACTTGCGATATAAAAGCTGCAGACAAGAGCCCATGATTAAAGCTATCCATAAGCAAAAAAGAGTAAAAAAAGGTGGCACAAACAATTTTGTGTGCTGTTGCAATGGCATGCGAAATGAAAATGATATACCGTAAGGTGGAGGCTCATTAATTGTATGGGAAAGCTTCATCTATGGTGTAAAACTTTACCTGGCCTATCCTCAAGGTTGCACGGAGATTAACGATTATCAAAAAATACTAAAAATGCATTTATTGCCATTTTTAGAGAGAATTGGTCCCTCAAGTGGGATTTTTCAGAAGGACAATGCTTAAATTTGAGTCCAGGGAATAGAACATTCGCCTTCAAATGAGTTGAACCGGGTTCGAATCCCAGCGATGTCTAGTCGATACGAATTCCACATTAGGCTCGCACCGACCACAGTGCTGACGTGAAATATCCTTAGTGGTAGACTGATCATGGGTCCCTTTACTGTCAGGCTAACTGTGTGAAAGGTTCTCGTGGTCTTCTTCTTCATGTAACTCAAATGTGGGTTTGTTCCAACAAAAAGTCCTCCACTAATGCAAATTCATCCCAATACTTGTAAATTTATCCCAATACTTGATTAGACAGGAGTTCCCTTGTCTTCTGCATTGGGTTTAAAATTACAACACTATGGCTTTGATCATAAGTAGTAAACTCAAAAATTGGGTTGGCTGTTGAACAACGGTTATAAAATAAAATATAATGCAATAATTAAGTGCAAATAATTTTAAACTATATATGATATCTTGTCGGGAAGAAATATTTGGGCTTAAGACAGACAAATGACTTTAAAATGTATTAAACTTTTTTAAAATTTCCAATTTCTTGAGATTTTTCCTGCTAGATGAAAATTATAGAATTAGATGAGAATTATGCATGTGCATAATTCTCAAAACTTTTTTCAAAAACCTTACGAGTTATGATGATGCCACCCTGGAGTAGCTTTTTAAGTATAAATTTTTTTTATCACAAACGCCATTTTTACGAAAGTGTGGCTTTTCTTCATGTTGATGTTTCGTGCCATTTCTGAATTCATTCCTGGAGGACGCTGGCTAAAGCTATGCTAAACATGACCTAACAGTTCTGAATGAGTGTTGCAAACATATAGCAGTTATGAAAATAAAATAAATATTAAAAAAAAGCAATATTTAATTTGATGAAAGAACTTTCGAAAAAACCACCAGACGATTCGATTGGGATATTTCAAGATTAAAACTTGATATTCTAATGGATTAGCCATTCCCATTTCTTTTTTTTTATTTCTCTATGATTCTTTCTTATTGACAATTCCAGTTTAAATTAAACTATTTAAACAACATACCCAATTGTTTAACTTTAAAATTTTTTATCTTTTAGATATCTTTACACTGATGATGTTATTTTCGAAAATGACCAAATAGTAGTAGACACTTTGTCAGCAGCAACCATATTTCAAGTGCAACCGCTTGTAGACAAGTGTGAATCTTACATCGAGTCGGTTGAGCTGACTGAAGATAATGTGTGCACCAAATTTCAAATGGCTGTCAATAAAGGTTTATCATCCTTGAAAATGAGATGCACCGAATTTATTCAAGAAAACACAGGAGCTGTTCTGCGGTAAGCTAAAAAATCAAAGTATAGAATCATTAAAGGTAGTAAAAGAAGTCATTGTCTTAAGGCTCACTATACTATAGTTTTTCTTAAAAGCAATTTACTTTACGGACATTCAAATTTTTTTGGGGTTCAATGGATGGAGCTCTCGTTTTCTAATGAGGTGTCCTAGGTTCGAATTCCAGCGAAGGCCGGACGACATGAATTCTACCACTGTGCTTACTTAAATATCCCCAGTGGTAGACGGATCATGGTTAGAATCCCATTGCTGTATTGCTAATCGTGGGCTGTCTGGCTAATTTCTGGCTTTCCTCTCATTGTAACGCAAATGCAGGTTGATTTCATCTAAAAGACATCCACGAAAGCTAGTTTCTCTCATTGCTTGATTCAGAAGTTTCCTTGTCTTCTAGGTTGGGTTCAAAATTACAAGGCTAGAGACTTGAGCATTGACAGTTGTAAACTCAGAATTGAGTCGGCTGTTAAACACTGGTTATAAAATAAAGTATAGAATTGAGTTGACAACATACAGGAAAACTTAAAAATAGATCAAAAATCCAAGTTACCAAAATCTAGGTTTTCACTTTGGAATTTTTATTAACGGCTTTTTTTCTGACACGCGTACCAACAAAAGCAATTTTTCGTCAAATTTTTGAGATTTGTATTCAAAGGGATCTAAAACAACAACAAATATACTTTTTTTTAATCTCTGGTTTTTATAAACCTCACATTTGAGAAGTTTTACTAGAAAATAGGTAAATCATCATATTTGTATAAAATTTGCTGATCAAATTTAGTCTACCCCACTGGAACAGCTAATGAAGTTCATATTCAGGATTAGTTTCCTCTAAATGAATACGGGTACTTATACAGATACAAAATTTAAAATGCTCGAGGTGTGTTCCATTTAGATGATAGTAAGCTATTGGTTGATAAGTTGTAACATATAAGATTAATAAACTATTTTTCTTCTGTTTCGGTAGTTTTAGACTTTTTTAAACAAGAAAATGAATTAATATCAAAATATATTCGTTATTTTCAAGATGTATTCATTTCAAGTACTACGCTAGTAGGAAGATAATATGTCTAGGTATGATGAAAAATTTATAAGATTAGTAAGTTACTTTTTCTTTGCTTCAGCGGTTTTAATTTTTTTACTAGGAAGTGATTTGGTACAAAATGTACTCGTTAATTTCAAGCTGTATTCATTTTAAGTACTAGGTTCTTTTAAATAGGAAGTACAACAGATGCATTGATAGAAACCCATCTCTAACTGAAAACTCATAAATTTGTTTTAATGTTTATAGTTATTATTCTAAACTCATAACAGTAGAGACAAATGGCCACACCTGAAAAAAAACTCCCTATCCTAATCCTACAGACAAAGAAGAAACTATTTATTGCGCAGGGCAGAAATCGATAGTAACAGAACTAAAAACAATAAGTATAAAATACTAAAAGTAACTAGACAAATGTAATAAGACTAAACAGTAATCGAATTATCAGTTGCAAAAGTCTTTGCAGTTAGGAGATTAAAAGCAATTTATGTATTAAATTTATAAGAGTTGTACCGGAGTTCCTTAATTTTTTTAAATTCTTTTATCTGCAGGTCTAATGATTTTCTAACATTAAATCCATCAATCGTCAGAGTTATTTGTAAGCTGGAAAAATTCAATTTGCGTTCTGAAATTGAACTGCTTAATGGTATTGTCTACTATGTTGAGAATCGACCTGAATATAAAACGAATAGAAGAGCTGGCGTCGAAACTTTTCTGAGACACATCAGATTGCTGAATGTAACATGTGAAGAATTTAATCAATTTGTGCAAAGAAAGCCAAATATCTTCAGCGCTCCAGAAGCTGCAAATATACTTATGTCCCTTGCCAATCCTGCCTATCCAGCACCGAATTTGCCATCTTGGTGTAAAAGAGGTAGTAACAGATGCAACTTTCAGCGTTCGAATGGGCCAAGAGGAGAAAGTAAGTTTCATTTACAAAGTAAATCATAAGAAACATAATTTCCCCCCCTTCAAAATAAAGCGTCAATTGAGAGTTACCATCAATGAGTCACTTAAACAAATCTTAATCCTAATTCTTAAAATTATGAAGTTTGGAAGTTTTATAATTTTGTAATTGTTGATGTAATTGTTTTCTAAACTACTCCTATCTGTGAGTAGACGTTAAAGTTATGAAATTTTAGGTAAATATTAGACAAATAAAAATAAGAGCCATCAGTCCAATGAAGGAGACCAACCAGCATCATAGTGCTAGTAAGTTTCTGTGAACGAGTCTGTAACTACTTTAATGAAGACAGTATCACTTTTAGAGAAAACAGAGAATTTTTTAGAACTATTATGAGTGTGTGTGATCCGGTGACATAATGACACCAATTTTCTTCACTTATTTCTGATGCTTCAAGTTTTTTGGCTGGGTTCTACATTTTACATCTATCTGTAAGAAACAAGTTAAATCATTATCTAATTATAGGTTTAATTACTCCTGATCTATTTTTACTGAATCAGATACAATTGAATTTTTTTGCAGCTGAAAAATGTTGAAAACTGTTAACCTGGATATGGTTTCCATGGTTAACTCATTAACCCATTCACAGAAACTCTGTGTGGCTAATTGATTGAAATTAGAAACCAGTATGTAAAACATCTGTGATTTCGGTTATAACAAAGTTATAAATCATTATGATTGTGGCTAAATAATGATGATTTAAACATTGTTACATCAAGAAAGTACATTAAAAATATAAAATCTGTACTTTCTTGTAAAGAAACTTTGTTTGAAAGCGAATTAACTCAAGGCCAAGATGCTGATTTTCAAACTTCTTAAAATGTATTAAACAAAAAATAACTAGCTCTAGCTGTTAGTGTCTAGAAAATATTTAAGGTGTCCCACTAAAAGAGCCAATTAAATGATAGTTACCTTCCCCTACAAGTTTTACAACCTCTGACGGGCCAATGATCAGGTCAGAACACTACAATAGTCATAAGCAGACTACTACTCTCAGAGGAGGCACTCTCCTTTTATATAGACTTGGCGACGGAATCCCGGAACTTTTGATATGATTCTAGACGATTCTCGTATAGCTCTATAAATTTTGGTGCTATCGCTTTGGAACTGGAAGATTCCAGAACAGTTGTTTTGCTGTCAAAATGGTCACCAAAAGTCGCCAAATCTTCAAAATTATCGCCTAGTTGGCGAAAATGTTGCTTAATCGAGACTTCTATAGGAAAAATACATTAAGCGTTATTTTTTCTTTAAATTACATAAGAATTGTGCAATTTCCTTGCAAGTTTTCTAATCAAACTGTTGTCTGAGACATTTAGTCTCATAATAAAAGTATATTCTTAAATTCATGCACATATTTACAAATTCGTAACAATACTAATTCATATCTTAGGAAATTTTTGTACATTAAACGTGTAAGTCGCGTGGGATTCGGTACTTGTGTCAAATTCTCTTCGCGAAATTTGTCACCGCGAGTTTCTCAACTTATGTTCTCAATGTTTTGTCCTTTAGAAACGTTATATGAAAAAGTAAAAAAACAGTTATTGGTGTAAAACTTTGGCATCTTAGAGAACGATTTCACAGACAATTAATTGTCAAAGCTCTGTTATTTTTCAAATTTAATTTGATTTAATAATTGATAAATACGTTAAAACTTAATAATTAGCCTAAACAAACTAAATGATTCAGCTAATGTTTTGATCAAATTCTTTTACAAGTTAGAAAAAAAATTTAGTTTAAAAGAATTATGAGTTATATTTCATATGTGGAATTACGTTTTAATTTTGTATTCTTTAAAACCATAAGGATGTCTTCTTTGTTTATATTTAAATTATTTGTTCAATTAAAATTTAGTTATAATATTGCAAAAAACTTGAGGAATTATATCGTCTAATTGTGTATATTTAAAAATGCAACAAACTGCTGAAGTTTCATTATATTGCTATAAGACATTCAATAAACTTTACTGTCTTCTGTATGGGAACATTATAATAAGTGTAACTGTTAGCATAATTTGTAAAATCACATTGTGGGAAATGAAGAACAAATTATCAGAAATGAATAAAAAAAAACAAACAAACACCAGAAATAGAAAAAAATTAGCTGTTTGCTAATACATATTTTTGTAAACTATTAAACATTAGTTCATTATTTTAGGGTCATTGCTTAGCATCTATAAGCAATAAAGTGTATATTTCTCACATTTCATTGTATTACCGGGGGTTCTTACAGATTTTAAGTTATTATACAGTTAGGCAACAACTGGAATTGTTCACAGTATGGAACGTCTGCTCATGATTTGGAATTAAATATAATATAAATACATTTTGTATTTGCAGGGGTATGGCAGAAAAAGTATGGAAACAAGCGGTATGAATACGAACATAAATAATACATCCGCTATTAAAAAATTCGTGAAATAACTTTAAATGTAATTAATGATAGAAAAATATAGGTACGTAATGCAGAAAAGAGTGATTAAGCGAGTAAGAAAGAGAGAGAAAGAAATTGTAGTAAAAAGTTGAGGAGGAAGAAGAAGAAGTAGTAGAGGAAAGAGGAGAAAAAGAAGAGGAAAAGGTAGAAAAAGAGGTAGAGAAGAAAATTGAAAAAGAAGAGGAAGAGGTGAAAAAAAGAAGAAGAGGAGGTAGAGGAAAGAGTAGAAAAAGAAGAGGAAGAGTTAAAAAGAATAAGAGAGAGAAATATGAGAAGGAGAGGGAGTGGAACTAGAGAAAAGAGAAAGAAGGAAAGAGAGAGAGAAAGGAAGGAAGAATAGTAATACTAAGAAGAAAAAGTAGCAGACGAAGAAAGAAAAAACGACGAAGAAGACGAAGAAAAGAAGCACACGATTTGACTGTTGAATTTAATAGCTAAAACAACGGAAGCCTGATGTGAAAAAAAGAATAAAATTATACTTTGTTTTTAAATTAACAAAATCAAACATTGTTATTATTAAGTTTGAAGCAACAATGAAGCTAAAAAGGACGAACAAGCTAACAAAGTAAAAAGAAAAAAGATCAGAAGATGATGAGGAGTCCATTTCTATTTGGGAAAGCAAAACTATTTGAAGGCTATAAACAATAGTATTCACGTGGCCATATTGTTGTTAATGAGACTGACGTCAATGAGATACGTATGTGTGAATTATGGAATGAGGCATCATGTACCTAATTTTCTTTCATTTCTTATAGTATTTATAATTCAAAAGAAAAATAACTAGGGCTATTATAAAGGACCATATTTAACCGTAACAACCAAAATTGTATTTTCTATGAAGAAAATCCATTCTCATCAAGATGTGAAGAAACGATGAGAATAGGAAATTCTATTTAGATAGAAGAATAGTTCTTTTTGTTTTATGTTTTGTTTTAAATATATTCAAAACTTTGTAAAGAATTAAGATCGTTTGTACTCTTGCTTCACTCATTGCTTCATGTACTTCAGCAAACAACCTAAAAGCACTTCAGGAATGAAATTTAAAAAAAAAATATTAGTGAAATTTCTGTAATAAAAACAAAACACAAGCTTTTAACGATTAGTAAACTTTCTTATTTAAATTTTTCAAAAAAAAGTAAATAAATAAATAATTAAAGTCAGATTATATTATTCCTGAAGAAGTAGCTTGGCTTTGGGTTATACATACTAATTTAGGGTAAAAAGAGCGCATCATTTCGTTTAATTTTAAAAGAAATATATTTCAAAGATTTAATTTTAGTCTATAAAAGAAGAACAATTTACTCATGTGATCACTTTTTTGATCAAATAATTTAACGAAAATTGTTTCATTAAGAAATATTTCCTTTTTTCAGTAAAATCCTTCCATTCTGATAATAGAACTTTTCAGTTATTCGAAAATTCCTTGACCAGAAAAGCATAAAACGTCGTTCAAATTAAGAAGCTTGATGTTGTATAAATATTTGAGCAGGAAATTTAGATCTCAGAGCTAATTGATTGCATTTGACTTGCAGGAGTTGGATATTCAAATGCTTCTCGAAAATTGGTGATAGGATTGATGCCCAACAAGTTCGCGCCTGTCCTGCACGATTTGATTTGTCTATTGGAAATGAAATGCACGAGAGGATACCATAGGCTTCAAGGTCTAAAGTTATCCTTCGACGACCCCGTTTATGAAACCAGTGTCATCAATGATTGCATTATTAATGTGGAGAAGCAACCTGGAAATTTCAAATTTGAAGAATACGTCCAAATAGAACGATCAAAAGATTCCATCGTTAGATTTTCTCAACGATTACTTACGAAAAAGGGTGATCGCATTGTAATCAGAATCTGTGCCAAGGGAGTGAAAAACTACAGATTTCTACAATTTGACGAGAGAAATTCATTTTCAAAAGATTCGCCTTTCTCATGTGTTGTGGGAAGTGTGCCAAATGATTATAAAATGTTTATCATAAGAGAAGTCCTCTATTGTGATGGTCCACCACCAAGGAAGCAACATCCTATTAGAAAGTTTGGACCTTGTTGAATTATAATGTTGTCAAAATTTGCTTCAACCAAGATGAGCTACAAAACAAATTAACCTTTTTTTAAACTTGATAACACAATACCATGCCATCAGATGACTTTGTTGAACTACAATTTTGCCAAAAATTGCTTCAACCCAAGTTGAACTATAAAACAGACTAATCCTACTTAAACTTGATTACATAATACCATGCTTTCAGTTGACCTTGTTAAACTATAATGTTGTCAAAGTTTGCTTCATCTAAGTTGAACTATGAAACAAAATTATCCTTTTTGAACCTGTTTGCGTAATACCATGGTTTCAGTTGACCTTGCTGAACTATAATGTCGCCAAAATGTTCTCGAACCAAGTTGAATTACAAAACAAATAAATTCTTCTCACACAACACTATGCTTTAAGTTGATCGAAAACAAATTCATTTTAGCATCTTATTAAGATTACACCATATTAACACAATATTATGGATCAAGGAAATAATATTATGAAGATTGGAATATTTTTTTTGAGAATGTACAATTACAATTTTAATGGTACATTAAAGCTAGAATCCTTACAGTGATTCATCTTTTAAATTATATTATATAAAGAACTGTACTAATTGAGATAATGACTGGAAAAGTTTCGTTAACTATATTAACGTTGGCAAGGAGAAGTAGGTTTTATGCTCCTTATGATTGATAGACAACATATTTTCAATTTTACTATATTTTATTCTAACTGTAGGTTTAAAAAGTTTTAAATTAGTTTCTCATTAATTATTGTGTTTTTTTTAAAGACTATAGGTTGATAAATATGTGAAAAAGTATTTTTAGTCTGTATTCAGTTTTTATTGGAACTTAAAACTATTGTATTTGTTTATTAATGTTGATGATCAATTGTCTACATAAATCGTTCGCAATCACTTATAAGTTTACAATTAATGTGGTGAAGTTCTTACTACTTCGATATATTTCGTTCTCATTTAAACCAGTTAGAACTTTTTTAAAACTTAATTTTCAGTTTTATTAAAAAAAAGTTAAAACAGCATTCAAATTTATCGGATTACTATTTCAGTTTTTATGATCTTTTACAACTTATTTGTGATTTTATTAGTAATAATAAATAAATAAAGCATCGGAATTTATTACCTGATTATGATTTCTTTTCACGTTTTTGATGATTACGAAAAAAAAATTAAAGATTTCTTTAAGATATTTTGAGATAAAAATGTGTTTTCGATCTTCCAAGAAATTTCTCCTCAATTATAGGTACGCAACCCTTTATAATTTATATTTAGATCGTCACAAAAATTGCATTTTGGAAAAGCCTGAAATTCGAATAATAAATACAAAATTGTTCGAATTTTTAAGACCAATTTATATTCATTTAGATTTCTTTGGAATTTGTTTTAAATTATTTTCGATAATTTTCCATATACTTAAATATTTTTTTAACTTTTCCTAGCAGAACGTTTGAAGGTTTAAAAATATTGGAATTTTTTCATTTGAAATAAATCGTTTTACATTTCTAGGATTCTTGGCGTCATTGGGTATTTTTGGGATTTTTCTCCCCCAACCCCAGAGATAAGAGATGCTATTATCTTTTTCATTTTTATATAGTCAAATTTATTTCAGTTTAACAACATGTAAACAAATTTGGTGAATGAAAGTGTTATATTAAAGAGTTTTAAATTTTAAAAATCACACAATATTACTGAAGATATTTTATTTTTCTTTCAAGTGATATCCCGTTTTTTGAAAAGAAAATTATTAAAAATACTTTGAAAAATATTTTAGGCAAAAACTGATTTAAGTTGAATTTCTTAATTAGTATGTACTGTAAAATTTATGAACTAACATAGTCTAGGAGAGACTAGGAGAACTAACGTCTAGGACAGAACTGAGCTTTATGACAATCGAGTTTTGCCACAATTTACCCCTTTCTTCAAATGAGTAAAAAAAAAGCTGAAAATGAGATTACGATCTCATGATTGGAATAAATATGTTAATTTATTTTTCAGGTATACAAGAATTAAATGTTTGTCGAAAATTACTCATTCAGTTGAGACCAAACAAATCAAGAGCATTAATATCAGATTTGGTATGTATTTTGGAAATGAAATGTCTACATGGCAGACATAACTTGGATGGACTGAAACTCTCCTTTGATGTACCCGTGCATGAAAGGAGTATTATTGGTCATCTTATCATCAGCGTTGATGTACAGCCATCAAGATATCATTTTGAAGAACACATCCAAATCAAACAGTCTGACACGATAGATTTCAAATTCTCAAGGCGACTCATGGCGAGAAAGGGTGACACAATCTACATAAGAACCGTCGCCAAAGAAGTGAATCATTACAGGTTCCTCCAATATGACGAAAATTACTCAATATCGAAGGATTCGCCGTTTTCATGCAGTTTGGGTAGCGTTCCTAAAGAGAACAGATTGTTCATTATAAGCGAAGTTCTTTATCGTGATGCTCCAAGAGGTGCTCCTAGTCATCGTTCTAGAGCTTCTAGAAAATGAATATTGCTTGTTTGGGGTGTTTTCTACATTTTTGAAGATTTGAAATTTTATTTTATATGGTTTGTAAAGGTTGTTTCAAAATTCTAAAATTTTTAGAAAAAACAGGGGTTTTTATTGGTATACAATTCATATAGCTGATAAAGGGCTACGCTTAGAGTAGTATATCGGATAAATGACTTCCTTATTTTAATTGGCACTCTTGCCAGCTAGTAACTGATAGCTATTGTCAAAAAGAATTCGAAATTTCGTTGATACAGAGCTCATTTTTTCCCTTTGAAACATAAGTAGCATCATGCTTGTAGGGTTAAACAGGAAGAAAAACCTAAGAAATTAAGAAATGAAATATCCTAAATTTTAGCGACAAATTATGGTCACCAAAACGGGAAATCGCGCGACTAACACAACATTACTCAAAATATAGCTCAGTAATGATAATGCATTACTCTTTTTTGTAGTGTGCTGTTTTTAGTAACCTTAATTTTCATTTGTATTTTTTTCTGCTACACCTTGTTGCACATGTTGGACCAAATTCAAATTTGAAATATTTTTGAGGCATTCGTTATTTCTGATATTTCGAACGCTTGGAGGAAAAAAAAGAATTTTTTGTTCAATTTCCCATCGATTCTACTGTTTTTGAAATTATTAGAAAGAAAAGAACACAAATTAGAGATAACAATATAATTATTAATGAATTAATTTTAAAAGTTATCTCGTTACTTATTTAAAGTGACAAAGTAAGATTTGTGTGCAGTATAATTTTTTTTATAATATGCAGTTTTTACAAAATGAGCAAAATATTTTTGCGTCTTTTGATTAAAACTATAATACATCTAAAAGTTATTTTTCATAATACCTCGAATTTCTTAGTGCAAAAACATTTGTATGCAAATTGTCTAAGAAAAATATTAAAAAATCATTATTTGTTACACAATGTTTCGTGAGAACAAACTTTATCTATCTCTTATTATTTTTCTTACGTGAAATTTAGTAAGAACTTTGTGTGATCTGACTTGGTATCAATGTAAAAGAATTTTTTTATGTATAAAAACTGGAAAGACTGATGTGAGATCTACTTGTTCACTTTACATGAAATATGACAGTTATAAAATTGAGACTATTCAATTCTTTCTCAAAGACCTAATAATAAAATAATAGTTCTGAGTGATGCTAACTAATGTTCTGTGTGATCTTTAATCAAATGTAATTTATGTTGATACGGAGAACTACTATTTTCTCTATTCATCAAAAACATTATATCAAAATATTAATTTACAAGGTATTTAAGAATAGCGGCATTTAATCATAATGTAGCATATTACTCAATAATTTAGTAAAATGGGAAGAATATTTTTACCCATCTGGAAAATGGCTGTTGCTCTAAGTTTTTCATGACCGCACACTTGCCGTCTAGATCAACCTCATTGACTAGATGAACTTCAACATCATAAAGATTAATAAAGAGTTGTAAGAGTAATAAAAAATTAGGCTAACATGAGCATCAATAAAAGAGCAGCACTAGATCAAATAAAAAAGCAGAAGATAATTTTGAAATTTCTTGGCTGGTTTTCAAGACTGAGTTTTTTTTATTTACATCAGCGCTTATTTTTACTATTTTACATAATATTAATTTGAAGCATTTTCGTGTTCTTTTTGTGATTAAATTATTTATAATTACCCTCTTGGAGATGATTTTAATATAAATATGAATGAAATTCTTTTCCTCCAAAGAATTTTGAGATGATTCAAGAATCTTATAGTGCTTGGAATTTTTACTAATCCAACTTTTTGGACGACAACATCAATTGTTGCAGTTTTTATTATTAATTCCTTTTTTTTTAATTTTATTCTTATTTTATTATATTATTACAGTCATCAGTCACGTAGAACATTCAATATTAAAAAAGTATCTATCTCTATTCATAAATAAGCTATTTATGAAATATACTTTATACATAATAAAGATACAGAACATGTAAATTACTCATTTATTCCTTAATCGAATGGTAGAATATGTAGAACATTCAAAAGAATTTGGGGTAATAATTGTCTATAGAAACTATTTTACGAAATAGTGATGTAAAATACTGTAACCGTTCTTATAATCGTTCTTATCGTTCTCTCTAGTTATGTAGAATACATGATATCTTATAAATCGTTCTCTCCTAGTTATGTAGAATACGTGATATCTTATTAATCGTTCTCTCCTAGTTATGTAGAATACATGATAGCTTATTATGCAGAGTCCCGCAGTAAACTGATCGTAAAGACACGGTTCCCAGTAGAACACCGAAATCAAGCATCACTGGCTGTTGTCAGTAAGCGAGTGGGTGACCACTCTGATCAACCTGCGTAGGGACCGGGTACGTGGTATCGGTCTTCGTTCAACTGTTCTACCGTAAAGTGCTCGACTTCACGCGCAGTTCATCGGACTACCAAAGCAGGGGAGTCATCCTCTCTGCAGAGGATTACAATTGCGATGACATGTCTTCGGATCATCCTCAGGGATATTTCCCAGACCGTCCCCAATAGCCCACTGAGCAACTCTAGTGTGATGTAAATAAACTACCTACCTTATTATGCAGAAAAATAATTTATTATTTTGAAGAGTGAATCAATTAGTATTATATAATAAAATTTTTTCAGGGTAATATATTTTAACTTAATCATTGAAGTACCAAAGAGGATTAGGGGTACAAAATTGCATTTTTAATCTATAATTATGTATTGATAAAAATTAATCTTGTTGCATACTTTTTACAAAAGTAAATTTCAAATCTGTGACTAAATAAATCCATTTCTAAAAAAAAAATTGATTTTTTTTTATGACAATTATATTGAATTTTGAATAATTATTTAGAATAACGTACGATAAAAAAGTTAATAAATTTAAATGTAACAGACGGTTTAACTATGCTAATTTATTTTTCAGGGAGGAAAGATTTAAATGTTTGCCAGAAGTTATTCATTCAACTGAAACCAAACAAATCAAAAGTACTTCTATCAGATTTGGTGTGCGTTTTAGAATTGAAATGCTTACGAGGCGATCACAAGATTGAAGGCCTGAAGCTCTCTTTTGGTGACCCGGTACTTGAAACGAGCTTCATTGGTGATTTGGTTATCAATGTTGAAGTTAAGCACTCTAAATACCATTTTGAGGAACGCATTACAATTAGCCAATCTAAACATGTTGAATTTACTTTCTCCAAAAGTCTTTTGACTAGGAAGGGAAAGACAATCTATATAAAAGTCATCGCAAATGATGTGCATGATTACAAATTCCTGCAATTTGACGAAAAAAACTCTATCATGCAGGATTCGCCTTTTGATTGTAATTTAGGTAGCATTCCAAAAGAAAATAGACTGTTTATTATAAGTGAAGTTCTTTATCGCGATGCACCTAGAAGTTCAAGTGGTCCCGGAGCTTTTAGACGATAATTAATGTTTGCTGTTTTTTTAGTATTATTCATGGTTTTAAATATTTTTAAGGCCTTTAACTGACAGTTAATAGTGACAAAATTATGTAAAAATTTAGTACAGTTGGATTTATTTATGATTGGATAAAAATACCGCAGAATGTACAGACAGCAAATGCATGCAACAATAATGTAACAAAATATATGTATACCACCGATAAGGAAATATAAAGCTCATTTTGAATTGATTAGATTACTCATTCAAAGTATTATTATGCATGCATAATATCTTGTTAAAATAGCAAACTTTTATAAAAAAACTGCCAACTTCATATTTAATATTTATTTCATAATTTTTTTCTTTAATTTGAAAAAAATAGATTTTTCTTTTATGTTACTTATATTGTATAAAATAAATTAAAGTCTATACTGTAGTACTTTTTTGTGTTCTTTTCCTAATAAATAAATAAGAAATAAATATATTAGCTTAAGCTTTCTGAATTTATTCCAGTGGCTTTGCATTAAGTCAAAATTAATTTTAAACACTGAGTTTTCAGATTATTAAAATTATATTTTTAAAGCGTATTTTGAAATAAAATTAGTTACAATAAATCGGAAAATTATGTAAAAAGTATGCATCAAGACAAAGTTTACTAATACAATTTTGCTAAAAAATGTTTAATTTTTGTAATAGTATAGCATTTGTGTATAATCATAGTTTTCAAACTTCTTTTTGTTTTATAAAATTCCAAAACCAATATAATTATATAGAATATGGATTACAGAGAATAAAATATGCTGTTTATTTCATGTGCAATATACTATATTTTAATAAATCAACGCTCTTTATTTGTCTAGAACTTGAAAGGTTATTAATAGTAATATTTGATTCCCATTATTTTGGAATAACAAATAAATAAAAAGAATTAACTACGAAACATTCTTCGAGAAAATTCAGCGTTATTTTAATACTAATTTTATTTCTACATTGAAAAAATCACACACTAAGACAGAAAACAAAATATAAAATCAGGAAGGAATACATGAAAAATATTAAGCCATTGGTTTTGAGAAAAGTTGGTTAAAACCCTTTGATATCACCACATTTCGAAAAGTATTTTTTTGTGGTTAAATTAAAAAAAAACAAACTGAAATTGCGTTTGAACGAAGAGAATAATTTTCTACCAAAACGATAATGTGTTTATAAATTATTTCTAAAGTTCAACTAATTTTCCCTCGTAACGTTGGAATGTGTTCACTTGCAAAAGGAAGCTTTGTACTTCCTGTCGTATATGCGACTAGTTTTCTTTCATTATTTAATTTAGTTTAGTCAGTTCAATATTGATTCTTGGTTTTATGTTTTCCAAAGATTCTATGAAAACGATACCACAAGCAGTCAGTGACTAAGGTTTTATGCATAGTGATAATTCAAATTGTCCAATTTAAATTGTCTTATTACATGTCAAGACATTGATTACTCTGTCATTATAATTAGCTGTAATTATTTTAAGTCTTATGAATGATAATGAAACGCCATAAAATGTTTTTAGAAGAAAATTCTTTTTGTGAATTTTCAAAGCTGTAAAAAAAAACTTTGAGAAGTAGAGTCTGAATCACGTAACTTAAGTAAAATTCTCAAATAATTTTATGCATGACGTCATTCTTGTAGCACCCGTCCTAAAATCTCTTATTATTTCAACGGATAGGTAGTTTGTAAATCATGGAGGGAAGTGTTTAATACGTTCTTATTTCTTAGGCATGCACCTTGTTAAGTACTCGTTTTTTATAATAGAGAGATTTCGCAGTTTTTCTTGTCATCCGGCACGCCTCTGTAAGTTGAGTTTTAAAACAAATGCCCTAGCGCATGCACTAGTGTCGAAAAGCCCAACACTAACCTTAAAAAAAGTAATAGAATAGTTCATATTTTTTTCCAGTGCCCACCTGTGGAATGACATTTCGTCACACAGGCATCTGAAGGGCAGATTTTGTTGGCCACTCTTTCAGGATCATCATATTAGATGAGACAACGTTGCTCCCCCATTAAGAACATCCACGCCTTGACCGGGATTCGAACCCAGAACCTTTCTGACGCAAGGCCAGTTCCCTGACCCCTACACAGTCCGGTTGGCCTAGAATAGTTAATAAGTATGTATAATTTGCGAAAGTATAATATAAGAATAGTATAATATGCTTTAAAACAGTGGGTCATATAATGACGTCTATCTCATAAATGACTGACTTTTAATGATTAGCGAGGGCTTTGCAGTTCTACTTATCATCCAACGCACTCTAGTACGTAATTTTTGAAATAACTACGCATAGACTTATAGAATAGTTAATAAGTATGCGTAGTTATTTCAAAAATTACGTACTAGAGCGTGTTGGATGATAAGTAGAACTGCAAAGCCTCGTTAATCATTAGAAGTTAGTCATTACTCGCTTATGAGATAGATGTCATTGTATGACACACTTTATTTTAAAGCAGATCCGTATTGCGCCATCTTTTGTAATAATTTTTTTTTAACAAATATACTATTTAGGTGTTTCGTACTCTTCAATTGGGGATGGATTATTCTTGAAATTTTTCGGTCTTATTTTAATTTCCGTATTTTGTAAAGACTCGTTGTGTCCCCTGAAGCTCTTCCAGTTAACACCATCGGCATGGGTGTCGTGTTTTCCTCGCAAATTAAGTCCATTCAGATTAGACTCGTGGCAAGAACCATACCACCATCCACCTTTAAACATTTGTGCACAATTATCCCCATGGGAATCATTGTCCTTATCCTTCGTGGAGAATTTCATATTGTTATGAACATTTACCATAGAATCACCTATAAAACAAAGAACATGATTTGTAAACATTATTTAAAATGGTTACAATTATAATTCAACATTCATAACTTATATTATGTTTACAGTTAATATATATACGCATTTTTGTTACTCCAAAGCTCATAAATAATCATTGAAACGATCTGCGTAATTTAAAGTAATTAAAAAACAAGCAATATTAATTTTTAAAATAAATTTTAATTTTTTACATATATGCATGGACAAATCAACTCAATGCGTATGTCTTTTGAATTTTTTAGCGATTCATGAATATCTTTTAATTAAATACACAGATTCGATTTCAATTACAATTCAAATTTCACATTTGCAGGGTGATTCAGTACCGCAATTACAAATTCCAAGAAAAGGGAAAGCAAGTTAAAATGATTCAGAATTGCATATCTGCCCTTGGCCGAAATCATAGTACAATCGCTAGAACTTTTTTCCTATTAAGGACTGGCTTTTCTTGCGCATTTGAACAGTCACTTTTATTTATCTAAATTGTGCCAGTTTTTATCTTCAGACCATATATTGATAAGCTATTCGGTAGTTACACTAGCTGTTATTGTCAACAATATTGATTTTAAGGTTGCGGTAGAGTTTAGTTTGTTAATATTGGGTGTACAAATTAGTTCGGTCCGTTTCTTTTTGTGATTAAAAATTCATTTATTTCAGAACAAAATGAAGAAACAGATTAATCAAAGTATTGTCCATCGCTGGCTACTACTTCCCCCCCCCTCTCAGGCAATTTTCGAATTCCATCTCGAAAAAATGTCTCGACTTTTGAGGTGATCCAAGTTAGGAGCCAATTTTCGATTTCTGCAAAAGAAGTGAACTGGTGACCTGCCAAATTGTGGCTGCATCCGTCGGAACAACCAGTAATCAGAAGGAGCAATGACCAGCGAATACAGCGGGAGCTATAAATATCCCACTTGAGCGTTTCCAAATAATTTTTTACGACTTTTGCGACATAAGGCTGACCGTTATTAGGCAGAAGAATAACGTTGTCCTGTCTTTGCTCGTATTCCGATCGTTTTTCTCGTAATGTACTGCTCAAACTAATCAATTGTAGCTTATACCGATTGTCCGTAATGGAATCACCAGGTTGCAGCAGTTCATAGTATGCAAAACTATTCACCATTCTTCATTCAACATTCACCATTCTTGAAAAGTCGAAACCATTCCCTACATGATTTATCTGTAGGATCATTGTCACCATAAACTTCTACAAGAATTCGATGCTCTTCAGCTGCACTTTTCCTCCAATTAAAGCAGAAACACAAAACCTCTCGCAAATGGCACTTTGTTATCACAAAACTTAGCATACTCAACAAAGTAAAAACAAGGTTTTTGTGTAACTCAAAGCAATATAAACAGAATATTATAGGCAGATGTTTAACCTCTCTGACCAGCTGTCACTATGAAACATTCATAACAGCAGAGTCATCACTTAAAAACGGACAGAACTAATTTGTACTCCCACTAGGTTTAAAAACTATTTTTAAATAAAATTTACTCTAAGTCTTTGCAATTTTAGGACTAATTCTGGGATAATATGATAAGAGCAATCAAGCTATTAAAGTTCGAAATCAAAACTAATTGGATTGCTTGATTGAGCTAATAATGTTTGAAGTTAAAGATTTAGTTCGAATGTTCGAAGGTGACTACGGTCAAAACGATAGCTTTAAGAAGGCGAAGTTGAATTTTGAGATTATTCTTCTCATTGGGGAGAATTTATAAAATTTTTCAGTTGCAAGTGGGCAAAAGGTCATTTGATTTGAGGGATGGAATAAAAGGTTGACCGTGAAACTAAGCTCCTTAATTATTTTTTTATTAACTGATGCATTTGAGTTTAGTTAACATATTACCTGCATTTCCACTGTACTCTGAAATGTGGAGAGCGTATAAGTGATCTTCATCGTCTATCCAAAATCTGTCATAGAGTGCATATCTCGATTCACCAGCCATATCTTTCATATCAAAGCGAACAGAATACAGTCGCTGGTTAGTCAAAGCAAAAATGTTGTCGTTGCCTAGTGATGGTAAAATAAATAGTTCCAATCAAACAGTTTCAATATTTAGGGAAAAAAATACAGTACTTTAAAAAACACGTCGTTTGAAAAGGGAAATAACAATTATAAGATTCGTATCTCAAGTTTGAAAGCTGAAACGCTTAATTGAGCAGTTGTATGTTAAAAATATGCGCGCAATAATTAGCTTGGACGAAAGAGAAATTCTATTTAGCAATCAAAAATAATGTAGTTAGGAGAAGGAAAAATTGCTTTGGGTTATTACCGATTTTGTATAAGCACCTAGGTTTAACTATTATACATAAATGGATACAATTTTGTTACATGGAAAGATTAAATTAAAGTTTTTTTTTTACCATATTTGAAATTTATTGTTTTGGGGGTTGAAAAATGGTAAGATAATCGGAGATCGCAGTGTAGAGGTCGGGTGCCCTCCATCATCTAAATTATGTACTAAAGCACATATGCTTCAGTATTGACTTCGAATCATAGGTCAAATTTGCAGACTACTGAAAGAGTCAGTAACTTTTGTGGGAAGTTTATAACCAAAATTTAAAAATAAATATGAGGCTTATCTTCTGCTTTTTTTTAATTTGATCTTGCGCTGCTCTTTTATTAATGCTCATAATAGCCTAATTGTTTATTACTCGTCCAACTCTTTATTAGTCATTACGGTGTTGAAGTTTATCTAGCCAAAGAGGTTGATCTAGTCGAAAAGTGTGCAGGCAAAGGCATCAAAGCTTAATCCCGTCCCCATCAGGGGGCATCCGGAGAATACTGTAGACTCTAAGTCCACGCACGTGATCTCTCAGTAAAAAAAAAGAGGATTCAAAAAGGTAGGCTTGGTGGTGATTTACGGCAACACCAGAAGGCCTAAAAGAATTTAGTGAAATCTCAAAATTAACAATAGTAGTTACTCAGAAAATAGAATCCAGGAGTTTGACATAATATGCGAGGCATCAAAATAAAAAACATTGAAAAAAAGGTAACAAACATATTGTGATGATGGATAGTACCAGAATTTGTTCAAAGCCCATGAAAACAGATACAATTTCAAAAAGAAGAGTTACGGCGAGGCAGTCGTAAAGAAAAATCCTCAAACAAGAGGAAACTCAAAACACGAATAGTTAGAAAATTTCCCGAAATTTTGAACAGTAAATTAATCGAAAATTCGAAAATCATTTCTAAAGAACCCAAATACAGTATTTGCGAACACAAATACAGTAAAGTGTGCAGGCATGAAAAGCCGCCTAGAACAACACCCATTTTCCCAACGGATTAAAAATCTTCACATTTTTTCTAAATTATTGAGCTTAAAATAATATTTTGCACATGATTTAAAGTTGCCGTACTCAAGTATTGATATTCAATGTATTGATATTTTTTTTTCCCTAAAGAATGGTGAAGCTGGTGGTTTTCACAATATTAACATAAATTGGATACCTGCAAGTAACGTCATCATAGATAAATCGTAGCATTTTGGTATTCAAAAGCCAATCAGGTTCAACAAACAAGTGTGACGTTAATCACAGGTATCTGATAAAGTCTGATTTAAATCTGATGTCTAACATTATTATAATTTGAAAATAGTCTCACCTAACCAAAATTCTTTTTCTACGTCGCCAAATCCAGTTCTATAACTTAACCATTCTCTGAAAAAATAGTCCTTTGGCATTGAGAAATTTCCCCGCCGCTGAATAACCTTGAAATATAAATAACACTTATAAATAAAATTAACATTTTATTGGTGTGGTTCATTAACATGAGAATTCGTGCCTATTATGCGAATTAGGCAATGATGTAATAAAGACAAAGTATAAGAAATATAATTTGAAATTCAGATGCGATAAGATATCTTTTTTAAACTTACTGTCCATCCTCCTCCATCAGTTTCCATGTCACAATACACATCCAGAGGTTTTCTATCCATTATTCGGTTCTGTGGCCAAATAACGTAGACTCCACTTTTATTAGTTCCTGATTTTAGCAGTTCTTCACAATCTAGAGGCTTGGAAGTAAGTGCTTGAAATTTGGAATTTTGACCTATAAAGTATTTTAAACACTCTTTGAAAGATTCGATGCAGAGATTCAGCGCAGAAATGACACCATATGTAACACAAAAATTTGACTCTAGGTGTTTTAAAGCATTGACTATTATTTATTTTGAGACTACTAAATTGATTCCTGAGCTATTTCGAAAAACAAATTTATTTTGAGACTACTAAATTGATTCCTAAGCTACTTCAAAAAAAAAAAAATTTTTTTGACTGCTAAATTGATTCCTAAGCTATTTTAAAAACAAATTTATTTTGAGACAACAAAATTGATTCCTAAGCTATTTCGAAAAACCAATTTATTTCGAGACTACTAAATTGATTCCTGAGCTATTTTGAAAAACAAATTTATTTTTTGACTACTAAATTGATTCCCAAGCTATTTCGAAAAACAAATTTATTTTTTGACTACTAAATTGATTCCCAAGCTATTTCGAAAAACAAATTTATTTTTTGACTACTAAATTGATTCCTAAGCTACTTCGAAAAACCAATTTATTTCGAGACTACTAAATTGATTCCTAAGCTATTTCGAAAAACAAATTTATTTTTTGACTACTAAATTGATTCCTAAGCTACTTCGAAAAACAAATTTGTTTTGTGACTGCTAAATTGATTCTTAAGCTATTTCGAAAAACAAATTTATTTTGAGACTACTAAATTGATTCCGAAGCTATTTCGAAAACAAATGCATTGAAAAGAAAGGGAAATGCATAGCAAGAACAAAGATTCGGTGGCGTGAAGGAAAGGTGTGCTTCATTTTTTTCAAAGAGGGCATCAGTTCAAAACCCAATATTTACCTGAGCTTCATTAATTCTTATCTATTTTAAAATATTACCACTATCTAAATTTCTTTGGAAAATCTTTTCAAATTTAATGATTCAGCTCAAATGATAATTATTATAAATGGTGTGCCAAATTTTAGCACTTTCAAAATTGAAATATGCAAATTTAATCATTCCATTATTGTTATTAAAGATTTTGGTGCATCTTAAAAAATACAATCTTAAGAAAAATCTCATAGTTTATCCGCAAAACGTGACAAAAATTATTTCAGTTTTAAAATATGCAAGAAAATTTTCTGTTCTATGTGAGTTTCGAACTGGTGTTAGTGACAATAAAAAGTGCACACCTTTTCGCAGCATTACTGAATCTTTGCATTTTACTATTATCTCATTTCGTTTCAAAATACAAATGAATTATTGTTTGAAAATAGCTTAGAAACTATTAACATTTCATCAAAAGGAATAATATACAGCAATTTAGGCTTCAAAATCTATTTTTTTTTGAATGTTTGTGTGATATATTGAATTTTTGTGTGATATATTACAGTGGTATCCTCTCCTTGTAAAGTATCGTTATGAATACTTACTTGAAATATAATTTTCTTTAGCTTTATCAATCATTTCCATTGCCATATCTAAGTAAGAAACGGTTTTTTCTTCCTTGGAACATGCAGAGGACGACTTTCCTTTTCCATCGCAGTTAGATAAGAATAAAATGAAGCACAGTATGACTAGAAGGGATTTCCTAAAAATAAAAAAGTTAAAAAATGTAATATTTATCTATATTAATTATACTATTATATCTACATAATTACTATTACTATCTGATACTATTACTAATTAAGATAGAAATTTAATCTTTTTTTTTCATTTGAGATTCATGAGGGAACCATAACTCTTAGAATGGTGATATAAAACAGCTGTCTAATGGTGTTCCGTGGTACCCTAGGGTTCAGCGGAAGAGCTAAAGGAATTCTGAGAGTTAGGAATTTTTTTTTAGCCCGCAATGATTTTGGAACTTTTAATTAAATTTAAATCTTATGAATAAACCATTTTTATTTAATATTTTGGTTGCCTTTATGAAATTATTCAAAATGAAAAACCAATAAAAAAGAAATAGCAATTTAAAAACAAAAGGAAATATATAATTTTTTTAACAACGATATGTTTAATAAATTATAAAAAAGCCATGTAATAAAAAAATTGCATTCGCATTTTCTACCAGGCTTTTGGCTTTAAATTAACTAAATTTGCTAATTAATATATATATATATGTACACACACAACCGTTTTCAACGTTTAAAGCAGTTCTTTTTACTGACTCTTTATTGGCTATTTATATTTATAAATAATTTTTTTTTCGAAGTTAATTTATAAAATGATTTTAAACTATTTTAAGCTGTCTGGTTTGGGATATAATTTAATTTAGTTCACATGGATATTTAAATACTACTTCAATGATGTTGATACAACATAAATAAATGTTGAAAAGGAAATAAATGTACTATTAGTTAGTTGATAATACCCTTCTAATGAGTTTTTTAAGGCGAGTGAACCTTTTACTTTCGTATTATTAAATTTGCTTTATTAATACAATTTTAATTAACAAATACATGTATTGATAATTTGAGAAATATTTAATTGAAACTCTTCGGACGTTCCATTCAAAATCTGTATGAAAAATTTACAGTGAAATTGTTTTCAAAATTCTAATTGATTAAAATTAATTTCATGCCATATATCTGACTGAAAAGTTTTTAATCCCTTTCGAAACATTACTACAGTCTGTTATGCTTCAAATATTTTAAAAAATTAATTAAAATTAGTTTTTACTATTTTAACTAACTGGTTTTAATGAATGAAAAGTTTTATTGTGATAAATTCAAATATAAATTTTGAATAATAATATTTCATAATAATTAATAGTAACTCAATAATAATACAGAAATAATATTTTTTTATTTTGTTACTTAACAATGGACGTAATATATTTTCGAGTTTTGCTTTGGGATTTCAGGCTTGAAAAACAAAATGGTAAGTACATGTATGATAATTATTACATACATACAAATATCTGGGTTTGGAAATTTGTTATGGTCGGGTATAAAAATGGAATATAGAGAATAATTGCGAAAAAGGTAAGAATGAGTTAAATGTTGTATCTCTATTCACAACAAGGCGTTTAATAAGTTTATTTTTCATTTAAACAGTAGCATCAATCATATTTGCCTAGCCTATATATTAAAATTATCGGTATAATTCCCTTCTTCAAAATTTCTATATCTCAAAATCAAAGATATAATTTAGTTTTACAACCTTTAGTGCCATTCAAATTTTTGTTTAAACAATTGATTTATTATGTGCAAAAAAAATTGTATTAAATTAAGAGATTTTATTTTTATTTCTTAATATTGACATAAGAAAAAATTAATAACAATACTTAAATAATGCTTAACTTTGACGTTTTTGACATTTTTAGAAGATAAAAAAAGAGATTTTGTAAGTATTCAAGCATTTATAGATATATGAATAAAATGGTCCCATTTTCTACAGTAGAAAATAAACGCAAATTTTTTTTGTGCCCGTCACGTGAACCAGCGTGTCAGATCTAATAAGTAAATTTAGTTATCAACCCTTAAATAACGTTGCAATACGATTTTTTATCAAATTTTTCAAATTATATATATTTTTAACAAAATAATTTAAAATGTTATTTATAAATATTTTTTTAAAGAAATATATTAAATGAGCATAAAAATATTACTTACATAATTAGAATAGTTCCTTCAGATCCTACTATTTCTTTCAATATATGATGTTGATTTTTATCCTTTATTCACATACTATTTTCTGTATTTTGGCGTAATTCCTTAAATTCAACGCTGATTCAGTTAACCTTTTGAAAATGTGTTCTATGAAAGAAGTAATCGCAATACGTAGAAAACTTGTTATCATACAGGGAAGTCTTTGTTTTCGAAGCTCAAGTCGTTTCACGTTTTTCATAGAAATAAAGAAATTCTTTTTCACCTTCTAATAGGGAATACCCAGCGAAACTAGACAGAGAAATCAGATAAGTTTTTTCAGACACTGTATCTATTTATTTTAAATATTCAAAGTTAATTTCTAAGAAATACTCATCTAATGAAAATTTTAAGGCGAATCATTTACTGTAAAAAACCTACTGCTTACTTACTTGTTACATTTAATTTATGAAATTTTAATTAGCAAATACGTGCATAGATAAATTGGAAAATAAAATCTTCTGACCTTTCATTTGAAATCTATATGAATCTATATTACCAGTCATTTATAAGTGACTGGTAATTCTTATTCTTAAATTTTTAATCAATAATGATTAAAAATTGCCACTTGCATTAGGTCTGATTGGAAAGGTAAATCATTGAGGTTTTGAATATCCATTTAGAAACTTTAATACGGGTATTTAATTTTCTCGCTGTGAAAAAAAAATTAAATTAAAACTACAAGAATGCGGTAAAATTTAACATGTTTTATAGCTAGGTTGGAACACCAAAAAGTAAGATAATTTTTATGATAACTCTTTGGTAATGACTTTTGATAAAATCATAAATAAATTATCGTATTGTTTGATACCGAATTTGATAAGAGTCGGTAATTCTTATTGGCAATAGCATAATTTGAGTTAATGCAAGAACGTGCAGTTTGATAGCCTCTAGTAAATGCTTGCGAAGTTTAATTTTGATTGGTTAATTTTTTTTTATTTCGATGTTATCTCGAAGCTAACACAGAGCGCAAAATTTCAGTTCTAAAGCTCCAAGCCAGACAAAAGTTCTTGATGACTAATATTTTCCCGCAAAATACAAGCGATTTTTTTAATTTTAGCAAATTGAGTTTGACGAACTTTTGGTTACCAAAACTATAAAAGGCTGTAGAAAAATTGAAACATATTTATTGCAAAAAATATTTTAAATAAGGTTGCCATAAAGTTTCAACGATTTCAACATTATCCACACATCATTAAAGTCATTAATTAGCTACTATACTTTAAACGCTTCGTGTTTGCATATCGCTACCTTTCTGCACTAAAAAGGGTCAGAATAGGTTAGAGGGGCCGTTTACGGAAATTCTGAGTTCATTAATTTAGCGAGTTCCGAAGTTTCGTAATTTTCCCGAAGTTGCGTCCTCGGATTTTCCCCAGATTTTGCACGTAAACGCTAACTCTGGGAAAAATATGAATGGCAGTTTGATTAGAAACAAGATTTTATAAGACGAAACTTATCGCTAGCCCTAAATATTCGGTCGCCAATGGTGAACTAGCGAGTGAAAATTTCGCAACCTGGCTAAAATTTACTAACCTTTAAAACTCTAAGCATACAAATGTTAAAACTAAGCTGAGCTAAAATAGCTGTTACGTGTAAGGCTGTCCTAACACCCCAACATGGAAATATTCGTTACAAAGCTGTAATTGAATATCAAAAATGGCGTTTCATAACATCTGCTAAAAAATAGCTATGATCTAGTGTCAATATTAGCTTTATTTTATTCAATTGTTTTCCTGATTTTCAATAATCAAATAATAAGCACCTCTTCCTTTAACAAGATTTATTAGAATGTATATTTATTAATAGGAAAGTTCTAGAAATTTTTTAAACTTTGCTGTTGAACTACATTTCAAGCTTTATAATATTTATGTCTTGCAGATATTATTATCATTCATGATTATAATCTATTAAATTTAGTTATTGCATATTGTTATTATGAGTAGTTATTACATAGTATTATATATAGTTATTTTATATAGTTATTACATATAGTACTATTTTTAAATTAACGTTCAGTATCGCTAATCTATACATAAATCTCATCGTCATACATAATATACATTCCATTCTATTAGCCAAGCTAGCCGTCAAGTATCAATTCTCTAAAGTTACACATTCTATATTCTTTCTCGAAGATTTCAATTTTTTCCCTATATATTTCTTGCTTAACACAATACAGGCGCGAAGCAATGTAGAACACGAACAAACTAACTAAGCACCGAGTTGCCAGATACACAAAACTAAACTATATCACTGTTACTATAAAATACATAAAAAAAAAATAATAAATCTACGTTAAGAAAAAGACGTAATCGAGAAAGAATTGTATTTCTACCAATTGAATGTGCGATACGTTGCCGTATTTAATTGACTTCACGGTAATTAATATTCTAACTTATGTGAGAAACTTAGCTGTAACACGTCATTTTGCTTATAAATGTGCAACTGCCTTTGACATCATAGGTTACATGTGTGGATATCTGTGATCTTCTTCTTGAAGTGTAAGTAAATTGTCCAGTTTTGCTGAAACTCTGTTTCTGATTACTATGACATTCTTCGCTTTTATTGGCGTCACTTTTGGATTACCACAACTTTTTTTTTATCCTTATACGATTGGTTCATAGTTTACTTCATATAAATTGGTTTATTTTAAAGTTTTAACAACCATTATTCCTTCACCATTTTCCATTACCATTTCCATTTAACGTCAGAATTTCTCTCTTAGAAAAACGTTCAGAAAAATAATTATGCATGTTTTTAATTAGACCAAAATGGTAATGTTTTGAATAATAAGGTTTTTAGAATAATGTTTTGACTAATGTTAAATTAAGTGCTGATAAATTAACATCAATACTGAACGTTAAAACATTTAGTTAATGTTAGTATTTCTTTTTGATAAATTTACATTAATATTAAATGTTAAATTTCGTGTTTTAAATGTTTTCAAAACATTTGTAAAATACATGACGATCCCATTTTTGGCGACATAAAAATCACCCAAAATAAGAGGGGCACCCTATAGAAAAAACTATTACCAAATACTGTATATATACATAAAAATTAATGTCAGTCTGTGTTGTCTTTATAGACTCCTAAACCATCCGATCGAAAGATAAGAAATTTGGCACAGTTCGAAGCACGAGGAAGGTCACAATTGACATTAGAACATTCTATTACGAACAGTCCAATCGGGATGAGCAAAAGACTAAAAGGAATTTTCTGATAGGTTAAGTGTTAGCCATTGTCTTAAATTCAACTATGATTGAATTGTTCAAGTACTTTAAAGATAACATCAGTGATATTCGTTAGCCTAAAGTCATATTTTCTAGCCTATAGTTTATTGCACGTACTTTAATATTTAATTATTTTTTTTCTCTACGTTAGATAAATTCAATGAATAACGTTAACGTGGTAGCATTCGTGGACTACTTCACCAAATTAATATTCCTAAAGTAGTCTAAAACCATGAGTTTATTTTGTTCGTATTATTTATTGGAAAATGTGTTTTTATAAAAGTTAATAATTCAAAATCTACGGTAATTTAAATGAAAAAGAAAATAGTTATGTATTGTAAGACGGAATTAATGAAAAAGTGGTACTAATTCGTTTGGGAGTAACGTAAAAAATCACCAAACTATTTAGGACTCCAACTAAACTCAAATAATTTATGTATATGCATAATGAAATCAAAAAGCTATGTACTATAAAAAGCAAACTTAATTGGGAAATGATATTTATTCATTTTGAGGGACGTTAAAAAATCGCTATATTATTATTGACACCTATGCTTAGTTAAAATTGCTAATACGCATTATTTGAAATAAAAAAATAAGATATGTATTAAAAAACAAAGTTAACATAGAAGAGATACTTATTCGCTTAGAGGAACTACGGAAAATTGCTAACTTAATTAATTTTGGTAATACGTACTATTGGTATTGTGATAATCTTTGCAGTCTTAATAAGAATTCTAAAAAAAGGTTAGTAGTTTCAGAAAATATATTTCCAGTGGTAGCAAAGATGGAAAATGAATATTTTAATGAATTAGAATTAAAAGAACATTTTTCAACCACTACTTATAAATATTTTAAACAGTATATTAAAATTCAGATAGAGAATGGGCCATTCTCTATATTCCTTGTCAAGATCTTATAAGAATTTTATTTGATTTCAAAAATTTCAGCTTCTTTTGCTACCACTGCTTTAACACAATATTCAAATATTGCAGGGTATGTAGTAGGGACCAAGAATAGTGATATAAATACCAAGAATTATTGTGATATATTTAATAATGATTAAAAAGGCACTAACACTGCAGTTTTAATACCGATATTGTGGAAAAAAGTGTCTTACTTCCTCTCGAATCTTCGAAATGGATATATACCGCAGAAGATTACTTTATAGTGGTAAATTTAGACACAACTTCTCCTAGAAGAGAGGAGGCCTCAGCACGGATTACCATAAACAAGAAATTTGATCCTTTAGTAGTCAAAAAGTAATGACATCTTTCTTATTTTCGAAAACTGCGTAGCTTAGTACCCTAATGTAGTGACATCTTTTTTATATTTCCTCCACTGCTCAGTTTGTGTTCGTTAAGTCGGATTGCTAAATTGATCCGTCCTGATTCATTCCTTCTTCCAAGAGGAGTAAGCTGGTTAGCCGAGAGCAGTATTGCCAAGCAATGCTCAAGTCAGTCAATCTCTAATCTGATGGATGAAATACAAAAATCGTGTTTTAGTTAATTAATAAGGTAAAGCCATGGTGGCTCACGGGATAGGGCGTTCGCTTTCCAATGAGGTCAAACGGGTTCGAATCCCAGTGATGGCTGGTCAATCCGAAATTCGCACCCGTCTCTCATCGACCACAGTGCTGACGTAAAACTGTTGCAAATTTTCCTCAGTGGTAGACGGATCATGGGTTAAAGTCCCCTTACCGTCAGACTAACTATGGAAGGTTTTCGTGGTTTTCCTCTCCATGTAACGCAAATGAGGGTTAGTCCTCCACGAAGGCAAATATCTCTTAATACTTGATCCAGGAGTTCCCTTGTTTTCTGTATTGGGTTTAAAATTACAAGGCTACGGAGTGGAACATTAGTAGTTGTAAACTCAAAAAGTTGGCTCGACTGTTCAACGACGGTTATAAAATAAAATTACTTACGCAAAACCAACTAGACGGGCGGCAAAAAGTAATCGAAATTATTTTAGCTTCATTCTATGCCTTATATGCCTATGTCGTTATATGCCTTTCAGCTTTGTGTATGATTTCGTAATGCTGTTCAGTACTGATTTGTTGATTATTTTCTTTTTTTATAAACTCCGTACGGGTATTCAGCTAATTATTTATACAAAGAAAAAACAGGCAATCTGGATGGAACTACTAAAGTTGTTATGAAGTGGTGAGCAATAGAGAGCAGAAGGCAGTAACTTCCTAGTTAATTCATAAATTAAAATGCTATTAATATAAACATGTCACTCATATAATTTTAAAATAGTAAATGAAATAAAGTAATCGCACAATGTTATTTTTTTGCGAAATTTGTTGCAAATTTCAGTTCCATTTTATTTGTGACATAATACAACGATACTTTAAAGCATAAAACAATACATAAAATTACAAAACAGGAGAAAAACTTTTAAGTATTACCTAAAGGATTGAAACTTCATTTGTCAGCAGCTTAATGTTAAAAAAGCGTAAATCATTATTTCATAACTTATGCTTTATTTAAATATTTTATTGCTTTCCAAAGTTGCAGAGGTACACTTTATAATTTTTATACTATGAGTTAGTCACTTTATGTGCCATTTTTCTTGTAAGAATGGAAATTATTTTCTCACATGCCATTGTAATAGAGGAATTTAGATCAAATATAGTTAGCAACTAATAATCAATTGTAACCTTAGATATCCTTTCTTTTGTCATCAAATTAAAACACCAAGCGTGTGAATGCCATGACGCGAATTAAAGTCTCTGAGGATTCTCCAATCGCAAGCTCTCAGACTAGAAATAAAGGAAAGACAAAATGTTTATTTTGCTTTGTGAAACGTATAAGCTTCAAATATAATGCGTAAAACAACGTGTAAGTTTCTAACTTACTCAAAGTTAAAATTTTACTAAAAAAATTTCATTAATTTAGTTTGTGATCATTTAAAAAATATTTAAAAGTATTTTAACGAGTTAAATTTAAAAAAAATTAAAATTGCGCTTGAAAAAATTAATCATTTGCCTTTCATTATATGTGATATCTGCATATTAACTTCATTTATTTTGATCCAGACAAGATCAGCCAATTTTGTCGTAGTTACCTTAAGAAAAGCTATAGGCTTTTTCTTCATAAGATTAGTTTTCTTTTATTATTTATTATTTTGTTACTTATCTGTTTAATTAATTACTTAAACGAAATATTGTTTATACCTTTTTTTCTATTTTCAATAGATTAAAATGAAAAGTTACGCTATGAGCACCCAGTGACAACTTTCTACACATACACAAATCGAATTATCAATCTTATGTTCAGAATAATTTCTCTTATTAGTCTTTGGTTATTCTTCCATTTTTAAATCAGTAGTAACGATTTTTAAATCTTTCATAACAGAACGGTGCGATAATTTTTCGAAAACAAAATTTATAGATTAATTCCCTAGTGATAAAAAATTGTACTATGAAATAACGTCAGAGTAATATAGGTAAGGCAAAATTCTTAAATAATTTAAATCATGCACCATCATGTTTGATATTTTCATTAACCTATCTTGAAATTTCTTTTCCTTTAAATGGAAAATCAGTTTTGAAATTGTGTTTGAAATTTAGCGAGTTTTCGTTTCTGAAGAATAGATATAAACGAAGCAATAAATTCGGAAGGAACAACCGAAACGGGACAAATTTTGTAATCGATTATTCATCATATACACAAAGTATTCATCATTTGAGCTATTTTAAGCGAAATGGGTCAAAATTTACAAAAAACTATTTGAAGCTTCTGCATTGCCTCATCATTGAGATTTCTTTTGACAAACTAGCTATTTAGGTGTTTCGTAATCTTCTGTTGGGGATGGCTTTCCCATGAAATTTTTCGGTCTTATTTTAATCTCTGTAAATTCTAAAGATTCGTTGTGTCCTCTGAAGCTTTTCCAATTGACACCATCTGCATAGCTGTCGTGTTTTCCTTGCAAATTAAGTCCATTCAGATTGGAATGGTGGCAACCACCATACCACCATCCACCTTTGAACATTTGAGCGCAATTTTCCTTATGAACGTCATTGTCCTTATCTTTCGTTGAGAATTTCATATTATTATGTACTTCTATCATGGAGTCACCTGCAATACATGATGGGTATACATTTAAGGCATTTTAGCAGCAAAAAATTAATTGCTAATAAAGCTCATAAGCAGTTTTGAAGATAATAAGCAAAACATAAAAATGATCTAATTTTTTATAAAAATAATTGTCGTTATGCCTGTGGTCTTATCTGGATTATGAAGAAAGACGAGAAAATGCACTGCATAAATCTTTTGGAAAGTAATTCTTTGTCATATGATCTGAACATTTAATACGCTGTAGCTAAGCAGTGGTGGCTCAGGCAATAGAGTTCTCGCCTCCAAATGAAGTGACCCAGGTTCGAATCCCAGCGATGGCTGGTTGATATGAATTCTGCAAGCGGCTCGCACCAATCTGAAACCAACCTACAACCCCAGTGCTGACGTAAAATATTTCTAGTGGTAGACGGATCATGGGTTAGAGTCCCCTTGCTGTCGAGTTAACCGTGGGTTAACTCAACATTAAAGGGACTCTAACCCATACATGGCTTTCCTCTCTATGTTAAGCAAATGAGGATTAGTTCCATCAAAAAGTCCTCAACAAAAGCTAGTTTGTCCCAATGCTTCATCCAGAATTTCCTTTGTCTTTTGGATTGAGTCCAAAATTACAAAGTTACAGAGTTGAACATTGGTAGTCGTAAACTCAAAATTCGATCGGGTCTTCAACGACGGTGATAAAATAAAATGAAATTTGTGGTTCGAGGCTTCGTATCTCGGAAATTATCAATTTTTGAACTTCATGTCAATGATGACTTTCGATCAGAATGTTTTGAACTATATCAAACTTTCAGCCAATTTGACAGAGAATGAATTTCGATAAGATTTGTGAGGGGTCCTTCCAACTTTGTATTTCATCCTTCATTTGGTTAAAGGATAATACGACAGGATACTAATTATTACATTGATCAGTTCTTTGTGCAGTGGAAATTTTTCTAACTCGGGATTCCGCACTGAGATATTTTTTCCAAGAGGGAAGGTGCTTTACTATATTTTGACTAAACGAGATTCTGACGCAAAAAAAATTTCGTCTAAATGATTTTCTGTCCTATAATATTTTGTCTATTTGAGGTAATTTAGCATGATCTATAGTTTGCGCGTGATTCTGACCCACGATATTTTGTCCCATGATTCTGACTTAAGATATTTTTTTTAGCATAGATTCTGATGCAAGATACTCCGTTTTGGTGATTTTCTGTCCTATGAGATGTTGTTTAAATGAGATTATTTATCGCGACGTAAGTTTAGAGATTAATGCGTACTTATTTAGTCTTATATTCTTACATTTAGTTGGATTTTAAAATTTAATTATCACTTAGAATATTTATCCCACGATTTTCACAGGCAGCGTCGATGTACCAAAAAATTTTCATCTCACGATGTTCACCATAACTTATCAATCAAATTATTCTGATTTCTTTTCACATTAATAAAACAGATAATTATGGGAGCAAAATAAAGTAAAAAATAAATAATACTGTGCAAATGGAATATTTTAAAGAAATAATTAACTTAAAATGAAAAAAAAAATTATTCAAAAGGCGATAAAAGAGATTTTATTTTAATTTAGTGCTCTATCTTAATTAAAAAAAAAATATAGCTGAAATAGATACTTAAATTCTGTTATTTTTAATTTCCAGTTTAAGTTCATATTGTAAGACTTAAATAAATATATCTTTTTACCTGCATTTCCACTATACTCTGCAATGTGGAGCGTGTAAAAGTGATCTTCATCGTCTATCCAAAATCTGTCATAGAGTGCATATCTTGATTCCCCAGCCATATCTTTCAGGTCAAAACGAACAGAATACAGTCGCTGATTAGTCAAACCGAAAATGTTGTCGTTGCCTAGTGATGGTAAAATAATAATCAAACAGTTTCAATATTTAAGGAAAAAAAATTACAGTACTTTAAAAAACACGTCGTACAAAAATGGAAATAACAATTATAAGATACGTATTTCAAGTCTCATAACTGAAGCGTTTAATTGAGCAATTGTATGTTAAAAAATATGTGCTCAATAATTGGCTTGTACGGAAGAGAAATTTTAGAAAGAGAAATTAGCTGGTTAGTCAAAGTCCAAAGTTGCAGTTGCCTAGTAATGGTAAAATAACCAATTGTAATCAAACTATTTCATTTTTTGTAGTAAGGAAATTACAGTGTCTAATATTCAATAAGAGTATGTATCTAGCAATAAAAAATAATCAAACTGCAAAAGAAGGAATCTATTAATGTAAAATAATAATATGTTAGACCCTCTATGTCTTGTGCATCTAAAGCATTGAGATCTTACCTCCATAACCATAAAGTATACTCAGTGGTAAACAAGATTGTGGGTTATATTTTCATCGCTGTTAAACTAATCATGACTGGTAGAGCGAATCACTCTATTTAACGCAATTGTGGGTTAACTTTAATAAAAGAGCCCTACTAGAGGACAAAAAGACTAAGTGCTTTGTAGGGATTCACTTACAACAACAACTATAATAATAATAATAATATATTAAAATTACCACAATATAATGAAATAACTGAACAACACTATTTAAATAACAGTAAATCACCGAATAAATTGATTCTTTAACATCGGTGATGAAGAAAAATAAAAACTAGCAAAATAACTTACGGCTGAGGTTCAATACAGGATAAGTAATTTGGTGAGACACACTGGGACATACATAAAAACGAAATTTATACATAGTAAGAAAGTTACTTTAAGTTCCAAAAATTTTACCCAGCCAAAACTCCTTCTCCATATCGCCAAATCCAGTTTTATAACTTGACCATTCTCTGAAAAAGTAGTCTCTAGGCATGGAAAAATTTTTTCGCCTTTGAATGACCTAAAAATACGAGCACTATATTAAAATTTAAGCAATACTTTGATTTTAATATATTTATTAGTATCATGTAATTAAATCATAAGAAACAAGCATTAGCAAATTTAATTTAGATCTTAGATTGTTAAATATAATTTAATTACACGCGTGTGAAAGTATCTTTTTAACTTACTGTCCATCCTCCACCATCGGTTATCATGTCGCAATAGACATCTAGAGGTTTTTCCTGTATTATTCGATTTCGCGGCCAAATAACATAAACTCCACTTTTATTGGTCCCTGATTTTAGCAACTCTTCGCAATCCACAGGCTTGGCATCACGCAGATTCAACTCATTGTTCAGATCTGTAAAGTAGACGCTTTAGGTATCTAAGATCATGTAAACTAGATACTTAAATTCGACTATAGTCTTGTTAAAAATATAAAGAACACTTACTTGAAACAAAACCTTCCTTAGCTTTATCTATCATTTCCACAGCAATATCCAAATATGGAATTGTCTTTTGATACTTTGGACATGCAGGTGATATATTTTCTTTCCCATTGCAAATAGACAGGAATAGTATGATAATTGTAACGACTGTAAATGATTTCCTAAAATTAAGCAAGTCAAAAATTAACTTTTTAAACTTGGCTATTAAAATGTCTTTTAATGATAAGAATTAATTGAATATCGTAAAAAATGCCTTCAATATCAACTAATCAATTGGACTGCATACCTGCCAACTCTTCCGGATTTTCCGGAAGATTTTATTTTCATATTTGAAGTGGTGGCAATACTCAGGTTATTCCAATAAATTTTTTGAATTATAATGATAATTATAAATGAGTTTGACCACCACTACATAGAAATAATTATAATCAATATATGAAAGCATAATTATTCTTGCTCACGCGAATTTCAACGGGATCAAAATATAAATATATTTTTGAGTCAGACTGTTTTTCGTTTATTGTTTTACAACCACACTGAAAATCCATTCTCGGAAAGAGTGAAAGTTGGCAGGTATGGGACTTGGCAATTAAAAGGTCTTTTAGCTATCGGAATTAACTGAATATCAGAACAAATGTATTCACTGTTATGTGAGAATATTTTCACCGCTTTAAATAGATTTTTTTTGTTGAATAGCAGTTAGTGACTTTATTATTTATTTTGAAAATTATTCAATGCATTATGAATTCAAATCAGTCGACACAAAATTTGTCGGCAAGGCATGTGTGTTCCTCTGAGTGGCCAACAAATCTGCCCTGTAAATGCCTGAATTGACAATGACAACAAGGATGGGAATTGGAAATTTAAAAAAAAAATCGATACACATTACGGTTTCAGAAACATCTGTTTAGATAATATTCCAAAGTAAGAGTTTGTTATTTAATTTTAAAATTACTTGAGTGAAGTTTTTAAATTTTCTTTTCTTGCTAAGAAATTTTGGTATCCCCAAGATCTGCCTTAATTAGGCGTTAATAACCAACTATACATACGAATGCATTTACTTGAAAATTGGAGAAAAAAAATTTGAAAATCACACAGCTATTTCGAATTTTGCAGACACTGTTCGTGATTATAAATTCTACGCCAATTACTACGCAGTTGCTGCTCACAATACAGTATTTTATCCCATTCCAATAGACGAATTATTTTTCGAACGAAATATCTTATTCTTTAAAAGTATTCACACTAGTACTTCCACATTTATCTTATATGAGTTAGTCAAAGTTAAATTAAAATTTCAGAATTTCATCGCACATCTTAATTACAGAAAACTGTGTCTGTGCCTTTGCAATTTTGATAAATTAAAAATATTCTTTTTTTTGAAATTTAGGCAGCTGTTCTTAAAATCTAAGTAAAATTTTGTTAGTACTATTTTTTTTGTTAAATTAAGAACTACTTAATTATTATTTTTTTATGATTTTCAAGAAAAATTTCAATAGTAAGTGATATTTTCAGAAAAGTAAACTAAACTGTTAAAATGTTTGACAAATGTTTTTGACACCGTGGCCCTTTTTTCATTCAAAGATAATAATTTCGAAATAAGTAAAATTAAAATGAATCTATTGACGAAATTTTGGAATTGTTTTTTGTCATTAAATTTTTGTGTCAAAAAATAAAATAGAGTAAGATGTTTCTAAGAGAAAAACTATTGCTCCAAATACATAGATAGTTATTTTTAAAAATCATTTTGATTTGATAAATAAAGTAATACATATTAATTTACTTTGTATGTAACAAATTATTCCATAAGTTTAAAGATGATTTTTTAAGGTGTTCCAAATTAGTTAGTCACTTTTATCGCTTTTTTTGAATGGCAAATATGAATACAAGTTTTTTGTATTTAAAGAAGTTAGGTGGAAGAACCCTAAAAAGTATGAGCTTCAGCAAAATCTTAATATTATTAACATTCTGAAAAAAAATGAATATTGATAGAGTCAAGTAATTTTTTAAGGATGCTAAACTAAGTATTAAGCTATGTCCATATTCTGAAGGCAAAAATATAGCTTATAGGAGGACTAAGGTGAACTTTTAATAATACATTAACCTGCATGGTAACTACATTTTCTCATTTCATATTCACTTGATATCCTTAGTTATATAGTGATTTATTACTATATATTGATTATAATTAATATATATTGATCATAGTATTCTTGTCGTATGATTTTCCATCTTCTGGTAAATAGAAGATCTATTATTTCAAGACAAAACAGTGAGTGATCTGGTTAGTTATCAAGTTAGTAATCTTGTTGTATGATTTTCCATCTTTTGGGAAATACAGGACCTACTATTTCAGAGCAAATCAGTGAGTGATCTTTTCGTCTTTTTATAATGGACTTATTTTATAACAACATTTGATTCAGTTGCGTCTTGTATGTAGAGTTTCTCAAATTTGGCATATTATAAGATAATAAAATCTGGAGTTCTCTGTATTGGAAAACCATAGAATATAAACGAGTTAGATGGAAATGCTTAATTAACCCTTCTAAGGCAGAATTTTAATGAAAATTTTTTTCATACTTTTTTCATAGTTTTGTATTAATTTTGGTCTAAATAAAGGAAATTATAATATTAATCATTTTAATAATTTATGGTTAGGAAGCAGCATGAAATACCGGTGTCTTTTTCTGTGTTAAAGGTAAAATCTTCAAAACACGGCTCACTGCAGAACAATAATTTTCCAAGTTTGCAGTGTTTTGTAAATATTTAGATCTAAGAGAAACAGTTGCTCATCATTGAATTTCTTTAATTTACGAAGTCAATTACTGATAAATGTTTGAATATGAATGAAAAAAAATTTGAACTACTTTTTTTGACTTTATATTTTATAGTACAGATATGATACCAATTATCAAAGTAATAATGTTTTAAATGCAATAATCTAAGTAATCAAATTAATTAAACTCCGATAATTTTTCAGTAACTATTAGACTGTTTTTACAATTACAAAAATTCAAAAATATACTTTTTTAGTAACTATAAACATACGAGTATTTATTTTTTTTACCTGTAACAAAAACTGCTTATTTACTTTAATTCTTAATTCAGAAACTTTTTCCTAAAAGTGATTATTTCTCTTTGAACAGAAAAAAAAATTAAAATTTTTGCTTTAAGAAAAATTTTGGCGCATAATTGAAATATTCATTTTTAGAGCGACTCATAAACGAATGATAATTGTCATTATTTAAACTATATAATGAGCAGGGGCTTGTGAAAATCGTAGTATAAATGAAAAAGTCACTTAAAAAAGGTAGTGCATAAGTGAGAAGTCACTGTACATATCGCTAGTTCAAAACTAAAACGACACTTCTGCACTCACTTCTCATTCAAATAACATGAGAAGTGAGTGCAGAAGTGTTGTTTTAGTTTTGAACCAGCGATATATCTTCCTATTCAAAATTAAAGTTAAGTCATACTATATGCATTTCATTGTTATCAAATAAAATTAATTACTGTTGTACTTACTATAATTCGCATGTTTAACTCAATTTTCCGTTTATTTACAGAAAATCAATATTCTCTGCTAAAATTATTATAAAATATTTACGATACAATTACTATCATAGATACAATCTTTGAAAAATTATAGTTTTATTTTAGTTTATAATAGTAGTTTATTTTTCTTAAAAATAATATTTCTTCTACTATAATTTCGAGGAGTTAAATACAATTTATTCTCTCTTGGCTATTTCTTGATAAAGATGTTATCATGATTCTGGATATGAAACCAAAAGTGGTTACAAAATTACGAAAAATAGAAATATCTTGACTTATTTGCGATTTGTACGCAAAATTTCCCAAATGAGTTATTAAATCTCCAATTAAAACTAAACTATTCACATTTATCTTTAACTTTATTAAATACTTGTCACTAGCTTTCAATTTTTATTACATTTAACTAGTGACACGCATACATAAAATAGATTATCAGCATGTCTTCTGAATTTAAAAGTATAAGTTAAAATATATTTTCAGATAAGAAAGCAAAGTTATTGTATTAAAATGAATTTCATTGTATTTTGTTTCCCCCCAAAAGAAATTTTGATCTTCAAAAAATTTAAAAATAACTACTTTTTGCTTTTATAAATTTTGCTTTTTGTTATCATTTATAATTATTTTAATTTTAATATCTCTATTTCCCATGATTTGAAATAAATATCTTTTTAACTGTATTAAATAGAGTCAATTTAGTTGGAGCACCATTAATAACATTGACTTCAGAATATTTATATAAATATTTTTAACTGCATAAATGTATTCTAAAAAAGTAACTGAAACTGTTAATTCCGAATAAAAATCATTTCTTCATAACAAAATATATTAAATGAGGATGAAAAAAACTTACATATTTGGAAGACTTTCTTCAATTCTTACCATTTCTGCAAATGTATATTCTGACATTTCCTTATTTATAGTTTCGATCGAAATAATATCCAGTGTACTATGACGTATTTCCTAAAATTCTACGCAAATCCAGTTAACTTTTTTAAAAAGTGTCCGATGAAAGAATTAATTGCAATGCTCGACAAACATATCATACAGTAAACTCTTTGTTTCGGGACCTCTAAAAATATTAAAAGCATTTTTTCAGGAAAAATAAAGCAATCATTTATCACCTTTTTAATAGGGAACACCCAATTTAATTAAATGGTATAATATGAGAAGTTTTTAGTTAATAAAACATATCATATTTGTTTCTGAGTAATACCAATTTCTATTTTTTTCTAATCTAAGATGATTAAAATAATATATGTTACATCAATTACTTGTTTAAATAAGCTTTATGAAAATATCTAATTAATTAGTTGCAAAATTAAGAATTAAATTTAATGTAAAAAATAAATATGTTTGATATGAGAAATGCTTTTAAATTGCACACAGGCGGTGGTATTTTTTGTAACAGTTTAAATTAATTTGTTCTATTTTGACTTGTAGATTTAATATGTGTATATAAAACATTCCAAAATAAAGGACTTGTTATGTTTTTCTTCGAGCCAGTAGTATGGCTGTACTATATATTTTTAAGGGGTAGGATAAGGCTGGTTGATAGGGTATTGGTCCCATGTACAAGTGGTCATGAGTTCGACCCCAGCCGGCCGAAGGCTCCTCTTGTAGCAAATGGGGCAAGTTAAATCTGTCGATGTCATAAAGTCTCACAAATTCCCATAACAAATTATATCTTTTGGGGTACTGAATTGGCGAATGATCGTTCGCTGATTCAATTAAAAAAATATTATGAATAGAGGAATGAATGGCTCCACCCTTTAAAACGGGTTGTGACGTGTGTGTGTGTGGCTGAAGTCGTATTCTTGGCCATATATGGTGCCACTGAAAAACAGGAAACGCACCCTATGCTTTAAACTTGCTTTTTTCACCAAGCAGGCATGCTGGTATTCAGCAGATTGGAATTAGAAACAACATAACAACATGTATTTTTAAATTTCAAAGACAGAAGTCAAGAAGCTTATTTTATATCGATAATTCTTTTACAATTGATTTTCTCCTTTTTTATATTAATAGTTATAACATTTCTTAGATGGTGAAATAATAGATAGTCCTATATCTGATTTACTTTTATTTGAAAAATCTTTTGCGAAGTAAATTTTTATTTGATTTTATAATTTTGCTTAAATAAGCGAAGTAAGAAAAATATGCAAAATAAAATCGAAGCAAGCATTAAGAAATTAATTTTCAGAACTGTTTTTTTTTTAACCAACCAATTCAATTCGCAGCATGTTCATTACTGTAGTGGTAGATACGCTACAGTGGGGGAAAGACCATTAGACAATGCCAACCTTCATCTATCGAAAGGGTACCTCAAGATTGAATCAAGTTAGCACGTCTTACATACTAGTGAATTGGAATTATATTTTTTAGTGGTAGATACGCTACAGTACTCCTCTACCAGAATTATATCTGTGATAGAATTCGAGGAAGGGATACCACCAATTGATTCATTGCTGCTTTTTTGTGAGGAGCCGGGAGAGCTGTTTTAAGATCACCGTACTTTTCTGAATGCTGATCGTGAGAGCTGTATTAAGTTCACGAACGTGGTTGCTCCCTGTGTTGCCTTTAGCAGTCGAGTGTGTACAAGCTGCCGTTGTGTATGATCGAGGCGAGACTGAGCAGCAACAGTGCGAGGAGTTGGTTAATCTCTCGGTCACAAGTCAACTGTTCAATGTGGACACCATCCATCGAAGTAGGCGTGTTCAAATCGAAGTGGGCGTTACTGTCAAGATAGGCGTGTTTAAACCGATGTGGGCGTTTCTGTCAAAGTAGGCATGTTCACATCACGTCCGGGTCACCAATGTTTGGGAAAGACCATTATACAATACCAACCTTCATCTATCAAAAGGTACCTCAAGATTGAATCAAGATAGCATGTCTTATATACTAGTGAATTGGAATTATATTTTTGTAGTGGTAGATACGCTACAATTACCATCTACAATTGCCATTCAAATTGTCTTAAGAGATGTTTTTGCTCCTTTACAACAAAGTTGCATAACATATTTAATTATAGTATACAATTAAAATATTTAACGGAACCCTATATTTTAATATACTTTTGAGTTGAATTAAAAATCAAAAATCAAGAAATTAAAGATCAGTAATATAAGAAAGTCAGTACCATTTTCAGTTATTTTTACATACTCCAGGTCTATTTGCTGTAGCGGATTTATAAAGTTTAAACACGCCTACCCTTAAAATAAAATACCATTGAGTCCACCATTTTCTAGTATAAATATTTATTTCAGGCATATTATTAACATTTAAATAGGATTTCTAATTCTATAGTTATTTTAATAGAATGACTCATTTTACGGCATGTACGGCAGTACATGCATTTTTCAATATGAAATGGAGTTTTTTCATATAATTTCCACTTAAAACAATCGTTTTTTCAGACAACCACAGTTGTACCTTTATATACAATACTATTTTAATATTATCATTATCTCAAAATCATCAGTTCATTATAATTGCCTTGTTATGAATCGTTACTATTTAAATAATTTTGTGCAAGGAACCTGGAAAACCCCACCACATATCTTTGGAATTAAATTTACTTGCAAAATTTTAAAATTACAATATCTTTTATTGTTTTTGGTGAATTTTAATGCTAATTTATAAGGTTGTAAAAAAATTCTGTTACACTTCCGAAAATTTTAACTTTTATGAGCTTTCATCAATAACTTCTCAATAACTTGAGATAAAACTGAACTTCGGGGTTTGATTCGCTATTGCTATAAACGAGTTCTTTCAGCAAGGGATGCTGCAAGGGTGCTCAGCAGGGGACGCTGCAAGAACATTTTTTACGACCTAATATGTTGCTTTTTAATGTTTTTCGTTCTTTCTAAACTGTATACTGATTAACACTATAGTGTGTCTAATATTCGTCTCACTCAGATTTAAATGAAATGAAATAATTTCCGAAATAATCAGAGATAGCTCCAAAGTTATACCAGAGGGCGAAACATTGTTCCTTTGATTCAACAGGAATATACCTAACTATAGAAATTGGCTATCTTAAGATCAGCTGCCGGGTTATAATAGAAAAGTACTCTAATAATAAAGAGAAGTACCTTCAAAATTACTATACGCAATTTGTCCAAACTTGTCCTTAGTCCTTATATATTAGCATAAGACAAAAAACTGCATTTTGCTTAGTTCAAGTTTTTCATTTATTAATTATTTTTCATCTGGAAAAAAAAGTAAATAAAAATTCATATTTCTATCTAACTGGATCTTTTAGAAAACAGATCGTATAAAAATCATAATTTACTAAATAGTAGCAAGTTGTACTCTTACATATATAATTTTTTGAAAACTTTTTTTTTCCATCAATCTAAAAATTATAATTTAATGCGCAGTATCTTTTAAAACAATTTACAACAACAGTTTTATATAGCAATATTTATTATCATTTTATATAGCTACGAACCGAAATTCAATCATTAAATAATTTAAACTCTTATTTATTTTTGCTATTTAAAATATCGTTAGCATCAGGAAATATAGTTATGAATTGATCCCTTAATGATTAATAATATTTAAATAATAACTTGCATATTTTTACATAGGTGAAATGTTATTTTATTTTTTTCACTATTATGTGGATTGTTTTTTGTTCTTAAAAAAAAAGGTATCTCAGAAAAAAGTAATGATGTTCTTGATCTTTTTTCAGTACCTGTATGCAAAAACTATAAAATTACAATATTAGGAAAACATCATAAAACAAACTCTAATGGGAAAAAATTATAGCAGAAAATTGTAATTCAGAATTTTCTCCCCAAATTTTATGGAAAATGTATGATTCTGAGGACATCTCTTTCCCCTCTAATTGTTCACCCAAAACAAAGCACCAAAAATTTTAACTTATTATAACTACTACTAGAGTACTAACCGACTAACTTAGTACTAACAAATGTTTACATAGTAGAGCTAACAAATCTCAAAGGAATTTTGTTTCAGAAGAAAAAAAATATAATTCAAAAGTTTAATGCTTAGCAATTAGTTAACTCTATATTCAATCGAGAAGTTACCATCAAAGATTTATATTGTGCTCTGGGTTAAAAAAGGCATAAATATAACTATTTGGAAAATCGCAATTAAAAAAGATCATTATGCATTTTAATAATTTTATATTTATTACAGATAATCATACAAAACAGTAAAGCAGCTGCATATAACTTTATAAAGTTCTTGATATATTATTAATTGAAATGTTATGAAATTAAAGAATAAGAATAAATCAAAATATGAAAAAAATATCGCCCGAAAATGTTAATAGAAGCATGTTTAGAAATAGCAGACAATTAGCTATTGCTGATAGTTTGCTAAGCCATTTTACTAATTGAACCCGAAAGTTGACGATTTTTTCACACAGTGAGCAAATAAAAATTCACTCAGTAACTTTTGATTTAATCATTGACGTATTGAGACTCAATCTACGTATTGAGACTTAATCTACGTATTGAGACTTAATCTACGTATTGAGACTCAATCTACGTATTGAGACTTAATCTACGTATTGAGACTCAATCTTAATGGTTGAAAGCCTAACCTTAAATATGGTGATTAATTAGAGCAGACAAAATTTTAAGTTACAAAATCTGACACAAAACAGTTGTTTCTTTGAATAAACATACCTTTTCCTCCATGAATTTGGCTTATTGAAACTCGAAATATGACGTCAGTCGCTATCTGGAAAATGTGGTCCCAATAGTTTAGTCAGGAGATTAGTCGGAAGTTCGGAGCTCAAAACGCTACTTTTATTTATTGCGCTTAAAATTTAATTTATAAATTATTACTAAAATTTTAATTTGTATATTTATATTACTAAAATTTTAATCTAGAAGTCTAAAAGTATTATTTGTAAGTTCTAGAAATTTTCGCTTTTAAACACAAGCTTTACTTATGTAAAACCACATTTATTTTAGAATGTTTAGTTTACAAAAGTTTTTTTCACGGTCGATTGCTAAATAGTGGCAGGGAAACAG